TTGGATTAAAATAAATTTGTTATATTTTTAGGAATCAAGAAGAAAAGGAACGTGTTACAGAACATTAAAAATTCATGCTGGAATGGAAAATTAAAAAGTTAATACATGATAATGCATACAAAGGCAGGATCAAGCTGTCTGGCACAGAAACCCCAGCTTTCAGCCCACATTCCCCTCACTTTCAGTCCCAAATTCAAGTGTGAAGTGAGAAAGACAAAAGCACTTATTTCTCGAAAAATTAAAAAGAAAATTAAAAAGAAAAAAATTAAAAGAATTCCACATACAATTTCAAAAGACATAACTAAACGAGGTTTACTCTAATTTTAGATACGGAACAGAACGTATGGGAAGATCTATAATTTTAGAAAGAGAGATTTTCAATTTGCAAATCAAGAATCCGTGTGTAACTCCACTGTAAGGAAGTATGAGAGGGTCTATTAGAAACCTCAAAGCCGTCGAAAAAATTATCCACAACCGCAAAACCGCAAAAAAAATTCGATTAGAACCGAAAACCGCATGCAAAACAGTCAAAACCAATAAATGTTCACATCCCAGTTCTCAAAACCCTAATCGATCAGATACGGTGTTGACAAGTGGGAATACAGAGGTTTCGCGGCTACTCAGGAGATCAGTGGAGCCGCATAATGGCCGCTTGGATCGAAGAGAAAACGGAATCCAAATAGGACAATCCGAAAACTTCATCGGAAACCAGATCCATAGCCCATTAGACAGGTATTTTTGAAGAAAACCGAAAACCAAATGCTCAAGAACGGAAAATTCTCAAACCGCAATGAACACCCAATCCGAAAAACCAAATTTCTTTAGCACAAAAACCGATCTTAAAAAAATGTAGAAAATCCCAATGCCCCCTTAAGGATGAATTGGTCAGTTCAGTCCATAAATCATACAAATGATAACAGAACAACCATTACTATCAATGAAACCTCAACGAAAACTTTTTTTTTTAATTTTCAATCAGAAACATGCTGCAAACCAACTTTAGTCACGCGATATTATTCAGGGAAGGTGTCACGCAATCGAATTTTTCATCGACTACGAACATCGATGCTTGACACCTTGGAAATTGCACTGCTGCAGCCTCACGGAATTTTAATTTGAATTATAGAATTGCATTTTATGGCTAAATAGCGTAGTCCTTCCTTTAAATACAGAAGAGGATTTGATCTCTTAGCGAACGTACTGAAGATTCAACAAAGAACACTAGGGAGATGTTCATATTTTCAATTCGTTTCGTCTCGTTTGGCAATTTACAATAAGCCCTAAAAAATTCCAGAGATATGGTCGATTCTAGTTTTACAATAGAGACTAAATGCATTGTACGGAGCTCTAAATCACGAGTCAGGTGTCCACCAAAAGTTTGGTTAAAATATGTTGGTCGGTTCTTAGAGTATAAAGAGCGATTTATCATGGCTTAGCATTTTTGTGTGACAAAATGTCACAAAATGTAGCAACAAAAATATACATGAGATGGAAGAATTTATTCGAGGAATGAGTTTCATCACGTTCAAGAAAGCACTAGCATGTTTCTATAAAACGGCAATCTTGCCATGTACTACATAAAACCTGGTGTGACAGAATTATCAGCCATAACGAAGAAGCAAACAATCTAACTAAACGTAGTGTGGTTAAAATACATCTTGTTGGAGGCAGACTATCTCGCTATGAACAAGGCGCACTCAAGAGCTTAACTTTGCATTACGACTCCAGGGATTAGCCGTGGGCTGTAAGGGATTATTATTCTAGCGCTATTTACATGTACAACTCAGTCGCGCATTTCCATCAGTTCATATGCAACACTCTTACACTCAAACTAATCTATATGAGCAAATATAAGCAAATAAATGATGCACTCAGTTGAAAAATAATTGACCATCACATAATGTCTTCTTCTTTGATAAGAGGAATCATGAGGCTGTTAAGGCTAAAACTACAGGAGTCATAACATATCGGCTGATAACCTTCTTGAATTCGTCCCAAATATAGTGAAGTGTTGGCTTGCGCACGCAACGACCATGTATGGTTCCATCGGCAAGCTGAGAAAAGTAAAACTGTCAGTCTTCTTTTCCAGCTTTAATGGCGAAATCATTTCCGGGATGAGCGAAAAAAAAGGAAGCGTTCTCCAAGTCTCCTGCAACTTCTAAGGCTAAAGGAATGAAGTCGATTGCTGCTCGTAGGAACTTAAGGGTTACTCTCTTCGTCTCATCGAGGTAAGGATGGTTGCCTTCATTACCGCACTTTTGCACAAGGATTCTGCCAAGACGTAGAACAGTAATTTCTGGAACATTTATTGTCTACACTTCAGAGAATTGCTGTCCAAGACAAAAAGAAGCGAAGGGGATATTACAAAACGACTCACACTTTGACCGTGAGTTCTACCTTCTCAATAAACGTAATGGATACTTCTCCACTGTTCCATTTCACAAAAGCAACTAGTCGCCCGTCTGTCCGTTGTTAAAAGCATAGTTAGTAGAGGGTCCCCCCTCTACTAATCATGTTAAAAGGGAAGAGAGAAGAAAAGTTACAGCAAGCAAAAAGCGGGATCCTGACAGGTTTTCGGGAAGAAAACGCGTACAAGGACGCTACCGTTTTCCCCATTCGGCTCTTTAGTTATGAGCGAAACTCTAGTCGGCTTTGTTATGTCTGGCTCTCAAGATTATCAGTTAAGCATTATTCCAAAAGTACTGAAGCGTGTTCGATTACTACTTTACCATCGTTCAAAGAATTTTTTGCAGTGTAACTTTAGATTGGAGCATTAGAAGCCACCGCTTCTTAAGTAAACTAGTGTAACAAAATAAATCACGTTGAAATTATTTGTAAATTGTTTTCTAAATTTTACGCCGTGTATCTGTAATCGTACAATCACGAATGATTACTTGGTTCAAGTTCCTCATGGTTATTTTGCAGTGACAGCGCGCCAACCTACCCTTGCAAAAAACTTATACTACAATTATAACATACTAAACTAATGGAGGTGAGAAAAATGATTCAGGAGGGAGGAGGGGTTAGGCAGTGAGAGAGAAACAGCAAGGTGTCTTTCCCGCGCTGCTCTTCCGCTGGTTCGTAGCGCCTATACACAAGAGTCTGGTCAAATCCCTATAACAGGAACAGGAAATTCAATTATAACTCAATGACAAGCGTAATCGTATTCGTAAGCCTAAAACAAACATCGTCCACAGCTTGCATTCTTCCGTCGTTAGTCCCGATTTGGGCAAAGAAAGGTGAAATTTTTAACCATCTAAGTGATGCTTACGTGTTATAAATGCGCCTTGTAATTTGGGGAGCTAGCTCGTAACCGTAAGGGGATCGTAACGCTCAATAACTGTTTTGTTCATGCGAAAGCGACCTGGGCCCAGTTGTGTAAAGGTAGGATAAGGTATCCAACGGGATACTATCCGGAGGATAGGTGATCGCAAAACGTAAAGTGGTATCCACCATATAGAGTTTTATCCAGTGGATAGCTTTATCGAACCTTCGAAAAACTGGGGCCTGGAATTTATATTGCTAAGAACCGATGGTAAGCTCTCCTTCTTCGCTCTTCTTAAGAGGCAAAGAAAAATCTTCCTAATCGAAATTGTCACGAATTAGCCTTTGCTCAAGAATATTCCTTCTTCAATACTTAGAAACTAATTATACCTTTGGAAGAATTGATGGCATTTACTACACAAGATATTTGCGTATTGAAGTATTACCTTTGAAGAAAGCCATAAATCACTACTTGCACATGGATTTAGCACCGCACACATAAATTATGTTCAGATATATTTACCTTTCCATTCCTTGGTTACCTTTGAGGATACTCGAGGAACTTCATATTGGTGTTTACGATGCACTTAGCACTGAGCCACCGTTAAAGTCTAAACCCGGATGGAACATTGGCTTTTTTCGAAGGATGCGACGGTATTTCGGTCCATCGACATTTACACCAGACTTAAATGCATCACGGGTATTTAAGCTTGCACGAGTCTTCATGCACCGGAAATGCTGAAACCTCGAGTTCATGTCATCTATACGAATTCCTTGTCTTATAAAGGATGCTTAGGATGAATAAAAAGCCATATTTTCGTGGCGTCTCATCTCACGAGTGGTTGAAAAAAACAGGAGAGATTTATTTTCGTTGGGTTTAGTTAACATATGTGTCCACTCTGTCTCATAGAGGAGCTGATCAGACTTTGAACTCATTGATTTCTTTTGTGTTGTGGTAACGTTTTGTCGTCGCGAAACTAGTCACCCACTGAGTCTCGTCAATAAATCGCCGCGATATCGCAACTGAAACTTGAGATCATAATTTTTAATGAGGAAGGTTTTTTCCAAGCTAAGGATGCACTGGGATATCGTTTTCGGTGAACGTAACGGTGGCTGACCATCTATTGGGAGAAGCCATTTTCGTCTGTGGCCTTCGTGGTGGCTCATCAAGCTTCGATTTAATGTTTTGGTAACCATGTTATCTGAGATCTTTGCAACGCTTAAAATCGTATCACTTGAGTAGTCCTGGAAATGCAAGGTAAATATAAAAGTAATTAGGATTGACTTGCTCCGTTATCGTGGTGGAAAGAGCTCATTCACTACTCACAATTCCGACTCAGACATCTGGTATTTATTAAATTTCAAAATGGAGATGCTCTACTTTATACACAATACAACTGAGCAAATGTTTCTTTCTTTCTCATAACAATTTCCAATGAAACATTCTGAAATTACACATGAACCCACAGGGAAGGTTATTATCGCAAAGGCATAGAAACCGATGTAAACAAATTAATTTTTGGAAACATTAAAAATGTGCCAAATATCTCATGGAAATTCCATTAAAAACAAAATTTTCTCTAATTTTTACTTTTCAAACAGATTGCACTCTGTACTCCCCAGGCAAATACGTTAACTCTTAGCCGTCATCTGGGGTATGCCCAGTTTGACGAGGTCCACCATATGCTTCTGGATGAAATCAAGAGCTTCAAATGAGGGTACTCCATTCAGCTACAATGTGGCCGGAAGTGACTGATGAACTCATGATCTATAAGTGCGGAGACTTCCATCTTTGGATTTGGAACGAGCAGAGGTGAACCACATTTACAAACTTAACCAAGCCCCTAAAAATCGTTGATCGATGAAATAGTTAACACTTGGCGCAAAAAAAAAAAACTTTTGACAATATGTATTCGAGCTTAAGGTTTGGGTAGAACACGAGAAAGTTTGAGTCATGTTTGACTTGCAATGAAATTAGTTTCAAGGCCGCCCGACTGAAAAAAGAACCACATTTGGTAGAATGTGATTTTAAGTCGCAAGAGTTGTTCCAAAGTTACATCGTCTCCATGTTTCTGACAGGAAAATACAAGAGTCAAGTTATGATGGACAATTGCATCACATCTGCCTCACCTGGCGAAACAATGATGGCGCCTTGCAGTTTTACAGAGATGGAGCTTTAAGCACGCATTCAAGCTGTCTGAATGGTCTTAAAAAGGGCTATGAAATTAGGGCAGGAGGTTCTCTGGTTTTTGAACGAGAGCAAGATTCACTCGGAGGAGGCTATCGTGGCTCTCAGTTCCTCCTCAGCCACCTGAAAAATTTGAATGGGCGGTCGTATGTCTTTCATATCAGAACGATCCGAAGGGTCTCAACGTCTTGCCTTGCAGGGGTAGGGAACTTTTTCCAATGGAACAACGTCAATTATGGGGTCAAAGGAAAAATCGCGGTTGTCATGCTATCTCCGTGCGATCCACAGAAATGATTCCACCGCGAAACAACAGTGAGTTCAAAATGAGTGGCCAGTCTAAGTAAGGGATTAAGGCTTAACTTTAGTTTAGTATTGTTAAAATGAAATTTTCAGCGTAGTGGGAACTTCTGGTTGACGTAAGTGAAAATGAAAGTAAGCTAAGAACACCGGTGAATAATTACCAAAATAGCAGTTGTAAGTCACAGCAAATACAATGGGTTCAAAATCTGCAATCAATTGAGTTTCGCTTTTCCTTTTCTCAGACCTTTTAAGGCCCAGATAATTTACGCCGTCCTCTCAACGGATATTATGAAAAAATGGAACCAATTTCAACCTGCTCCCTCGCGTTTTCGCGCGCTTCACGTAGCTTGTTTGCCAATTGGGTTTCGCGTTGGATTTGTGGCCGCCTGATCATTTTAAGCTTGGATTTTTCACCTCCCGGATCAGGCGTTCGGAAATCATGGGGTGTGCAGCCTCGTCCTCCTCTTAGGAGTAGGAAACATAGAAATGGATAACTTGCTAAGAGGGCCTCGTGTCAACAAATTCAGCGGTCAGACAACAAGCGCTGCACTGTGGTAGTAAGGTGAGGTGTTTGTTATTGAAAAATTGACCGTTGTTTTACTTCCTAAGAGCGGTTTTCATACAAACTATTATATTTTAACCATAAAGCTTATCAGGCAAGATGATTGCCACGCAGCTGGAGCCTGGGCGCCTGTGGTTTGCCCTCATTTTGAATTTTGGCTGCCCTGGTGCATTCTGCCAACTGATTGGCCAGTTCGAAAATTTTGGCTTGTTTCCAGAAAATTAAGTGAAATGGGATCTAAATACCAGTTCTTTTTTTTCTTTCTTTCTTTTTCTTTCCTCGTCGTCCTTCGTTTTTTCTTGTGAATCAGTTAGATAATTGCATGACCATATTTGTGTTACGTAACGTAACGCAACTATGCGAATTCAATCACGAGGTTCGTCCGAAAAACATTTTGCCAGGTTGGGTTAAATTAGTAAGACGTATATTCAATTCAAAACGAATTTTTTTACCCTTCTTTGAGCGCAAAACTGAATTACGGTTGGTATTTTGTAAAGGTACCGACCTAATTTCTACGGTGAAGCCAGTGGGTAGCCTCCAGACCTTATTTCTAGCCCATTAAGCATTGAGGTCTGGTAAATAGCCATGGTCATAGATAAAACTCAAAGGAATTTAGAATAATCGAAAGTATTTATCTAAATACCAGGTATTGCCTTATCCATAAAAGCTTCTCTCATGAGTTTACGAAGAAAGAAGTAATCATTCGGCGGGTTTGGCTTGATTTTGGTTTATTTTTCATTGTTTCGATAGGCCACAACTTTTCAAAAATCGTCTGACGTAACAAAAATAAGTTACTGAATATGAAAGCGATCTTCGAAGTAATGAACACCACTTCAGCTGTAGTAAAAGTAAAGCCTGAAAAAAAATCAGGCCTGTACGGGATTTGAACCCATGACCTTTGCGAACCGGTGTAGTACTCTGCTAGCTGAGCTAACGAGCCAGCTGAGAGCTAGTTATACAAAACCCTGGGAGGTGATGAATAAATGACTGTGAATAGATGAAAATCTTACTTATTTCACTTCTGCTCAAGTAGTTTTGATTACTGCGAAGATGGCTTTCATATTAACGTTTTTATCCGCAGTTCACATATATGACTTTCATATATTCACAGTCATTTAAAAATAAGTTATGGTTATTATTGTGCGAGAAAACGTCTTTTACTCATAAGCCCCTATAAATAACCCATATTTTAAAATGTTTCAGTTCGCTGACCATAATCCACAATCATTAAGAATCGATAAAGCGCAGGAAGAATGCAAATTTAAGTTTGAAAGAATTGCATTAACACTTAATACTTAGAAAAGATGCATTTAACACAGTCTTTCGAGTTAGAAATAAATTGGGTCGAGGCACCTTACAATTATCTAAAACTTTGTTTACAATTTGATATGAAACGCGAGCCGCGGGAACAGTTAGAGCCGATAGCTTTCTTGATTTATTTTGATTAACTTGTATAAAGATTAGCAGCTTGCTGAAACACTGATTGAAAGAAGCCTCAGAAATTACATCGTCCGCCCTTCGCGTGAACAACTAAGCCGGGCTGTTCTGATATCCTTTCCGATAAGTTAAGTCGAAGGCTACATCAGTCAGAGCAGCCGTGTTTTACCGACGCTGTCACCTCGAGCAATATTTATCGTTCCTATTGTTCGTTCATGTTCCTCTTTGTCGTTCATTCATAAAACACACGCCTTGCGGGTTTTCATGAGCCACAACACGGCCGGATTTAATCTGAACATTCCACTTTCAGATTCTGTATTAAGACCGAAAAAAACTGCAAGCAAAAGGGCTGAATTCGATGAATTCAAATCATTGATGATTTGCTATTTTTGACAGCTTTATTGTTATTCAATCAATCAGATTATTTGAACCATTTTAACAAGGATTCTGATTGGCTTATTTTAGTAGCGCGATTTGTGAGAGTATAAAACATGCTGACGAAACTATTGTTTGATGATAAAATTTGTTTTAAAAATAGAAAGAAATGCATTGGGAATTCCACAGATTATTTATCATAAAACAAATAAAGAAGCCTTGACCGTGCTCTGTTAAGGTAATAAAGCACTTAGAAAGCGGCTCGAGCACTCAAGAAGTGGGAAGAAACACGAGACCACGTCTAATGTTCTCCCTAAACTTCTCTCGTGTTCTAGCCGCTTCCTACGTGCTGAACAATGGAACAGAGCAGAGTCAAGGCTTCTTTATTTGTTAAACTTTTAGTGGTCAGGGGGACAATTTTGTATGCTTAAAGACACCTTTTGTTTGTTTGTTTGTTTTTTTTTTTTGTTTATCATGGACATCACGTTCAAGTTGTTATAACAAAACATCCCCAAAGTCTAACTTAAGAGTTAAAGGGAAGGAGAAGGATTACTGCCATCAATCAATAAAAATATTCTCAAGATCAGAGGGAAAACGCGGTGATAAACTAATTAATGCCTTCATCTTCAAGTTCTCTCTTATACCTTGGCTCTTCACTCAGATAAGCACAAACTAAAGGTAGATTCCGACAAAAAGGTATTGCGGTTATTTCGAGCTCCATCGGCATTGTTGTGGCGAAAGTCTCCCAGTGGAAAAAATGCGTGGAATCTTAGAGGAAAAATAATGGCAATCGGCAACCGTCCTCACCAACTGATCCCGCAGCGCAGTAGTTCACAATCGGCGCGCCATTTTTAGTAAGAGATATGCTCCCCTCAGACTCCTAAGGCCGTTTCAAATCCCACATTATTCGTTCCTATGCTATCAAGTATCTTCGGTATCGGATTACAGGATTCGTGTCAGAATGCTTATGCCTTACGTAGAATAAGCTAAAATATACAATGAACATATTTATCGAATGACTGAGCAGAAACCCAAGGCAGTTTCTGACAAAAAGGTATTGTGGTTATTTCGGGCACTATTTGCATGTTCTGGAATAATTTTTTACAAGGAAAAAAATGCATGGATTCCAAGGGAAAGAATAAAGGTAATCGTCAATAGATGTTTCCACACAAAACGGAGCCCTGTGATAAGTTTTGTTCGAAATGCGTGTGGGTCAGAGAAAGCACATATAAAAGCTCTTATCGTAAAAACTACCTCATCAAGTTGATTTCTTCAAGCTAAATAACGAGACGCATCATGGGAAATATTTTTCGCAATGAGAGAAAGGTTCCTGTAAGTATTAATTTTTTTCATGTCGAGCATGCTAAAGAAATTAAAGAAAATCAAGCAGACGCGAAGCGAAAGCAATTTCGTTTATTCGCTTATTGCTTAATTCAGGTGGTTTACCTCGATTTAATTGTAGAAAAGGAATCGGGGTAAATCACTTACCAGGTATAAATCCTGTCCGTTTGATACTTTTTTTGTCCTCAACTGAACTGCTGAGATAGCACCGCTTATTAGACGCGAGGGGATGAGATTATGCACTGAAATTGCCGAAAATTTTGACTGGGATCAATTAAAACAGCTCAGGAACCTTCAGCATTCGCCAGCAGAGTCATTAAAAAAAAAATTGTGATTTCTCCGCAAAGACAACATGACCAACAGGATGTCCACTCCGTTCTGATACCTTGAATGAGCTTGAACTAAGAGCAGCTTGCTTGCCTAGGACTGCGACCATCGCACTCGATTTCGGGGACGTATTTTGAGCAGTTTTGAACACAGATTTTTCTGCTGAAGTATACCTTTTCTTCTCTGTTCATTTTATACATTACGTTGAAGATTTTAGAGCAAAACACCATCCCCTTAAATGACCCGGCTAAATGGCTCATTCCCGTATTTTGTATTGCGAATTTTCTTGTCCAACAATGAATTGATAAATGATGAAAGGGGGCAACCGAAGTTTCAAGAGAAACTGTAGTGCGAGGTCAGTGGGGATTTTACAACATAATTTAGTTCTATCAAATGAGTTGATGATGTAAATTGGCCGCCGTAAAGAGTTTCTAATTCGGTCGTTTCGACAATTTAAAGAACTTTTGTCGATCGCCCACATCTTGGCTTCACACTCAGATGAGCAGGAAACTAAAGGCACTTTTAGAGAAATGTCTTGTGGTCATTTTTTGAATCATTGGCATTGCTCGGCGGTCGGAACAAGCAACAATGTCACGCCCTGTAATTGTGCAGGGGAGCTGTGGAAAGTCTTGGAGCGGAACGTGTTTACATTGACGAAAGTAAGCTGCGAGGAGTCCCTTCTTTTCGGCGAAGTCCGTTGCGCAAGTCCGAAAAAAAAAAAAAAAAAAAAAAAAACCGCAAAGAGCTCTGAGAGTGAAGTCCTCTTTCGCTCAGTAAAATATCATTGTATCTCTCAAAAACACACCCATATCTAAAGAGCCAAACCTTGTTTACAAGATCCCATCCAAATGTGTTAATCAACCCTTTTACTCCCGGATCAAATTTGTAATTCTCCTTACTGTCAACCATACAATTCTCACAATGTTAATTCAGAGAATTTAGTATTGAATCAACTAATTATCCCCAAATTGATATTTTTCTTTATTCTCATCACTTATCTGATTGATATTGTATTGATTTTGTAAGGAGAAATTCTGTCTTGGTCACACATGGGAGTTAAATGTTTAAGCAATGATAGCTCTCCCGGGATCTTGCTCATTTTATATATGACCATGTATTGTTTTCGAATCGCGTTGGAAAAAAAATCTAGCTAGAAAAGACGCAGTATTTACAAAGGCTAAAGATTTATAACAATTTCCCACCTGCGCGGAAAGTACGTCGACCATCACTAATCAATTCAATAGCCCCTAATTGCTTTTTTTTGTGCTGAACAATAGGAACTCATGAAACAAAAGATGCCCCGATTCATGGTTTTGCTTCCATTGTTTTTCCTGCTGTTTACGGTGGCTATCGCTCGTGGACAAGGTGGGTCTTAAAACGATGTTGCCAATAAGGCAAGTAAGAATGTGATTTTATCGAGAAATAAAAAAGGCCAAAAAATAGAATAACTTCAGATCATTTGCATTTTTTAAGCAAATTGACTTGTACGAGAATATCAGAAGTCAAAAATAGAGGTTGTATCTTTTTTATGAATTTTTTGATAATCTGTGCATGACCGAGCATGCAATGAAATGAACTTGATACGTAGATTAAAAGAAATAAATTCTCGAAAAGTTTAAAACATTCAGCATCTTCTATTTAGTTATAACGTTCCATGAAAATTCTTTTACAGATAATCCAATTTCGCCAGAAGAGTATCAAAGCCAGATTCGCGCAGGATTTTCCACAAACTGGTTTAAGAGTTTTGCAAAGAAGCCAATGAAAAAGTACTCTGAGAAAAACATCGAAGACATCCACGATAAAGGGTTTAGTAACTTACGAATTCGATGCGACGCAGAGCTGTACTCATCCAAAGTTGAATTCCAATGGTTTCTTGGCAATCTGACAACCATTGTGGACGGTTGTCTGAAACACGATGTGATTCCTATCATCTCCTGGATTCACCATCACGCAGAAGCCTATGCCACAGAGGAGGACCATGACGCGTACGTTGCCTGGTGGACAGCGGTGGCTCGGCAGTTAAAAGACAGGGACTATAGACTGAGTTTTAATCTATTTACAGAACTTGGAATAGACACTTGTTCAAAAGGAAAAACCGAGAAGAAGATAGTAGAAAAACTTTGCAACAACAGTCTCCGCAGAAGAACCGACAAGTACAACCGGTGGACCAAAGATGTGACAAAAGCAATCCGAGCTACAGGTGGCAAGAACGCGAAGCGGATAATTATTCTGGCGTCGCCAGGAAAAACTGCGAAGGACTTAGATAGAATCGATCCAGCGATTTATAAAAATGATTCATACATGATGGCCGAGTGGCATCTTTATGCTTCAGGGCCAGTCAAAACGCCTGGCTCGCAGAAGTACTGGAGCGGAGACGGTAAACGTGAAGGCCAAGAAAATGTCAAAAAAGCAATTAACGACGCAACGCATTTCACAAACGTAACTGGTCTGCGGACTTATCTTGGTGCGTGGATGCCTCAAGATAACATAAAAGGAACATTAACACAAGCAGAAGTCATCAAATTTGCCGTTTTCTTTGTAAAGGAACTGCGCAGGGCTAAAATACCATGGTCTATGAACGTTCTGGACAACTACTACGACACTAAGGAAAGCAAATGGCTGAAAAAGCCTCAGCGTATCGTGGGTCGAAAGTTAAACATGGCCAAGATTTTGAACAATATTCGAAAAGTAATGCCATAAGGCTGTCAATTAGTTAATTACACGCCATGAACCTAGAGCTAACAAGGATTGTTCCAATTAGTTTTACTTGTTGAAGGCTAATCTAGGGCAAGATCATTCTAACGAGTGATTGTATACTACTGCTTTCACACTGTCAGAGTTAGATTTTAAAAAATAAATAAATAAAAAGAGTAATTTAGTGCAGTTTTGATCGTACACTGGGCATATTGTAGACTTCAAACGTGATGAAAGCTTCAGACAGGGAGTGATGCAAACTAAGACTTAAAAAAATACTTCTTAAGAAGAACATTTAGAGACAAAGCTGACGAAGAAATTTAAAAAACCTCTTCTAGTCTGAAAATTTGCGTTTGACGACTTTTTGGGTGTGTAGCGTTAGAAATAAAGCTTAATTGACCTACCATTCGCTAAACGTTTGTAAGTTGATTGTTTTTAGATTGTTTTAATACTGTTTCCTAAGTCGACATGATGGTGTAAGACCTGATGCATATGACTTTTGGAGAATCGTAATAAATCATTCTAAAAAGGAGAACTGATGCAGTCTTTGCAATTGCCTATAAGAATCAGCGTGTTGGGGGTGGCTACTGGGTGCGTTAAAATTTGTCCACAAATTCATTTTTACGATATATATTGTTTTTAGGGAAGATATGACTGTTTTATTTCGAGCAGTCGAGCAGTCGAGCAGTCGAGCAGTCGAGCAGTCGAGCAGTCGAGCAGTCGAGCAGTCGAGCAGTCGAGCAGTCGAGCAGTCGAGCAGTAGAGCAGTCGAGCAGTCGAGCAGTCGAGCAGTCGAGCAGTCGAGCAGTCGAGCAGTCGAGCAGTCGAGCAGTCGAGCAGTTTAGCAGTTAGCTGAATAAAGAAAAACATTCCGAAGAAAAGTCTCGGTCCTTCTTCCTTGAGCGAGTCAGTTCTAGAGCCAACTCCCGCCAACTTATAGTCGCAACATAATGTTCAGTGTTGTGAGGATATTTACATGTTCATCTCGTCTGCGGGTTAAACGTCTTCAATTAAATTGCCCGGCTGGTTCCAAAGAGTTTTCATTGCCCTACTGCAATTTTGCGACATCTCAAAAACGTTAGTTGATTCAATGGGTAAGTTTGATTATGTTTCAGTACGTTTATGTTTTAGTGTGTTTATGTTTGTGTCTAGTCTTTACTGTATTCGAGGATTAAAAACCCGTCTTCGCAGCGCTCTAAGTCGGAATGAGTTCTACCGAGAAATTCTTTACTTTGATAAGGGTTAGGATAGGGATATAGGCAAAACAATTTCTGAATTTTATATTCTGACCAGATAAATCTTTTCAAGCCCTTCGTACCCTGATTTCGTATTATTTTATGCCATTTTAAAAAATTTGCCCTGTTTGCCTCAAGAATCATGGGCTATCTCACTTTCTAATGAGCAATTATTATTATTTATCACATAAACTGTGGTATTATACAGGGATTTCCAGCCCTGAGAAAAGCTGTAACAACACACTGAAAAAATATCGTTTTTTTTTACGTGTGTTGATATAGCTAAACAGCTGCTGAAAAGTCACTCGCCCTTGGCGTCACTCGGTCAGGTTGGTGAATGAACGGCAAAGCCTTCACGATTCTCAATACAAGCTGTTTGTCTTGAGAATCCTCAAATTATGGCGGCTAAAACGCAAAAAAAATCCGTATCGCTGACAGACAGCGAAGCTCAAACTTTTCTAGAAGGGGAAGAAAACAATATACTAAAAGAAAAACCGAAAGTTAAATATTCAGCGGCTTTGGTGTTGGCATTTCTCTCGGCTGAGAATGAAAATCGACAACTGGAAGATTTGCCTCTGGCCGATTTTGGCCGTTTACCTGATAGACTTCTTCTTTCGATAAGAACAAACTCAATAAATGAGAATTTTGAAAATTGAAAATTACGACCATCTTTGTTTTTGTAATCATGATTCGACGCATTTTTCCATCTGAAGGGTTAGCACTAACGCACCCTACGATTGTTACTCGGGGATTGTCGATTCATTTATTTTCATTCATTAATGAAGTCGGCTTTTCTTCTCAGTAAAGGGCTACTGTGTTTATATGATAAACAAAATAATACATAGTTGCTTGCTGATATGGAATTTCTATTCTCGTGTTCAACTCGAAGAGAAATTTCATATCTACGCGCGCCCATGTATTAATCTCTATATAGGTGGCAGTTCCCGCGAAACAAACGATTGCGTGGAGCGAAGTTGGAAACTTTTGGATAATGGTGGCAATAGATTTGCAAAAAGCGGAAGCGGACAATCGAAACAAAGAAAACATAAACGATTCTCGAGAGCTTATTGTGCTACAGCCACAGTTGGCTTTAATTCCCGGCTCTCGAAACGAACAAGTCGTTCTTAATTGTTGTTGAAGAGAAATCTTTTTGCTAGATATAATTGGTCCAGGGATAAAGTGGCTATCGAGTAATTGACTGGATACGAATCGCATAATTCTTTCTTTGATTTTATTCGATCTGTAAGAGACAATACATAATTCTTAAGAAATCTAATGGCGAGCGATTCGTGAAATTACATGCGGAAAATACGAAATTACAATACTGAAAATCAAACTGGTTACAAAACAAATTACTCACTTCTGTGGCGTTATCCAGTCAGAAATTACTACAGAACAGGTCAGCGAGATGGGTCAGCAGAAAAACTACAGGTTAGCTAACGAGGAATAGTACTTTCTCTTTCACAACTGAGATACGTGTCATTTTATCTCAAGGTAAACTTACTAAAACGATTGCGCCATCGACTGTCAATCAAGGCTACAATCAAATATCAATCAGCTAATTTGTAAAAATCAATCGACGAAACAATAATAGATCCTTTGTTGACCAAGCTTGTGCGGCCAAGATGGCTGGATAATAGCCTCGTTCCTTTTTCTTAGCGGGCTTTTATGGACCTCGCCTTCATCTCAGCCATAATAAAGCAAAAAGGACTCGACCAACATCCAGCCATCTTAACCCCACGCAAAGTCAATAACGCATGTTTATAATTAGAAATATACAGACTCTTGATTTTCATCAAGTTTATAAATGATACTCGATATGTCTATTTGGTTATCTAACTCTTTCTAAACATCTCAGCGTATCAAACACTGTCATAAAATTTTTTATATAATTATTTTTCTCAGGGAGGCACTATACAGAAGAAAATGTAAGCACCTTAACGGATTAATATCTGGGAATGTTTTGAGTTGAATGACCTCGACCTGGCGGAAATGCTTTTGTCTGAAGTAGTGAAATATTAAGCCTTAAGTCAGTCTGACATTTTGATCGACACAAGAGTGTTCTGCATAATATAAAGACCAAACTGTGGATACAAACTTTATTGAGCACCCAACATCGGGGGTCTAAGAGATTGAACATAAAAAATAACATCGTAAACACATAGTCAAAAGTGAATTTGAAGTGGAATGTTTACAACAAAGCAGCAATCAATCTGATTAATAAGGTACTTTATCTTTGGCTTAATAACACAAGAATAAGAGATATTCATCACATAACTTCTGCGCTTTCTGCTAAACTTTATCATACTTGATCTAATATCAGAATCTTGGCGACTTGATGCTATTTTACCAGATATTTTACAAATCACAGGCGATCAAATTCTGAAGTTATTAATGATGACCTCTGTATATGTGACATTTATTACAAGAGGGATAAAATAAACCTAATGAAGCGTATGATTCGGTGGCAAAGGCGCGCCATTCAAGATATTTATCCTAATCTCATAAGTCAATACCTTCTACATTTTTCATTTTTCTGCGGTAATCGAAATAGTTAACGCTTATTGAAAGTTTTGAAATTGAAACATAATACTCTAATAAAGATGTGTGAGCAGTATAGTAAGCTTCATAAAGGCATTAACTGGTTTCTTAAAGGACTACATGCGTGCAAGCTCAACGTAGTCTTCATGTACTAAAATTACTTCGTCGGTCTTTTCATTTCTGCCTCTCTGTTCACGATTTGTCTCAAAGGTTTCACTTAAGAATTTTTCTACAATTTTTGGAACTTTTTCTTCAACAACCATTGCTCGCAATTTTTCCTGCCATCCTCCGTCAACGTAAATAGCGACGATCTTAGGAAACGATAAAGTGAGGAAAGTCAACAAAGTTTTCATCAAAGGCGTAGTCTCAGAGCTGAACAACATGGTCAAAGAAAACACAATCGACACAGAAGACACGATCACTGTGATCTTCAAAATAAGTATGCAGACACCTTCTCTGAGAGGCATAAGTTCTTCACATGCCATACCGAAGAGCCTTTTTGGAATTGCCATTATGTTTTCAAGGTCATTGCCTGCAGTACTGGGTAAATTTTGCAGCTGATTAGAGCTGTGAGGAACGTAATTGACCTGATTTTGTCTTGAATTCTTGTTGTAATAAAATAAAGCTAAGGCAAGCTCGTGGTATGTTTTCGTAAAATAGCTATAGCTTGACCAGATGTAATATAAAACAAAAACGGAACAAGCCACGTAAGGAAGGTGTTTCTCTGAGAAAGAGAGCGCGAAAACGTTTAGAACAGCAAGTAGAGTACCGAAACCTGAAAATAATAAAAGTATAGCGGCACCCATTATGGGAAAATACGAGAGGGTCCAATGTAAGAGCTTCATCAATAAAATACGTCTTTTTGATTTTGTATTGCTCGGCCAGTATTGAGCGGAGCATAAGGTTGCGACAGGAGAGGTCCATAGAATACCTATTAAAGTTAACAAACAGACTACGATCACTAGCACTATTATTACAACGGGTATACAGAGAAACAGAATGATGAAAAGGGCAAGACGAACTGGCGCTGAGATGATAGAAACTCTGCGGGAGTGAATCACCGAAGCGGACGTTTTTACATAATTTACCAAACACCTTTTAAAAAGCGTCCAACATTCTACAAAGATCAAAGGCTGGAGGCGCAAATGATTGATGATAAGCCGAGGAAGTTCATCTTGACATGAAAGAATTGTTGGTTTAACCAACTTACAAACGGAGCAAGGCTTTGCTTTCATTGGCCTTTTCAAGTAAAACGATATGTAAAAAGCCTGAATTCAATAACAAAAACTGGACTCTATAGCGAATCTTTGCAAGAATGACGGCATTTCTAAGAAGCCATCAATTTCGTATTTAAAATAAATTGCACTAAACAGAAATGGAAGAGGTATAATAAAAACTCGCAAAAAGAATGTTTTTATGTTGTGCCAGACTCCTTCGCTTCTAGAGAAAAAGCAATTTCCCACTGAGCTTCGGAGACTGACGGGACTTGCTCCTTCAAGATTGATATATGGAACGCCATTTTGCAAGATCTCCGTCGGGTAGAAAAGACAAAGGAAGGCTAGAGAGTAATACATGAACACTGCGACGAATATAAGGGAAAAGCAAATTAAAACCCTACTTGGCCATGCCCTGTACTTCAATGCTCCTTTAGTGCTGTTGGTCCCGTTTGATATGGTAACATTAATGCATGATCGAAGATCATCTTTTTCCACCGCTTGATAACCGATTCTATCCAATTCAGCTTCTAAATTAATGAGATGACAAATGGTGGAAGAACGGCTGCTGTAGTTCGTGGGGCTTGAAACACTTGTTCTTGCTGGGTTCAAGCTACAAATGGCGCGAATTTCTCTTTGATCTACATTAGAAAATACATTATTTATCAAGTGTTTAATAACCGTAGTCGATTGAGAGGGTCTTTTGTTTACCAAGCAGATTTGACAATATTCAGAAGCATATTCGCTTGAGTGAACAGACGTCTCGTTCGCGCATTTGTCGTCCACTGTCTTCTCGTACCGTACACCAAGTTTGATCAATTCGTTGGTCGCCATTGAGGTTTTCATTTCACGCGTGAGTGCTGTTAGATCAGCAGTATGGACAGAACAATTCCAGTTACATCGAATTTCACTGCCGGAGCTGTAACTGTACGAGTTGTATGCAACGTGACTCAGAACAACCATAAAAACCACCAAACGAATTCGAGAAGTTGAAAGCATCCTTAAGGATCGATAGATGTCTACAACCGTCTAACTGAGGCTAAAGTTAGTGAAATATCAAATCCCCTCTAAAACCAAAGTCGTGTTTACGGCTGCACAAGCGGATAAATTTGCCGAATCAGCATTATTTACGCTCGCTTGCGCTTCAAGAAAAGTCTACGTAATGCACTAATTTGTAAATTGAAACTGAAAGTAAAATAATATGACCGGAAGCAATAAGATAGTGAGGGGAGGGAGGGTGGGGGAAGAGTGGTCCTGTGGAATGAAAAATAATTTAAGTTAATGATTCTTTCTCAATGAAATTATTAGACGAGTGAAACCTTTTGTAAGTTGCAATGCTCCTTAAGAGTGGAATTCAGCGTAAGAAGAGTATTTCATTCAAAAGAATTTCACCATGAATTTCTTTTCACAAAGAATGCATTAGTGAAAGAGACAACTGTAAGATTTTTGAACAAATGGACCGTAAAAAGGCAAGCAAAACTAAGTCCAGTTACCAAATGCGGAACTCGTGATTCGGAGTGAATCTGTAAGCTTTCGTCCGAGTTTAGGATATAAATAGCTGATTAAGAGAGAGGAAAGTTAGAGAGTTATTAAAATCTGCCATTCCTGTCAATTGACTGTGGTTTAGCTTGGTATATTCTCTTATCGACAACGATATTCGTCATCACAGTGGTCAAAATGCGTGACTATTGCGTGACATGTTGACGTAAGCAGCATTAAACCAGAACACAGACACGAGTATGTAGAGATGCTTGTTACTGTTGTAGCCAGCTTCCCGGGCATTGCTTAGGTTTCGCCTGCTTATTTAGTCCGTTATAAATACTCGTGTCTGTGTTTTGGTTGTAGGACTCCATCGCTTTAACGAGGAGCTTGTTTCTTCAACATCTGAGAGGAATCAGTTGTCCTCACGACAATTGTTACTTGTCCCTGACTTCTTTTAAGCCTACTTTTAATGTTTTGGGCATCCCTAGAGGAGGGTCTCAATAGCGTAATAGCTTTTACAGCTAATGGTAAAAATTTTAGCCTATTTACAGCTAACAGGTGAGATCTTTTCATTGCGGTCGCCCAAAACGCTGTGAACGGCGGTTTCGAAGTGTTTTGGTATCCACCTACCAAATAGGAGGCAATACCTATGTGACCTCTTTGTCATGTAACAAAAACATAAACAGAAAATGACATGATTTACTTTGGTGAAGCTCCTAAATAGTAGCTAGGATAGCTGAAAATATCTTGTAGCTTAGAAGATAGCACGGTAGCACTCTCTTGACAGCAAATAGCAACTAACTCGACATAATCAGGACACTTATTTATCAAATGTGTAACACGATCTAACTTACGTAACATCGATTATTATGTAATTATTACGGATACCATAAAACGTGATTCAAATGATCATTAAATAAAGTGTAAACAATCAAACGAAAGAGTAAAGTATAAAAAAGGGCGTTTCAAAACGAACCACATAAATCCCTAGTGATATGAGTTTCCCTTCTGATTTGCTTGCCAATTTCCTGATACCTCCTTGATAAATAATAACTTTCTTATTTTTAATTTCAATGGAGAAATTTGGTTATTGTTATATCATTCAGAAGATCTCACAGGGAAGACCTGGGAAAAAAGAAATCCATGCTGTGGAGGGAATATTACCCAAATGTTTATGATGATATTGGTATGTCATATTCTTGGTGGAATATTGTCATATTTTCCTGTTTACAGATCCTATTTTGTAGTCGTTATTCTTATCTCCATTATACTCAGAAGATCACAGTCATATGAACTATGCAAACAAATATTGCTTCTCAACTACAGTCTTCGTGTCTGATTTAAGAAACACCAAAATTCTCAGGGATATTTGTATGTCTTTTATCAATGTGGAATATTTTCCAATAGGCCATGTGACCTGGTAAACCATGTAAACTACTAGGGAAGAATTTTATTTGAAATATCACAGTTGTTTACCTTTACCTTAGCATAGAAAAGATTAATTAATTCAGTGATATACCAGCAGGTGCCCTTTCCTAATGAGGCTGCCTGCAGTGTTTTCAATTTGTGAACAAATTTTTATTAACCGTACTGCAGTGAAGTTGGAACAACTTATGAAAAGCTTAGAGTGTGCAATATTTCTACGGCAGAATTGAAAATTAAATCACTGATTACTCTTCGATGCTAGGTCTTTTTACACAAATGCTTGTGAAAGCGAGGCTTTGATGTATACCTTCGCCTAAGGTATACCTCACTACCGGAGAAGTTTCTGTTGATGTAGTAGCAAAACAGAGGCAAGATATATATATATATCCACTTGTTTCTTAAACATGTATTGTAATGTTTTATAGATTCTGTTTATAAATTGATAATAGATTCTCTGCTATGGAAATGCTTCATGTGAAGTTATTACACATTTGCATTTAACCTTTGTTTGTCGTCAAGTGGGCCAAGGCCAACACGCAATAGATGTAAACAGCACACCATACTTGGTGATCAAGAACCGCAGCGAAACTTGGTTTTTGTAATACAATATGCCATTACAAAAATTAAGCCATCATCTCTAAATTTTGTCTAATAAACCCACAGAACATCGATCACGAGTTATGTTACGATCATTTCGTCTTTATCTTTCATTTTTCAACTGTTTCTTCATTAACGAGGTTTTCCAGAAAACTTTAAACCAACATTGCTTGTACTGGAAAAAAAGCGTGGATAAGTAACTTCGTTTTGCTACAGCTCCTTTACCAGTGAATACCAGGAACTCGGCTTCATGCCATATAGACACTGCAAAAAGCAAACTACAGTTTTATTTCTTCACCTGTGGTGATTATCCCAAAAGAACTTTCGAAAGAGCACGCGCACTACTGATGCCTGTTAGAGTAATGATCTGCAAATTGTTGCTAAGAATGACGTTTTTCTTGGCTTTGTTAGCTCAGTTTTTCTTTATCTCTATCGAAACCAGCATTAATGCTGAACCTGCTATAAGATTTCTCCTAACTGTACTGAGTGGTTCATTTCCCAAAATGATTGAGATATTTCAATTTGCAAGGCAGAAAAATATTGAAGCTCGTAAAATTTTTGATAGGTACAAGAAGATCATGACAGTTAAGACTGTTTGAAGGGGTAATTTAACATTGCGCGTTATGGTTGGCCTGTTTCGGCATTTACGAGTGAGTTCAGTAAGGCATTCCCCGGTGTATGGGATGTGTGGTCATAGACTTTCGTTTCGTTGTCAATATTGAGCCACTGAAACATAGACTGATGATGTTGACAATCAATGTTAAGTGCAAATTTTGGACGGGGCCATTTGATTGAAACAGAGAAAGAGAGAAAAGAAGACAGCGAAAGAAAAGAAGAAAGAAAAAGAGAAATAAATAAAGAAAAATGAAAGAAAGTAAGACGAAATAGATCAAAGATGCAATAGATATGTTTATAGATATTTTTGTCTGGAGCTTGCGAATATGTCTGTTATAGATGTTGCAAGATGATATATGTAAATGTAAATGTTTTCAAACATTCTCTTTTGTGGAAGAGGAGTAATTTTCGACAATGATATCAGCATAATATACACAAAGTGAATTAAAAATCTGATAGCAATTTCAAGTTTCTTTGAGACACTCAATCTTAAACTATCATATGGGTCTGGAACATAGGAAATATGGTCAACATTGACAAGTAACGAGTAGATTTACCTATCCGTTTAGATAAGATCGTATGCAGTCACATGGCCATCTTGTTGAAATAAGAGCGCTCAGTGTGACTAAAAAGAGAACCAACTGGTAAAGGTAACAATGATTTCTCGTGCAATTTGGTGTTCATAGGCAAGAGTAACTTGTTTCAAAGAAAACATAATTGAACGAGCCCGTAGGGCAAGTGCGATTTGTAGTATTTGAAAAATTTACAAGTGCCTATTACACCAAATTGCACAAGAATTCATGTCGTTACTTGTTAATAATGTACATGAGAAAACATCACGGAGTCAAGACAGACGTAAATTTTGAAAGCGTGCAAGTGCTATTTGTAATTTGCACTTGTGTTACAACTTTGCACAGTAATTACACGAGAATGCACTCATTTTGAGCCAATCAGAAGCGCGTAATTTTTTTCAAGTATTTCAATATATGCAATATAGTGTTGTTTGGGTGTATATCAATATGGTGGTTATGCCATTATGTGCTTTTGTGAAGCCCTTTGCAATGTTATTAATCGTTATAATATACATCTCTTTATGTAATGGTTAACGCTTTAGACACCAAGATTGATGGTATCACATTTCTCTTCATAATATTCTTGACAAGTAAAGATTATGAGAATCTAAGAAGTGATCACCGATACTCTCGTGTTGAACAATTACTCACAACTTTTGTTGCAATTAGTGAAAAACCGCATTCTGTTGTGAATAAAATATCTTTAATTTACGGTTACTCAATTCGACTAGTCAAAAACGCCTTTTCCAAAAACCTCGTGGACTCTGGAACCCATGTAAGAAGTACCGTCCAGTCCTTCTCTTGCATCATCCCCTCGCTTATAGGCCTGAATCTCCTGATTCAGAGTAAACTATAGAAACATCTGCCCTATGAAACTTGAAACGAAACGCTAAACACTCGAAACGATAAGTTCTCAAAACAATGTACGATGTACGAGCACGCTGGTACATTTCTCCTCGGCTTCGCTTACTTCACTTGACAACATCATACTCTGCCTGAGTGCCTGTTCTAGCTGCTGCAGGTCGCTGTTCCCTTCGTTCGGTTCACTCTTCTTTGATTTCTCCGGCTTATGTTCCCGCGGAAAATCTAGCAGTAAACCGTTTCGGCGCCTTCGGGTATTTCCATTTTGTTCGTTCGTTTCATCCCAATGCAGGATGCAATATATTGTTCCAAAATTATTACCCTAAATTTTTGCCTCCTTCAGTCATGGGACGTGAAGGACCCTCTTCCAGTCCTGACGCAAAGTTCTTCAAATGACTTATGCAAAAGGAACTAATAGCTTGATTTTCAAAGTGTTCACTTACAAATAGCTTCTCTTGTATCCAATTTTATGCAAACCTTTTATGATAAGATTTCTTTACGGCCGGGAAAACAAAGAACCTACAAAAATTTGCAAAATCAGCTCCAAAGGGGAGGCTTTGTTGTTCAGTCGGTAAAGACACTAAAACTAGAAGTTTTAAAACTTTAAAACTTTAAACTTTTCTAAGCTTGTACCTCATTTGTTCAACTGGAAATCGCTTATGAAGATTTCATGACTCACGGTTTAGTAAGAACACCGAGATAACTCAAGCAATTAATGTTTGATAGCAATGACTGTAATGGTCATGAATGCTGATTACCGGAGGTTGAATCAGCAAAGCGCGAGATGCCAGTACGATGGCAACTGCTCTCACCGACTTTATGGATCAAAATAATCCAACCTCAAGGATTAACCTTCCTTCTATTGCGATTTGAATCGAATGAACAACCAGCCCCTCAGCAAATTAGTACTCGCCAAACCGGCCAGAAATATAGTAAGCCCTTTGTTGTGACGGCAAAGATGACCAGCCAATTCAAAAGGATTGTGGGAAGGACTCTGTGTAATCACCTGGCCATTGTGAATCAATATGGCGATTGGCCCACTGTAGATGTTTTCTTTCAGGCGATAACACGATGCCAACTAGATAACGACATTCTTTTTTTTGCCGACTATCAAGAAGTTCTTCCTTGGGGATGCAAATACAAAATTTCACTACCCGAAAATTTCTAGAATTATGCAGCTGGTGAAAACAGAAGATGAAAGGTTGTTTTCAATGATGCATTTGCATAACTCACACTTCATAGATCAGAGTATAAAACCAAACTCAAAGACGGTAGCCTGCTCCAGTCTTCCAGTCGGTAAAACGGAGCGCGATATTAAAGAATTACGTACAATCAAAACATTCCTCCCTTTTTCGCCCCCATCCAAGCTTCCCGCTCTTTTCTCTCTTCCACCACTATAATGCTTTTAATTTTACTATTGCGTTTCGTTTAATAGTGTTCCACCAACTGAACGCCTAGAAAAAGCTAAGGAGATAGATGCCAAATTGTGTGTTACAAGCGTCAGTAAGTCTTGCGACAATCTAGTCTAACTCCAGGACACAAACTATGTCCACGTACCGAATTACTCTTCGATAATTTTTCATCGAGAGTAATTAATCAAAAAGTGGTGTGCATGTAAGTCTTGCGGCAGTGGATATTTTGTGATGGAACTTAACTAATACAGTTTAAAAAAATCAAAATTGCTGTGGCGCCTATGGGCCACCATATTATGATGGAACAGTTGTGAAGACAAAACACCCACTCAAAGTTTCATAACAGAGCCGCAGTTTTACTTGGGAATAAATGAAGCTATTCACGCGCGCCTTGTTATCTTGCCTTTAATTCTATTAAAAGAACACTGCTTCTTGTAGTTTTAAGTAAGAGATAAATACCGAAAACGGAGGTAATAATTCATATACATCCCGAGGGCGGTAGGGCCGAGGGATGTCTCTGGATTAATATCGACGTATTGATTCTGTTTTAGACGGCTTGGTAGCTAGTGATGAGCTTGCTCCACGAAATTCGTGTGTGGAAGAATTAAAGCAAGTAGTGACTGAGGAAAGCATCAAGCATGGACGGACGGACCCATCGGATTTCCCAGAAGCAGTAAGGAAGATTTTGATTGTCGACGATGAAGAACTTGAGAAGAGGAAGGAATCTCGAATACCGCCAAATACAAGGATAAATACATCGTGGGCAGCTGGTCTCAATGGGCAGTGGAGCGAAACAGAATGATCGCAATCAAAGGTGAAAGTGGAATTGCACTTCCCCAAGTCAATCCTGACATTCTCAATATCACTGACAACTAGGAACTTAATTATTGGCTGAGAAAATTGGTTGTAGAAGTTCGTAAGAAAAAAGATCCAGGTACTGTTTACCCGCCAGACACTCTTTATCAACTTTGCTGTGGTCTTCAGCGACACATGCGAGACAATGGTCAGCCTGAAATAAACTCCTTCACGATCCCTCATTTAAGCACTTTTAGGACTGTCTAGACGCCAAGATGAAACATTTAACTGGCATGGGTATAGAATCGAACGTAAAAGAAGCACAGGCTTTCTCAGAAGATGAAGAAAACAAGCTTTGGAATCGCGGGCTGTTATGAGACTCGTTACCGAGAGTTCTGTTGGATACCATGGTTTTTGTAATTGAAAAAACTTTTCCCTTCGAAGCGGAAAAGAGCACCGTAACTTAAAATTCATTCAACTTACTTTAGAGCCAGCAAACGAGAAGGAGCCAGAAAAACTGGTTTAGCGGATTAAAGCATCCATCCTTCAAGCAAAAGCGAATCGAAGACTATGCAAACAGCGGTACACCTGAACGCTTTTTATTTCAGCTGTATAGGGAATATGTATCCGAGTGTCCTGAGTTGGCGATCGCCAGAAATGTGTTTTACTTAACTCCAAAACGCGTATTTAAGCATTCAGATAATGGTAAGTCGATAACGCAACAAATGAACGGAGTTTTAGCAAATGAAGTGGCTTAAGAGAGGATGTCAGCATCCATTGAACAAATTTGAAATTTTTTGGCAAGTCGCCCAAAATTCGTTTTCTCTCGTACTTTCATATTTTGAAGCCTAATATGTCCTAAGATTGAGTTTTCAAAAGCTTTCGATGGTAGTGAAGCCGTGTCACTGTCTGATTCCATTGTTAGTGAAAAGGCGCCATTAAAGCCTGAAGTCGAGCTGCAAGAAGAAATCACTTGTAAATTTTCTAAGGGTGGTGATGAAGCTGGAATTCCTGAAACCAAACCTGTGACGTTCAATCAGTGTACCTTTATAATCTCGAAAGAATGGAAACTTAATTGAAAAGAAACATTTATTTTCTTTCTATATCGTTTGTAGTAAAGTACATTTGTCGGAAATTTAGGCTGAAATTTGTCAAGAGGAAGAATTTGATGTTCTCAGGAAGAGCAAGGATCAACTGAGTAATTGGAAAGTAAATAACTGATGAGGGATTAATGTGTAGAAATTCTAATAAATTCTTCGTTTCAGGTATTTATTTGTATAAATTCCTGAAATGAGGGATCTATACAGATAAATCCCTCATTTACAATCAAATTCAATTCATCAGCTCTTCCCTGCTACATTATCAAGCCCTCCCCGGACTTTCAGTTAGTTCATATTCAAGAGGGTAGTAAGTTAAATAGAGGTTGTTGAATGACGAAAGAAAAGTTGTGCATCATGAAATATTAGAATTTAAAAAAATTAACACTCGTCTTCGCAGTACTATAAGTGAGGATGGCTTCTTTCGAACAATTCTTCTAGTTGATAAAAGATGGGGATATGGGTCACATAAGTTAAACATTGCCCAAAATTTTGTGAAACAAATAACACATTTTTGACGTTGTGCTACCTATTTTTAAATCATCTTCTCCTGTTAAACCAAATATTAACTATCTTAGATATAACGTCGTCAGAGAAAGAACATTACTTGCTAATTTTAAATTGTATTATTAGTTGTTTTCCCATGCTTTGATTTGTGAAACTGTACCCTGGAATCACGAGAAAAACATTGTCATTTATACAAAGTATTTTTTTTATTTCTTTGAATTAAGAACAATTTTATCATGACTTTCGTTACACATAGAATGCACCAAAGACAGAAATAACAGTAAGATTTTACGATCTAAAAGACCGCAAAAAGGAATGAAAAAATGATGATAAGTTTAAGAGCCCATTCAGTGATAAACCAGCTTCAAATATTCCTTCAGGCATAAGGATTTTTCCACAGCGAATTGGGAACCAAGCACATTTACCTTTTTATCTTGCCCCTTCTTTCGTTAACAATTTCATTAAATTAAAAAGTACAACTAATCCACGTTCTGTTTTAATTTACACAATATTATTTGTAGGAGCCTCCTGCATTTACGCAATTTCAGGAATTATCCCATCCGCCCTTAGTTATCTGAAACCGTTCCCATCAACTCATTTGCTTCCGGTCATTCATTTCTAAATTTAACTATTGCGTGAACATTTATCAAAACGCAAGCGAGCAACTCGGCGAATTCATCCGCTTGTGCAGTCATTGCAAACCTTGCAAATCATCAAAACGGTAGTCTCGTTTACACAGTTTTGGACATCTATCAATCCTTGAGGATGCTGTCAACTTTTCAAATTCGTTTTGTGGTTTTGATAGTTGTTCTAAGTTACATCGTAGACAACTCGCTCAGCGACAGCCCCGGCAGTGAAATACAGTGTAAGTGGAATTGTTTTGTCCACATGGCTGATCTAACGGCGCTTATGCGAGAAATGGCGAATTCATCGACGATGAACAACAAATTAATCAAACTCAGTGTACAGTACGAGAAGCTAATAGACGACAAATGCGCGAACGAGAAGTCTGTTAACTCGAGCGAATTCTCTTCTGAACATTGTCAAGTCTGCTTGGTAAACAAACGACTCTTTCCCTCAATGACATCGAATAAAAGCTCGATAAATCCATCTCTTCATAAAGAACACAGAGAAATACTTGCCATTTGTATTTTGAAACCAACGAGAATAACTGTTTCAAGCCCTATGGACTACAGCAGCCGTTCTTCCACCATTTGTCATCTTATTAATTTCGAAGCTGGATTTGAAAGTATCGCCTATTATGCTATGGAAACAAATCCTCTTGGACTGTGCATGAATTTTACCATACCAGACAGGACGAACAGCACTAAAGGACTACAAGGAGCTTTGGATCCTAGGAGATGGCCAAAGATGGTGTTGGATGTCTTCCTAGTTGTCTTCTTCGAAATTTTCCAGTATTACTCTCTGGCCTTTCTTTGTCTGTTCTACCCGACGGAAATCTTGCAAGATGGCGTTACTCATATCATTCTTGAGGGAGTAAGTCCTGTTAGTCTCCGAAGCTTTGCAGGAAATTATTTCTTTTCTAGAAAAGAGGGAATTTGGTACAAGGCAAAAACATTCATTTTGAGAGTTTTTATTATACCTCTTCCATTTCTGGTTACTGCAACCGTCTTTGCGGATTTTGAACTGTATGACCCTTTGACAAAGATATCATTCAATAGGCTCTTCATAGTGTCCGGGTTTTGTTATTGTTGTCAGGCTTTTACATATCATTTTACTCAAAAAGGTCATTAAAAGCAAAGCCTTGTTTCCTTTGTAAGTTTTTCAAGCCAACAATCCCTTCCTGTCATGATGAAATTCCTCGGCTAATTAAAAACCATTTGCGCCTCCAGCCTTTGATCTTAGTAGAATGTTGGAGGTTTTACAAATGGTGTTTTATAAAGTATTTTGAAAAGTGTGCCACGGTGGTTCCTTCCTGCAGATGTTCTCATGTCTTTGTGATTCGTCTTGTACAATTTATCTCTTTGTTGCTCTGTATACCCGTTGTGGTAGTAGCGTTATTGATTGTTGTAAGTTTATTAACTTTCATAGGAATTTATTTCACAACTCCTGCAACTGCCTTATGCATGGATCACTATGACAGACCGAGTACGAAAGAAGTATCGATTTCATTATACATCTTCTCTTTTCTCCCACGTTTTGTCCTTTGGAGCGTTTCATGGTATGGTGTCTCTAATCTTTTGCATTTAGCAGGTTACGGTGCTCTGAATGCTTCATGGGGTGTTTTACAACTCTCTTTCTGGGAGGAACATTTTCCATACGTGTCTTGTTCTATTTTTGTTTTGTATTACACTTGGTCAAGCTACAGCTCTTTTACGAAAACATACCACGAGCTTGCCCTGACTTTATACGATTGCTACAAGGGCTCAAAACGAACCCAATCTCAAGATTTTCCTTTCACCTCAGATCAGCTGCCAAAACTACCCAACAATTCGCACGATCTTGACAACGTGATAGCAATCCCAAAAGAGCTCTTCGAAATGGCACGCGAAGAACTTTCGCCTCTCAGAGAAGGTGTCTCCATACTAATTTTGAAGATCACGATGATCGTGTCTTTTGTGCTTATTGTGTTTTCGTTAGCTATGGTGTCCAGCTTTGACACAACGCCTTTGGTGAAAACTTTGTTAACGTTTTTCACTTTATCGCTTCCCAAGATCGTCGCCATCTACATTGATGGAGGGTGGCAGAAAAAATTGCGAGCAAAGGTTATGGAGGAAAAGGTTCCAAAGATTGTGGAAAAATTCATCAGTGAAACTTCTATGACAACTCGAGGACTGAGAGACAGAAATGCAAACAGCGACGAAGTGATTTTAATAAATGAAGACTGCATTGAGCTTGTAGTCATGTAGTCCTTAAAGATACCAGTTTATGGCTAGAAAAACAAGGTAATTTGGTTTTATCAACTGAGTTGATGATGTAAATGGGCTACAGTAGAGTCTCAAAGCTGACGTTCCGAGCGTTCGTCATTCGCTCTGTCAGCCTTAAGGTTTTTTTCTGTCTTAGAAATTATCTGACAATAATCGCATTAATATTATTAAACAGTATGATTTCAAGTGCAATTTGGTGTTAACATGCAAGAGTAAATTTTTTAAAGATACGAAAATTCCACAAGCCCGTAGAGCAAGTGCAATTTGTTATCTTGGAAATATTTACAAGTGCTTATTTCACCACATTGCAAAAGAAATCATGTAATCTCTTGTTAATAATGTACATGAAAAAAACATCACAGAAAGTCGAGACAGACTAAATTTTGAAAGCGTGCGCGTGCTATTTGTAATTTGCACTTGTGTTACAACTTTGCACTCGTGTTACACGAGAATGCACTCGTTTTCAGTCGATCAGAAGCGTGTAATTTTTTTCACGTACATCATTAGATATAATATACTGTTGTCTGGGTATATATCACTTAGGTGGTTGTGCCATCATGCGTTTTTGTGAAGCCCTTTGCAATGTCATTAATTGTTATAATATACATCTCGTTATATAATGGTTAACACTTTAGACTCCACGATTGATTGTATCACATTTCTCCTCACAATGTTCTCACGAATAAAGATCATGAGAATCTTGGTAGTTTTACAGATAATCAATTCGTTGGCATTTGTTAAATCTGTTATATTTACAAAAACAGACCAAAAACTATGTTCCTTGTTAGTGGTCCATAGCCATTAGTAAAAAACCAGATTCTGTAAATATAATACTTAAGTTTAATTCCTAGTTTAAAATACTGTGATGAAGAAAGCCTTGGAGAGATAGAAATGTTATGGAATGTAAACCATATCTGTTTACATCTCGTCATGAGGATGACCACGTTATTTTTAAAACGTGTCATATTAAGATTAGATTTAAAAAGTAATGTTCTCTGGTTGTTTGAATACAGTTTTTCATTAATAAATATACTTTGTGTTTGACACTGACTCTGTTGTCACTTAAAGACTCCTTACAACGCCACGCTCGGCCAAAAGTAGACAACATAGAACACTTCTAAAAGCCTGGACTGGATGAGGAGAGAGAGGGACAATAAATCTTGCCAGGAAAATCCTGAAATCGTTATATGGGGGTTGAGGAGATGAAAAGGGGGGCTGGGGAGCGGGAAAGACATAGATGAAGTGAAAAGGGAAAGGATAATTTTCCAAATGAATTTTTTGTCGTGGATAAGAATATCATGGAGAAGGCAATTCAAGAGCACGGACGCAAAACAATTACTTGTAATCGCCAAGTAAACATTCCCTTAATCGAGATCAGCTCAACACCACACAATTCACGCCAAGTTGTCTGCTAGGACCCAAATCGCAGATATCATTCCCTTTTCTTTTTACTCTAATACTGTAACTATCCTTTCCGATAGGTCAGTGATAACACAAGCGCATCGTGCATCAGCTCGAAACTAATGCCTACGTAGCCACTCTTCCCGATTTCCTTCAGAGGCACTTTCGCTTTGTGATGCCGTCATGAGGTGCCTAGCTTCTCAAGCTAGTCCAGCGTCACGAGCCATTTTGTAGAAGATTCCCTGTTGAGCCAACAGAGCCTGTGGAGTGTCAAACTCCATCATGAAACCTTTGTCCAGCACCATGATCCTGAAAAAAACAACAACAATAGACTCACATATCACTCAGTGCAAAGTTCTGTTCACTCCGAGACCTCCTCCTCTTGAGGAAAAAAAGGGATCAAAGTCAGAATCTGAGCAACTATGCACCTACCCCTCCCCTAACCCAATATCAACCCAAACTTGTTATCGGTTGACTGTTGTTGAGTTAAGGGAGGGGTAGGTTCGCAGTTGCTGATAGCACATGAATTAGAATTCACTCATTTCACCCAAAAGATAATCGACTTGACTATTCACAATTCCGGCTGAGTATAACCTTCACAGAAGGAAACCAAAAGTGCCACGGCCACGTAATGAGAATTCAGTTAAGTTTCCATTCAGTACTGTACAAATATTAAGCAAAAGAGGAATTCTTTCTAGACTGGAACTCAACTTCCCCCTTCATTGTATCACCGCTGGGAAAAGCTTTATCCTTACTGCATCAACATCTGAGGAGACATGTAACGAGTGCAAAGAGAAGTATTAACTAAGGAATGCTTTACCTTGTATAGTCCATTATAGTGTTGAGCCTGTGAGCAATGGTGAACACAGTGCGGTCAGCGAACTCTCGCCGAATCGTGTGCTGGATGAGTTCATCAGTTTCCAGGTCCACTGCGGCCGTGGCTTCGTCTAGAACCAGGATCTTACTTTTACGGAGCAGCGCACGCGCTAAGCACACCAATTGCCGCTGACCAACACTGAAAGAATGACAAAAATGACCGATTATCTCTGGATATTCAGTAAAACTGGTCCGAAAAATCCCAACATTCAAAATGAAGACGAGTGCAAGACTTTTCAGACGCAGTAAGTTTTATGTACATACAAATACAAAAGTCATTTTCTTTGGAGACTTTAAACTTTACCTCGTTTTAAATCAGTGGATTTGAGCATCTTGGAAATGGGCTATTTCTTAATTGATAAGCAATTAAAACAGTGTGAGAAAATATGAATAAAGGGGTAAGTTTCTAAAGAAATTGTAGTGCTGCGTCGGTGGGAGAGTATATTAGGGTAATTTAGTATTATCAACTGAGTTGAAAACGTAAATTGGCCGCCGTAAAGAGTTCCAAAGCTGACGTTTCGAGCGTTAGCCCTTCATCATTCCAAACTTATTACCTTAGATTTTCGCCTCCTTCAGTCACGGGATGTAAAAGACCTTCTTCCAGTCCTGACACAAAGTTCTTCAAATGACTCATCTCTAGAATCTTCCAAAGCTCCTCGTCCGTGTGACTGTCAAACGGATCCAAATTGACACGTAGCGTTCCAGAAAACAGCACGGGATCCTACACCGCAAAAAAAAAACAAACAAACAAAAATGGTGATACAACCATAACTGAATTCTATGTACAATAACAATACGTTTTCTAAAAAAACAATTTCATCAGTGATATCTAAACCATTAATAGTTTGTCATCCTTTACTTCTGTCAACACAGTGACATAGGTTCACCAATCTATATGCTCAAGATGCAAACTTATGTAGTGCCCAAGTATTTTAGTCTACCTGTGGAATGATAGTAAGCCGTGACCGCAGATCCTGAAGACCAATCTTGGCGATATCCACACCATCGATAACAATTCGTCCACCAGCTCTCTCAAGAATACGAAACAAGGCTAAAGTAAGAGTTGACTTGCCTGCACCTGTGCGACCGACGATACCGACCTGAAATGTATGTAAACTTCGTAAGTAAAACTGCCGTTATACTAGGAAGATTTCCGTGATAAGTGCAGTTGTAAGGGAAAACCTTGCTTAGATTAATATAGGCAAAGAAAAAAAATGGCGACCAGAAGGTGTTGAAAGATGAAGGCTTTCCTTTGATGCCTTCAATCCTTTCTCTCGTGACCATCAATTAAAAAGTTAATGAAAATAAAACGCTCTAAAGTTCAGGAAAAAAACAAAAATTGGGCTGTTTATATGATACATTCTCAGGGATACAGGAAGATTGCAAACCATCAGCCATGAAACTACTGAATTTCTTGGTACACGTGCACTAAAAAATTACAAACTGGCATCTTTTATTTGTACTGAATGAGTTTATTGAGGTTTTCAATCTAGAACGAAACACTTATTCTGGACGACCTTTTGTACCTGTATAAAGTAAACGCGGTACAACACTGATATCAGTATGAATCCTCTTTAGGAGTGAGGGAAGCATAGAAAAAGTACGTAAATACTTGTTTTTACAAGCTAAATTATTTTGCATGTAAACGCGGTATGAAATTCATTTCGTTCCGGAACGAAACCCATTTTGGAATAATGTAAAAAGGTACCTTAGGGATGGACCATTAGATTTTTGATGCGGGGGGGGGGGGCGGTCTTTTGCCAATTGCACTATGTGTTTTCTTCCATCAAGCCTGTGCTCGATGATTTTTTTCGGGGGTTACTGCCCAACACCCAACACCCAACACCCAACACCCAACACCCAACACCCAACACCCAACACCCAACACCCAACACCCAACACCCCCGCATCAAAAGTCTAATGGTCCGTCCCTAATATGCTATTGGGTCCTACAACTTTTTATGTGATGGAAGAATTTGAATAAATATGTATTACTCGCGTTGTTTTTTTTTGGTTTTTTTTTATATTACCGAGCGAATTTCAAGTGATAATTTCAGGAAGTAAGAAGCAACAACAAAAGGATTCCTATCAAAGCGAGTTGCCATTTTCAGTCATACTTGGTCAGACACCTTGAAAACAAAGGATGACACGCAAGCAGTTTACTGCAAATTTGACATGAAAATAATTCTGATGCCTCTTTGAAAAGAAAAAAAGGCGTGATCAGTGGACATCGCAAGATCTCTGGCTCTGTTACAAAAGAATACTTAATGCACTAGAAGTGCAAACATCGAGTTCTGGATTCACTTGAATAGTCTGTTTAACAAATGCAGACGTACGGTTATTTTAATCCCAACCAAATTATGTCAAGACGAACAAAACAAAAAAAAGTACAGCCGTCCTGCCTCGCAGCAGGATAGATTTTGTCAGCATAAAAATCTGACAGATCAGTGCCTAAAAGTTTTTATAGGTAAATAACCAGTTCACGTGAATTTTACGAGTTGGCAAATCACATCTTTTGTTTTTGTTTTCGGAAATGGGTGAGGATGCTTGTCGTACCTTTCAGGGGTCAAAATCAGTTATCTGGTATCTTTAACGGTGTCTCAAACTTTAGACCTAGCTGGTACCTTTTAGGATGTTTTTCGCACAATAAAATACCTGAAATAAGCATCAGTACTAGGACGATTTTAATGATCTCACTTGAGCCTCTGGAGCACATCGATGAAGGAGTTCTTATTTTCGGGATTTTTCAATTTTTTTGTTTTTAAATTAGTACTTTTTAGGGGTAGATATCAGTTGTTACCACTCCCACACGGATAAGGCTCAGGTACCTTTATAATTTCATAGGGGTCGTTTTCGAAATTCCCGGTGCGCACCCTCGCCTGGGGGGTGCTGATACGCGCAGCGCACTTGAAATTTAGCCCGGACAAATTTTGATGTGATTTTCGGTGAAGAGAAAAAAAGTTATGTCAGCGTCTTGTAAGGGCCCTTTACCGTTGCGTGCTTAATTACGCGTCCCGCCAGACGGCGGGAAGCTCACAAAGTGCTGAGACATTAATATAGAAAACTCCGCCTCTGTCTGGATTTTTGGTAGCCTATTGACCAATTCCCAATCGAGACCTTAGTCTGGCGGGACGTGTAATTTTGCACAAGGTGGTAAGTAGCCAGGTTATATGGATTTTCCAGACGTCTTGCGTACTATCTGTGGTACACGGTTGCCAATTCCCCAATAGGCATTTGGAATCGACTTAACCCTACCTTTACCATGGCCGTACACTTCTTTTGGCACTCTACATCTACTAATGGAACCACGAATATTTCTTTGCCAGCTTCAATAATGACGGGGGAGTAAGTTTAGATGATAAAACAAAGGATTATCCCGACATAAATACCGGAGGTCAAGTAAATTCGTTACATGAGGTCACACAACTCGGGTAATATTCAGGGTGAAATTTGCATATTTGAGCGGTAGAACAAGAAAGAAGAAAGAAAACAGAAGGTCAAAGGTTGTTTTTGATGATTCATTTGCAAAACTTACACTTGATAGATAAGAATATCAAACCAAAATCGAAGACGGTAGCCTGCTCCAGTCTTCCAGTCGGTAAAACGCACTGCGATGTTAAAGAATTACGTACAATTCAAACCTACCTCCTTTTTCGCCCCCATCCAAGCTTCTCGCTTTTTTCGCTCTACCACCACTATATTACTTTTAATTTTATTATAGCGCTCCGTTTAACAGTGTTCCACTAACTGAACGCCTGGAAAAGGTTACAGTGATAGATGCCAAATTGTATGTTACAAGCGTCAGTAAATCTCGCGACGATCTAATCTAACTCCCGGACACAAATTATTTACCCGTACTCAATTACTCTTTGGATTTTTTTTTCAATTGAGAGTAATTAATTAAAACGTGGTGTGCGTGTAAGTACTGCAACCGTGAGTATTTTGTGATGGAGCTTAACTACCGTAATATTTCCGGCCGTTTACCCGCGGGTAATCTGTTGATTTTGCAATAAACGCGAGCCACTGCGGGTAATAGGGAGGTGCGGGTCATGTGACAATTTTAAACTCTACTGGTAGTTGGATTGAAAAAATTATCACCAACACGCGTTTCCCCCTCTCAAATGAATTTTATTGTATTAAGAGTGCCACAAAGCGGCACGTAAACATGATGCCGACTCGAGTTTATTTCACGCATAATCATTTGCGTGACGAACAAATTGCTATCGGCAATCGTGAAAACAAAACCTTGATGGTGCCAAAATTAATCCAAAGATATCCGGCGCATCAGTAACAAATTTCCATTTAACACTAGCTTGAGCTAGAGAGAATTTTCCCGTTGTGGGGGACTTGTTAGGCCCAATAAGACCGGAGATATCGATTTTTTTCAGAAATCGCCGACAGTACTTTATAATTCTAGTATTAACACTCGCCCAGCTTTCTTGCTTGCTTGGGCTCTTAAATTTATCATCATTTTTGCATTCCTTTTTTCGGTCTTTTAGATCGTATAATCTCGCTGCCATTTCTGTTATTGGTGCATTCTATGTGTAAAGAGAGTCATGATAAAATTGTTATTGAATGTGATTCTGTTGTTACCCTTAGTTCCACTATTTTAGGATCATAACAAATTTAGATTTTACTCATTTTAAAAATTTCATTCAATAACAAAGTACAATTAACTCAGGCTCTGTTTAATTAACAAAGTATCACTTGGCAGGAACCCTCCTGCATTAACGCAATTTAAGGAATTATCCCATCCGCTCTAAGTTATCGGCTAGTGAGGCTGAAGCCGTTCCCATCAGCCCATTTGCTTCCGGTAATTTTATTTGACTTTCAGTTTCAATTTCTTAACTATCCAGTCATTTTATTTGACTTTCAGTTTCAATTTCTAAATTTAAGTATCGTGTGAACATTTATCAAAACGCAAGCGAGCGAAGATATTGCTTACTCGGCGAATTCATCCGCTTGGGCAGTCATCGCAAACCTTGCAAATCAACACGGCTTTTGTTTGAAGGAGAGAACAATAGTCTCATTCAGACGGTTGTGGACATCTAATGATCCTTGACCGAGGATGCTCTCAACTTTTCAAATTCGTGTTATGGTTTTGATAGTTGCACTGAGTCACGTCGTAGGCAACTCGCTTATCTACAGCCTCGGCAGTGAAATACGATCTATGGAGAATTGTTTTGTACACATGGCTGATCTAACTGCGCTTAAGCAAGAAATGGCGAATTCAACGACGACGCACTACATACTAATCAAGCTTAGCGTAGGATACGAGAAGCTAATACACGACAATTTCACGAACGAGAAGTCTGTTAACTCAAGCGAATCCGCTTCTGATCATTGTCAAGTCTGCTTGGTAAACAAACGACTCTTTCCATCAAAGACATCGAATAAAAACTCGATAAATCCATTTCTTTATAAAGAACACAGAGAAATACATGCCATTTGTACTTTGAAACCAGCGGGAACGACTTTTTCAAGCTCTGTGGATTACAGCAACCGTTTTTTCGCTATTTGTGAGCTTATTAATTTCGAAGCTGACTTTGAAAGCATCGATTACCATGCTGTGGAAACAGATCCTCTTGGATTGTGCATGAATTTTACCATACCAGACAGGACGAACAGAACTGAAGGACTCCAAGGAGCTGTAAATCTCAGGGGATGTTCAAATATGGTGTTGGATTTCTTCTCCTTTGTATTCATCTCAGTGTTCATATATTACTCTCCGGTCTTTTTTTGTCTGTTCTACCCGACGGAAATCTTGCAAGATGGCGTTACTCATATCATTCTTGAGGGAGCAAGTCCCGTTAGTCTCAGAAGCCTTGCGGGAAATTACTTTTTCTCTAGAAGCGAAGGAGAGGGAATTTGGTGCAAGGCAAAAATATTCATTTTGAGAGCTTTTATTATACCTCTTCCATTTCTGATTAGTGCAACCTTCCTTGCGGATTTTGAACATAATATTCCTAGTAATATCCTGTTAGACAATAGGCTCCTCCTCATAGTGTTTGGTTTATGTTATTTTTTTCAGGTTTTTTGCAGATCATGTTTCTTTGAAAGACCATTGATAGCAGAGCCTTGTTACATTTGTGAGTGGTTTAGGCTAGATACCCTTTCCTGTCACGAGGAACTTCCTCCGCTAATTATGAACCATTTGCGCCTCCAGCCTTTAATCTTGGTAGAATACTGGAGGTTTTGCAAACAGAGATTCCTATACTATTTCGAAATGCCTGCCTCGGTGATTCCTTCCTGCAGATGCTCTAGAGGTTTTGCGATTCGTCTTGTACTATTTATCTCTTTGTTGCTCTGTATACCCTTTATGGCAGCAACGTTTTTGACCACTCTAGGTTTAATGACTGCTCCGGCAACTTCCTTATGCCGGTATCAATTCATACCGAGACCAACTGTAAATTCAAAAATGTCGATGTTACTCAGCTTCATAATTGGTAGCCTCTTCCTTTTTGCATGGCTTGGTGTCTTTCGTCTTTTGCAATTAGCAGCTTACGGTGCCCAGAATGCTCTAGTACGTGTTTTTCTACTTTCCCTCTCAGAGGAACATCTTCCTTACGTGGCTTGTTTCGTTTCTGTCTTGTACTACATTTGGTCAAGCTACAGCTCTTTTACAGAAACATACCACGAGCTTGCCCTGGCTTTACACGATAGCCATAAGGACTCAAAACGAACCCAATCTCAAGATGTTCCTTCCACCCCTGATCAGCTACCAAAACTACCTAACAATACACACGATCTTGACAACGTGATGGCAATTCCAAAAGAACTCTTCGGAATAGCATGTGAAGAACTTTTGCCTCTCAGGGAAGGTGTCTATATATTAATTTTGAAGATCACATTGCTCTTGTCTACTGTGTTTACTGTGTTTTCATGGGTGACAGCGTCCAGCTTTGACACGACGCCTTTGATGAAAACTTTGTTAGCGTTTCTCACTTTCGCGTTTCCCAAGATCGTAGACATGTGCATTGATGGAGAATGGCAGAAAAAAATGCGAGAAAGGATTATGAAGGAAAAGGTTCCAAAAATTGTGGACAATTTCATCTATGAAACTTCTATGACAACCCATTCACAGAGTGACAGAAATGCAAACAATGACGAAGTGATTTTTGTAAATGAAGACCACATTGAGCTTGAGATCATGTCTCCTTAAAGATACCTGTTCAAGGCGAGAAAAACAAGGTACTCTGGTTTTATCAAATGAATTAACAATGTAAATTGGCCAGCGTTTCAAAGTTGACGTTTCACGCGTTCATCATTAGCTCTGACGAGGGGCTAACGATCGAAACTTCAGCTTTGAAACTCTTTACGGTGGCCAATAGATGTTATCACCTCAGTTGATGATATCCAATTCGATACTCTCCCACCGACGCAACACCACAGTTTCTTCGGATACTTTCCCCCTTTATTCATATGGCTAGAAAAATCTTATTTACTATTAAGACAACTTTACTGGAGCATTTTGTTTGCCTTTCAAAACTTTCTATAAGCATTAATTTCAATTACCCAGGGACAAACAGTTTTCCTAAGCAAAGAAGGAGAATATGAAAAAAATTTGGAAGAGTTGAATGAATGCTGGAGGAGATTATAATTGTTAACTGGAATTGCGCAACCACGCTTTTGGATCTTTTGTTCAATCAAGTCTGTATAAAAGATCGCAAAAAGCTGCAAAAATTCCTTCAAGTATGAGCATATTTTCCCCTACGAGTTGGGAAACAATTATATTTCATCTTTCCCCCTCTTTCATTTATCAAATTCAAAGATACAATTTTCCACCTCGAAGGCTTTAGGTTTTCAGGTCTTTCAGGCTGTGTATTATAAATTATCTGAAAATAATCGCATTGAGCGAACAAGATCTTAATGTTAGTATAGGTAACAACATGTCATTTGGTTTTAATAAGCACGAGTAACTTTTTTAAAGACAACAAAATTCCACGAGCCCGTAGAGCAAGTGCCATCTGTAGTCTTTGAAATATTTTAAGGGGTTATTACACCACATTGCACGAGAAAACACGTTATTACTTGTTAATAATGTACATAGAGACAACCTAAATTTTGAAAGCGTGCGCGTGGTATTTGTAATTTGCACTCGTGTTACGACTTTGCATCCGTGTAGCATGAGAATGCACTCGTTTTCAACTAATCAGAAGCGCGTAATTTTTCATGTACATAATTACACGTAATATACTGTTGTTTGGGTATATGTCAATATGTTGGTTGTGCCATCATGTGTTTATGTGAAGCCTTTGCAATGTTATTGTTATAATATACATCTCTTTATATAATGGTTAAAACTTTAGACCCCAAGATTGATGGTATCACATTTCTCCTCACAATATTCTTTCGAGTAAAGATCATGAGAGTCTAGGAAATGATCATAGAAAAGAGACTACTTTGAAGTTTTACTCACAATTTTTTTTCTAAGGATATGTGAGGAGACCAGATGTGAGAATTTATATGTTGATCAAGGGGCTTAAAGAGTTCAACTTGATAAGTTTGTTCCTCTCATAACTTGTTTGTTGGATAATTTTACAACGCTTTAAATGTGTCCGCCAGGGAGCAATTGTAATCGTGAATGTTAGGGGAGCATCTAAAAATTAGGTTGAAGACGAGTAGATTAAGAAATAATCAATTCGTGAAGATTTGTTGAATCTGTTATATTTACAAAAATAGACCAGAAGCTATGTTCCTTTTACATTATATTCTGTTACTAGTTCCATATACCTTAGTAAAAAAACCGCATCCTGTAAACAATATACTTAAGTTTAATTCCTAGTTTAAAATCCTGTCATGAAGAAAGCCTTAGAGGGATAAAAATGTTACGGAATGTAAACCATCTTTGTTTACGTCATGAGGATGACCTCGTTATTTGCGAAACGTGTCATATTGAGATTAGATTTGAAAAGTAATGTTCTCTGGTTGTTTGAATACAATTTTTCATTAATAATTATACTTTGTGTGTGCCATGCAATTCTGGTGATGTTAGTTTGGAGAATCTGGATCTCCTTAAAATCCCATAATTAATATTTTTCTTTAGTCTCATCACTTTTCTACTTGATAATGTATTTATGTTGCAAGGAGAAATTCTGTCTTTAGCCACTCGTGGTTTTAGGATCTCTTTACAAGGCATAAGATTCTGTGTGCACAGTTTCTAGAGAAAGATTGCAAACGGGATGATGGGAACGGTTTCAGATAAGTTCGACTGTAGCTAAATAAGTTGTCTACGACGTTAGCCAGAACACAGGCGGCCCAAGCTCCAGCTGTGAGATGATCATCTTGCGCAATATCAGTCATGGCGGAATTATAAGAGTTTGTATGGGAATATTTACGACCGCTCTAAGGTATAAAATAATACGTCAAATTCTCAAAAAAAATACCTCACCTTACTTTCAAAGCGTATCGCTTGTTATATGACCGCTTACTTTGATGAAAAGAACGCATTTTAGCGAGTTGTCCATTTCGAGGTTTTTCTTATGTACGTTGAAAACCTCGAAATAAACAACTCGCTTAAATGGGCTCTTTTCATCAAAGTAAGCGGTCAGATAACAAGCGACACACTGTGGAAGTAAGGTGAGGTTTTTTTTTTTGAGAATTTGACGTATTTTTTATTCCTTAGAGCGGTCGTAAATATGCCCATACAAACTCTTATAATTCCGCCATGACTGTTATTGCGCAAGATGATCATCTCACAGCTGGAGCTTGGGCCGCCTGTGGCTCGAGCAATCCATCGCCGAAATTAAAAACAAACATGGTTAAACCTCGGAAACGACGATTCCATTTCATCGAAAGTGATTCGGACACAGACTGAACAATTCTTTGAACTGTTTAGCCGGACTTGAAGATATGAAGATATCATTGCATATTATTGTTTTGATCGTATGCGGTTGTTTTGATCAAACGCTCGGTTTGAATAAACTTTATCTGCACTTGATGCGCTTGCTTTGCTTATGCTTAATTATGATAAGCCATCGTGTATTTTTCCATGTATATAATTAATTTTGTTAGTCTTGAAGAAAATTTACTCGTGCTTATTTATTCCAAATTGCCCTCGAAATCATGTGATTACCTATACTAATATACTATTGTCTGGGTATATCAATATGGTGGTTGTGCCATCATGTGGTTAAGTGAAGCCCTTTGCAATGTTATTGTTATAATAACCATCTCTTTATATAATGGTTAACACTTTAGACCCCAAGATTGATTGTATCACATTTCTTCTCACAATTTTCTCACGACTAAAGATCTGAGAATCTAGGAAATGATCACAGAAAAGAGACTGTCATCTTGAACAATCACTCACAATCTTTGTTCTAAGATATGCGAGGAGACCAGAGATGAGAGTTTATATGTTGATCAAGGTGCTTTAAGAGTTCAACTTGATAAGTTTGTTCCTTTCATAAGAGTGCATCTACAAATTAGGCTGAAGGCGAGTAGTTTTACAAATAATCAACATTTCATTTCGTGAAGATTTGTTAAATCCGTTATAATTACAAAAACAAACCAAAAGTTGTGTTCCTTTACATTATATTCTGTTACTAGTTCCATAGCCATTAGTAATTCCTAATTTAAAATACTGTAATAAAGAAAGTTTTGGAGGGATAGAATATAAACCATCTTTGTTTACGTCATGAGGATGACCCAGTGATTTTCGAAACGCGTCATATTAAGATTAGATTTGAAAAGTAATGTTCTCTGGTTGTTTGAATAAAATTTGTTCGTTAATAAATATACTTTGTGTTTGACACTAACTCTGTTGTCACTTAAGGATTCCTTATCACAACAGGCCCGGCCAAAAGCAAACAACGAAAAACACTTGTAAAAGCTTGGACTGGATGAGGAGAGAGAGAGAGAGGGTTGGGTCTGACAATAAATAATGCCAAGAAAAATCTGTTAAAGGGTGAAGAGGAGGAAAAGGGGGGGCAGGGGGCAGGGGATAAAGGTAGATGAAGCGGGAAGGAGGAAGGATAATTTTCAAAATGAATTTTTGGTCGTGGATAAGAACTTTCATGGAGAAGGCAATCCAAGAGCACGGACGCAAAATAATTGGTTCTAATTGACAACTATACACACTCTTGGCGAATCGAGATCAACCGAACACCACACAGTTCATGCCAAGTTGTCTGCTAGGACCCAAATCGCAGATATCTTTCCCTTTTTCTTTTCAAGCTAATATTGTTAAAAATATCCTTTCTGATACGTCAGTGATAATATGAGCGCATCGTGCATCAGTTAAAAACAAATTCCTATGTAGCCGATTTCCCGATTTCCTTCCGAAGCGCTTCCGCCTTGTGATGCCGTCATAACGTGCCTAGCTTCTCAAGCCAGTCCAGCGTCACGAGCCATTTTGTAGAAGATTCCCTGTTGAGCTAACAGAGCCTGTGGAGTGTCAAACTCCATCATGAAACCCTTGTCTAGCACCATGATCCTGAAAAAAAAAACAAGACTCGCATATCACTCAGTGTTCTGTTCATTCCGAGAACTCCTCCTCTTGAGGAAAAAAAGGATCAAGGTCAGTATCTGAGCAACTATGCACCTACCCCTCCCCTAACCCAATATCAACCCAAACTTGTTATCGGTTGACTGTTGTTGAGTTAAGGGAGGGGTAGGTGCGCAGTTACTGATAGCACATGAATTAGAATTCACTAATTTCATCCAAAAGATATGCGACTTGAATATTCACATTTCCGGCTGAGTATAACCTTCACAGGAAACCAAAAGTGCCATGGCCACGTAATGAGAATTCACCTAAATTTCCATTCAGTAATGTACAAATATTAAGCAAAAGAGGCATCATTTCTAGACTGGAACTCAACTTCCCACTTCATTCTATCACCCCTGGGAAAAGCTTTATCCTTACCACATCAACATGTGAGGAGACAAGTAACAAGTGCACAGAGAATTATCAACTAAGGAGTGCTTTACCTTGTATAGTCCATAATAGTGTTGAGCCTGTGAGCAATGGTGAACACAGTGCGGTCAGCGAACTCTCGCCGAATCGTGTGCTGGATGAGTTCATCAGTTTCCAGGTCCACTGCGGCCGTGGCTTCGTCTAGAACCAGGATCTTACTTTTACGGAGCAGCGCACGCGCTAAGCACACCAATTGCCGCTGACCAACACTGAAAGGATGGCAAAAATGACCGCTTATCTCTGGATATTCAGTAAAACTTGTCCGAAAAATTCCAACATTCAAAATGAAGACGAGTGCAAGACTTTTCAGACGCAGTAAGTTTTATGTACATACAAACATAAAAGTCATTTTCTCATCAAAGACTTTAAACTTTACCTCGTTTTAAAGCAGTGGATTTGAGCATCTTGGAAATGGGCTATTTCTTAATTGATAAGCACTTAAAACAGTGTGAGAAAATATAAATAAAGGGGGTAAGTTTCTAAAGAAATTGTAGTGCTGCGTCGGTGGGAGAGTATATTAGGGTAATTTAGTATTATCAACTGAGTTGAAAACGTAAATTAGCCGCCGTAAAGAGTTCCAAAGCTGACGTTTCGATCGTTAGCCCTTCATCATTCCAAACTTATTACCTTAAATTTTCGCCTCCTTCAGTCACGGGATGTAAAAGACCCTCTTCCAGTCCTGACACAAAGTTCTTCAAATGACTCATCTCTAGAATCTTCCAAAGCTCCTCGTCCGTGTGACTGTCAAACGGATCCAAATTGACACGTAGCGTTCCAGAAAACAACACGGGATCCTACATCGCAAAAAAAAAAAAAAGTGATACAACCATAACTAAATTCTATGTACAGTAACAATACGTTTTCTAAAAAAAAGAATTTCATCAGCGATATCAAAACCATTAATAGCTTGTCATTCTATACTTCTGTCAACATAGTGACATGGGTTCACCAATCTATATGTTCGCTATGCAAACTTATGTAGTGCCCAAGTATTTTAGTCTACCTGTGGAATGATAGTAAGCCGTGACCGCAGATCCTGAAGACCAATCTTGGCGATATCCACACCATCGATAACAATTCGTCCACCAGCTCTCTCAAGAATACGAAACAAGGCTAAAGTAAGAGTTGACTTGCCTGCACCTGTGCGACCGACGATACCGACCTGAAATGTATGTAAACTTCGTAAGTAAAACTGCAGTTATACTAGGAAGGTTTCCGTGATAAGCGCAGTTGTAAGGGAAAACCTTGCTTAGATTAATATAGGCAAAGAAAAAAAATGGCGACCAGAAGGTGTTGAAAGATGAAGGCTTTCCTTTGAGCCCTTCAATCCTATCTCTCATGACCATCAATTAGATGATTAATGAAAATAAAACGCTTTAAAGTTAAGAAGAAAATACAAGCCGTGTTTATGATACATTCTCAGGGATCAGTACAGGAAGACTGCAAACCATTAGCTATGAAACTGTCGAATTTCTCGGTACACGTGCACTGGTTTTCTTTACTGATACAAAATGTTTTCAACACACCTTTTCTCCCGGCTTAATATCACAATTGATCTGCTTCAGCACAAGAGGTAAACCTTCTCTGTATTTTAAGTCAAACTCTTCTATGACAATGTTTCCTGCCTCGGGCCAGTCCTCTGAGGGTCGATTATCTGGAATAATCCACTCAGCCTAAAAAAGCATCCACACCATAAACGCAATATTAAATAAACACGACTACAATTAAAAAAAAATTCCATGTCTTTCCAGATTCATGATCCGCACGATCCCTTTAAGGAACACTTTAATACCAGACCAAACGTAGCCAGATTAACGTCTATGAAGCAAGGGGACAATTTTTCACATGGCATAAATGTCTTATCAGTTGTAAGATCAAACCACACCTCAGTGGGAGTCTCTGAGTATTCCTTCACTCGTTCTACCGATACAATGTTCGTCTCCAGATCACTGCTCATTCGCACCATCCAGTTAAGCGTTTGGGTTACCTTGCAACAAGAAAAACGCAATATTGTTAAGTTTATTAAGACTTTTCTTCAAAGAAATCTTGTTTAGTTCGAGAATTTCTATTAAATTTTTTGTTTTGGATCTTGAAAGTTGTTCTTGAGTTGATTTTCTTCCGTTCGTTTGTTAGTCCAAGCAGAACGCGACTTCGCTAGTTCCCAGAAACAAAACAATCGGTGTCTCGGTGGAAACCATTTTAGAGCGGATTTCTTTTGAGCGCTTCAAAGCCAAATCCAAAGTTATTACGAAAGCGAGTTAGAAAAAAACAAAATTTCACAAGGTGCCAATGAGAACTCAAAGAAATAACAAACCAACTCCAGAGACGCTGGAGAAGAAAAACAAAAAAAGGTATGTCGAGATTACTTTTCACCTCTACATCCGATTGACGGATAGGATTGCTCGAGGTTTTTAAAACAGTACAGCAGCACTTCAGACATTCGCTTGGCTGTAGTACAATCAGATAGTAATAGCCATTGTTGTCACTTTTTAATGATTCAGCACCACGACAAGTCAACTACTTACCTGCAAAGCATACGTAACGGACAAGCCGACGAGACCGCTTTGTAAAGAATTGCGGCTAACGACAGCAAAAACAGCAGCGAAAAATATGATCAAGTTACCAATAAACTCCAGACGTATAGCGAGCCACCTGAAAATAAAAAAAAACATATATATATCAATAAGTAGATATATTGTTCAAGGAAGAGAGAGAGGGAATCCCTGATTGGCTGAGTGAGTGAATGAATGAATTAAGTGATGTATGAATTAAATGACGAATTAGGGGATTCTTCGCACAACCTTTGCGTTTTCTCAGATACTGGAGAACAAAAAGTTCTAACCGAAAAAAAGGTTAAAGTGTTTGGGATTGAAAAAGTAGCAAAGAACACCCGAAAAGCAGTAAGGGCCATTTGAAAAACGGACCCGTAAGTAATTACTTATAAGAGTAGCCGCCTTGGCATTCTGCCATCACTATATTTTTTACCTATTTGATGATATTGAGGGATAGCAGGAAACTTGGTTCTCATCTACGATGGCATAGTTGCCTTGTATGAAGCGCTGTTGCTGAGCAAAGGCTCGGATGGTGGAAGTTCCGTTGATGGTCTCCAAAAAATTGTTGTATATCGGTGAACGACTGACAGACTCAATCCTTTTCAGCTGACGAGAACTTGCCACGTATATCCTCTAAAGAAAAACCGACAACACACAAACAATTACATTTCCTTCCTATTTTCAAAAAGGAGGACAAACTGGCTTCAATCGCAAATGTTGTGTTTCTTGGGTTTCGCCTTGCAAGGGAGGTGAAATAATTGATTACGATGTTTTCATTCAAGTGGTTCATTACCCTAAGCTCTGTTCCTGAAATGAGCCGCTAAGTGTCCACGTGAGCTCATTCCCAGGACCTTACTTAGACCCCACCGTTACCCACTTCTCAGTTTTCAAAAGTCCCTTTTTCAAGATTTCCTTGATAAAAATGTTTTTCAGACCACATGCTTAGATAATCTAACAAACATAGAGGAAGCATCCAGTCTTCCATCATAGCCTTCCCTGTGCATGACTATCACAATATGCTATTTTTATCATGGCTACAACGAGACGAAAAAAACACCAAAAATATGATGAGTTCAGCGATAATAATTTTAAGTTTCCTGAACTTTTCTTAAATTCCCAATTTTACCTCATTCCCTGACCATGATAAGATTACCTTTTCCGGACCTGTAGCAACCAGGTCTCATGGAGACCTGTTACCAACTATAGATAAAGATCAGATCAGTTTATGAGCCAGAGCGGCCGTGCTATGCGATTTTATGCTGGTTTCAGTGGCATAAAACGACTAGAAACATTACTCTCCCTGCCATCCCTTGACAGGATATTACATCTGTGTGAAGCGAGGCACTGTGAAAGTTAATTGCGTTACCGAAAAACACAACACAATGAGTGGTAACGTACCTGTATAAAAATATACAACACTCCCAGAGGGACAATGATAGCCAAAAATATGGGTGTGGCAAAGCTTATCGTGAATATTGAGGCGATGACGGCGAAGAACGTCCGCAGGAACGATGACACGCTCCTAGGCACCATATCATCAATGCCACTAATGTCCTTAGAGAAGCGGTTCATGATTCTCCCCTGTGGAGTGGTCTCAAAAAAAGACATAGGTGAGTGCAGAATGTTGTCCAGCATTCTTTGATGAAGATAGCGGGACGCTATTATTGTTCCAGTCGCCAGAGCTAAGGCTTGCAGCAGCACTAACACGCACTGGGACACGCCTAAAGCACTGTAAACACCAAGAAAAAGATCGCGTTGGTCGTCTGAAGTTACATCCGTGGAGCTCCACCGAGCGAGCCAAATTCCCGAGGAGACTGAGGCAGCTTCTGCCAGCACTAAGAAAAAAACGACGCAAATGGACAAGGGAACTGTGAGAGACTTTGCATAGGCCCAGAACACTTTCAGTTTCACCTGGAAGAAAAAAACATGTTAAGACTTACTACCTTAACTGAAACATGGTTTATCATGGAGATGTTCATAAGGTTAATTAATTTTCCAAATTCAAAACTTTACCAGATTTTTTACAAACCATGAAGATTTAGGACTCCAGGCAAGGACGCGAGCCTGAGTGGAATGGAGCTTGTCAAGGTGTTCTCTCTAGTTTGGAAATACTCTGATAGCACTCGTAAAAGGCTATTGCCAAATGACCGATAAAAATTCAGCCAACGGCTTTGATGCTGACAACTTTGCTGCCACAAAATTCAGATCATGTGAAGTTTGGTTTGGGATATTAACATGGCATGTAAATCCATTTATTGTTCCAGATTCTCTTTAAAAAGCTCTCCAGATCCAATAAATGAATTTGATATTCTCCGGACTTTTTTCAAGAACCGAAACTCTTTTTGAAGCCTTTGCTCCACAATTTCTTTCCTTTGACCTATACACATTCTTCTTGAGTCAACTGCGTGACATTAAAAAAATTATCCGAAGCCGAATCTCACCCTTCCGGTTTGAGATTTCTCTTCTTCAATCATCCTGTCAGCCTGCTCCTGATCTGGTCTTGTAAACTGACAGTCTAAATCAGCAGTGTCCACAGTGATCACCGACATACTCTCTGCTCGCTTCAGACGTTGGACATCCGAGTGACTATCAAGTCTCTCAAGGCTGAGTCTTGAACTGAACTGACCATCCACTTCCTCCACGTCTTCTACAACTATTTCTGGCGTAGGGTCTTCGGCTGTTCCGAGATGACAAAAGCATTCTTTTTACTTTGAAAAACGTTTTTATGACACCAAATAACTCACTATATTACTAAAAAGATAAATTAATTTGCATAAGGCGAGGTTGCTCTGTTAACTTGTCACGAACTTGTCATGCAATATAAACGAAAATATTCCGACTTATTTCAACCCAAAAAAAAAATCTCTGTGGCTCAACTGACATAGCGTTTGAACAAGAACTCCGAAGGTCTTTGTCCGAAAAAACGAAGGACCCTGTCTATTTGTCCTATGAAGAAGCTTCCGACAAATCTTAAACATCTCCCTTTAAAATGAGTACTGCAAGTGACACTCTGATCTTGTCGGAAATTAGCATGTCCTCTAGTCCCAGATCACGACGGGAAACGAGGACAAAATAGGGTCAGGGGCAGCAGAGGATAGGAAGAACAATGAGGAAGCAGAGGAGGGGTATGAAGATAAAAAGAAAAAAAACAAGAACCGTCAGTGAGCACTCACTGCTACTGTATTCAACTCACCATACTCAAGTTTTGTCTGTTCCTCTGTGGCATATGTCTTCAAAAACTCGGCAAAAGCTCCCTTGTTCTTGATCAGCTCAGTATAGGTGCCGACCTGTGTACATAAACAATCATATCCCAAAAATGTAAAAATTTACTAACACGTTCAGTTGTTGCAGTCATCTATCACTTGACAGGATAACTGACAACGTCGACTGGGCGGAGCCCAAATGACTCAAAATTTGTAGTGCAGCAGGACGCGCGTTTCTCCGCCCGCTGGAAGATTTGAGACGGGTCGGGGAGATATTTACTGGGTTCTGGAACTAATAACAGTTCTAAACAACTTACAGGCCTCTTGCCGGCTGGCTTTGCTCCAGGCCTCATATTTTCCCGCGGGCGAGAAACGCTCACGCTTTGTCCCAGGCCTCATATTTAACCGAGGGAGAGGAAACGCTCATGCCAAAGCGCTAATATTGAGTGGCTTCTTGCAGGCTACAAAATTGTCATATCTATTGTATGAGGGAGCCGCTGAATAATGTTCATCTATCAAAAAAACAAACAAACCTCTGATATTCTGCCATCTTGTAAGACAATGATCTGATCCACTTGGGGAAGGAAGGCAATCCCGTGTGTGACAAGGATACGCGTCTGGCAAAGACGAGAACACAAACAAAGCATTTGATATTACGTTTGCAGGACGAAGTGCCGCGGGTTTACAAAAGTATGTTTGTCATGAAAGCATCCATTCTATCGAAATGCGATTTCATCCATTGCAACCATAATGGCATTCAGAAAATGGCTCTACTTACGGTGGTTCAAGGTAGTTTCGTTATTTCTATGTATCAATTTGTAGATAAACTGATACTGCCACTCTTTTTCGTACACACCGTTTTCATAATGGAGAGCATGATTTTGAGTCTACTATGTGCTCTCTCCCCTCCCCTCCCCCCTCTTGTTTCCGAGGGAGCAAATGAAAGGAGCTACTATTCATAATATAATTTGTTTTTAAAATAAGGAAACCTTTTTAAGCCTTATTAGCCACGATCTGTCTCTTTAAAACCTACGTACACAAGAGAGCGTTTCGAGTAAAATCTTTCTTGAGACACCCTTTTACAGATCTCGACTCATAGAATCCTAAAACAAACAAAAATATAAACAAACAAACAAACAATGAACAAATAAACTAACACGCCAACTGACTCACTGACTGCCTGGCTAACTAACTACTCTACTAACAAGTCAGCCACCAAGCTAACAAACTATATTAAGGAACTTAGTCTTAAACAAGCCATCTTGGTGTCAAATGTACTGACCTTCTTTCTAAGTTTTCCCCTTGGACCTATGACCTTATCAAATATGTGTTTTCCAACATGTGAGTCCACAGCACTGAGTGGATCGTCCAACAAGTAGATATCAGCATTGAAGTACACAGCACGGGCCAGGCTTACACGCTGTTTCTGTCCACCGCTAAGGTTTATACCCTACGCATTGAAAGCAGTACAGGTTTTTATTATGACAAGAGTGACTTGAAAAGCATATAATTATCTTTCACTCCTTCCTCCTTCAGTTTACAACGATTACACAAAAAAGTAACACATCAGCTTGCGAAAGAAAAAATTTATGTGCAAATGGTATATTATCACAGTAGATACTGAAAACGATTTATAGAAGCTTGTGAGATGAAAATTTGTGTAGAGACCCGCTCAAACGAGACGATGGCATTCATTTGCCACACGAGTATTTGACTTTGACGCTGAAGGACAAGACTTCATTAATAAAAATTGTTAGAATTTGCTTTTCACGATATAATTCGTCCTTATTTGTTGATTCTTCTCTATCAATTTCCCCGAGTTCTTAGCCGAATCATTGGAATTTTAAAATACATTCTAATATTTATAAAACTTTTAATTTTTATCCAGTGTAACCATTTTTCATAGTAATGGAAGCTACGATATCAAAAGCCAAGTTTACGACTTTAACTAACGTATGTGGCTTGGCAAAAGTTCTGTTAACTTTACCCTTTCTCCAATCTCCGTGAGATCTCCTCCAGGCAGGATGTCAAGATCAGTCTGCAGCGCACACGTGTAGATTGTCTTGGCGTAACGTTTGGATTCAAAAGTTCTTCCAAATAAAATGTTATCCCTGAGAGTTGCATTCTGAATCCATGCTTGTTGGGGAACATAGGCCACTGATCCCTAAAAAGGAAAAAAACATTTACAATATGAACTGAAGTTTTGGTCGATTTTAGATTCCTGAAAAACATATTCTAAACAATCAATGTAGGATCCTTGTTTTTGCCCAACCGCTTGCGCACTGGAAACACGTCAATCCATGACTTTTCATACGAACTCCGAACTCAATTGATAAGATGTATAAATGTACCTTCACATAAACCCTTCCATCCAGTTTCTCCGTTTCTCCGAGAAGAGCAGAGAGCAGAGTAGATTTACCACAACCAACCTGGCCAACAACAGCAACCAAAGAACCACTGGGAATGTTGATATTAATGCTGTGTGAAAAACAAAAACAGTTCCGAAATAAGTTGTGATATTTACTATGAAGCTCGCTCCACGAGCGGCTGAGATAAAGCAAATCCTGTTTAAGGACTGGCTACCCGAGTCATCTTGACAGTTGGACGGTTTCATCCCGCGAAAAGAAACGTGTTTGTGAACGATTTACATACCTCGTAACATCTCGACAACTCTTCGTTTTCTGGAAGTTTTAGCAACAAAAGCACCAAATTACATCCTTAGACATTGAAAAGGAAGAAATCCACGCGGGTTTTTGAATGTACTTTGCAATGCTTGGGTAATTGCTTTTATTACATACATTGTTGTTGTCGAGATCTCTCTATATTAACCTCGTTCTTTTATTTTTTTTTCATACAAGAGAATTTACCTCTTCCTTGGTCAATAATGCAGACAGAGGTTGGGAGACTGATCTTTCTTTAAAAATAAAAGGAAACAGCAACTCACTCTTTCAAAGCTGGTTTGCTATTCGTGTCCCAGCTGAATGTCCCATTCTCAACGTGGATGTCTTGTGTGCTAACTGTAAATTAAGAGCACATGGGGCAACAGGAGTGGGTTTAACTTTGTGGGCATTACCATAAATATTTTCAGTTTGTTTTGAAAAATAATCCAGGGCAGCAATGGTATTGTTTTACCCCACTGTGTGATTGGTCCAGATTACTCGCGCCACTCTTTCATTGGCCGCTCAGTGTGATACCGTTGTTCTGATTGGCCATTGTGATCTCTTCATGCTACAGAAACCGAGATAAGCTTCAGCGGGATGAGCCACAAGGCACGATTGCTGACTTAGCCCTTTAACCCCCAAAATCTCATCAGTAATTCTCCTTACTGTCTGCCATACAGTTCTTGTGACGATAGTTTGGGGAATTTGGTATTGGACCAAATATAATCCTCTTGCTGACATTTTTCTTAATCTCATCACTTGTTTGCTTGATATTGTACAGATATTGTATGGAGAAATTCTGTCCTGGTCACCCATGGGAGTTAAATGATTAACCTTTACCTTTCACGACCCTTATTTGAATAGCGCTCTAAAGATTGTTTACACTCACTGTGTTCCGGCATGTTCTTCGCCACATTCTCTGAATCAAGTTCTTCTAGGAAAAGAAATTCTGTCAGGCGTACGATGGACACTCGTGCCTAGCGATGCAGGATAAGAGTAAATTAACATTGAACAAGAGTAACAACAACAACAAAAACAACAACAACAGTAGCAGTAATGGTTGCGATTCCAGCACAAAAGAGTGGCGCACTTAATACAACTTTTTCAAGGTAGTTGGAAGACACACTGTGTATCATAACTTGACGTGCCATTCCGTCGACCGCGTCGTGTGCCTTTTAAAGAAGCGACGTGGCTGGCGACCATTTACGGTGGTTCACGAGATATCTCACAGGTTAAGGACTTTAACAGCTCACGAGAAAAAAAAGGAAATGCTCCTCTCATTTTTGCTTACGACCACTAAAACCTAATTAAAGAGCACTAGTGCTTGGTACATGACAGCCTAACACAGATCGCAAGATAAGGCGAATCTTTACTTACTTGTAATGGATTTAAAACGGTCGCAGCTTAGAGCTCTGCTAAAGTAAGCTCTGAGGGAAATTTTATCAGAAGACGAAGGACAACAGTTTGACCAAATAGCTACATACCTGGATCAAGCTGATGATCACATTTGGAAACATGACGAGGGGAAAACGTAAAATGTTGAAGAGTGAAATTGCAACAAAAGCTTTAGATGCTGTAAGTTCATTCCCAGTCATGACATAGATCGCGAAGGTAGCTAATGAAACCTGAAAGGCGAAAGAGAGGAAAATAAGTAATGGTGATTTAATTCCTTCGAGGCCCGTTTTTGGATTGTATTTCTCAGGATAACTAAAAAATCCTCGGGCCCTATAATTTTCCGGCAGAGTCCTTTGAAAAAGATTCTTCCCATATTCCAAAACAAATACTTCATCGTTTAATACCATATGTAAATCAATTCCTGCTGATGTCGCGCTGTAAATCTGCTTATGAGCCCTCGTTGGAAAACAAGGTTAACTTCAACACCAAACTTATGAAATGAAAACACTCTCTCTCACGCTAAAAGGAGATGCAAAAGTCTTGGCACGCTCTCCTACACCTTCAAACTTTTTTCTCTAACTCTCATTCCCCCCCTCTTCCCCTTCTCCCCCAGTCGTGTTGCCTGGTGTTGACAAAATTATCCGTAAACTATTGCATCATCGTTTGGGGGACTGGGGAGAAAGGGCAGCAATCTTATCACCCACTGCTGTAGCCTGGGTTCGACTCCCAGACCTTATGGGCTGATTTTTTTGGTTGCTTTTCGTCCTCGCTTCAGTTTTTCTCCCTCTGCAAAAATCAACATTCAAAATTCCAATTCGACCTGGAAACAGTGGACAAGATGAGCCACCTTGTGGAATGATTACTGCAAAATTATCTTTATTATTATCATTATCATTTTTATTATTACTTTTCTATCATTACTCACCAGAAATGGCGCACAAGTGAACGTAAAGGCGAATGACGCGTTTAGGTAGGAGAAATTCCTCAAATGATGCAGCTCTGTTTTCCGCATTTTAGAGACCATTTTCATGAATGACGTTTCCCAAGCATAAAGTTTGAGGACCTAAAAAGAAAAATTAGGTTTGAAATTTTACGATACAAGTCACAAATTTGCCTTAAAAACAGACATTCGTACAACTACATTCTTTAACGATTGAACCCCAAAGAGTGACTAGCTTCTGTAAAATGTCACTCCTGAATCAAACATTAAGCTCGCAGGAGTAAAGGAAATGATCACTAACTAAAGATGGTCGTGATTATTCTACAAATTCTCCTTGTCAGCACCTTAGAAAATGTTTAAGGAACAGTTTGGAGAATATGCATACTGATGTTAGGGTGTTCAGAGTAACAGTATAAGAACACTTTCCATTGCTTTATCGCTGTAATAAAAACCCACACGGAATGCTTGGAGACCACGAACAAAGTTTTTAAATCTCGAGCCGAAGTCGAGCTATTTACAAACTTTTCAAGCGTTCTGTCAGCATCCTTAGTGGTTTAATTAGTCGGTAAACTGATTGAAACTGCGGTCTATTGAATTCAACAAATAACTACAGGTTTATTGGTATGATAAACGAAGCGATCAGAATGCACGTAACACCTTAGTTATTCTATAAACTTTTCCATTGACATGTACTCATGTTTACGCAAGAAACTGCGATCTGACCTTCGTGCAGATAATTTGCACAGTTTTGCGTAATTACCAAATATTTGCCTCGACTTTGAAAGGCATGAAATTTTATCATCTAGGTCGCTGAGAACGACAAAAATGCCTTAACATGCACAGAAACCACTGCCGCTAGTACAACATTTCAAGTCATCACTTCAAATTTAGGAGTGATTCTCTACCAGCGTACCTTAATTCCATTCAAAATCTCATTCATCATTTTGATACGTTTATCTTTGGCACCCATTTGTTTCACCTGCAAAAGGAACGATTTTAAGGAAAGTTGAAAATAAGAAAAAGCTACACCGCTTAATTAAGAGTGGCCCTATTTCGAATGATAATATATATGCATTATTGACCAAGCATTAGGTTAAGATGGCGGAACGTTGACCGCGTTCTTTTTTTATTTTTTTTTTGTGTTTTTTATCTTCTGAGATGAAGTGTTGGTCCATAAAAAAGCGAAAAAAAGGAACAAGGCTGATATCCAGCCATCTTGACCAAACAAGCTTGGTCAATAAAGGAATTACCGTGAAGCATAAAGATAAGATAAGATAAGAATCAAAAATGAGTTGTTCAATTTCGAGCGCTGAAGCGAATCTCAGATCACCTTATGATTAAATTTTGTTGATGCAAAATAAACTCACGAAGTACGTTAATGTTTTCTTTGTTATGGCTGTCTTCTGCCACTTTTTGCGACTCCACTGCCGAAATTGCCCAAAAAATCTCAACCTTTGAAAGTATATAGGGACCTCGACGTTGATCAAGATAAAAATTGCGAATAAATTTTAATTTCTGCCATGTAAGTACGCCAAATGGCGCCTTTGAAAAGAAGGTTAAGCTTAAGGCCTTGGATGGCCAAAACAGCTCTAACTACATTTTCACGGCCCGAAGCTGGTAGTACTAGACAAGGGTCTTACTCAACCATAGCTGTTCTTTACTGTACCTGAAGCTTTCGCGAAAGTCGCGATACAAGAATATTGGAAGGAATCAGTAGCAACATAACTCCAACACCAGCAAGAATCGATGGACCCATTGTACTGTACAAGAAATACAACGAGACAATAATCTGGAGCGGACCAGACCACAAAATGTTCACATAGGTAAGGAGATCCATTAGTCGTTGTGCATCAACAGACATTAGGTTCACCATTTCTCCGGCTGTTGATTCTTTACGTGAGCTGTTGTTCAGGAGAAGGGCCTTAAAATTAAGACAAGAATGTTAGGAGTTCGGAAAGTTTGGGGTAGGTAGAGTTGGTGGCATGCGAGTTCTTCACTTTTACTGAAACCGCGATAAGCTCCAGCTGGATGGGTTTGTGACCTGATCACTTCATACTACGCGCGCAATTTTTGCTTAAACGCATTTGCGTGTGGTAACGTGCAGTATGCGTGTTTGGCGCGAGTAATATGCGAGAATTGCACGCGAGTCAAGCGTGTGTAATGCTGCAATACACGTAAATGGTACTGTACCTTTGAATATACCATGCCAATAACAGCTGTTCTTATTTTCATCCCAAGCACAGTGACAAAGTGAAAGTACTGCTGGAGACAAATGGACTGGACTAGTGCAACTACAAACATGCTGACGCCATAGGCGTACCCTCGCCATGTTTCAGTATTATCTTTATCTTCTATAAAACCTATTAACAACCTGTAATAAATGAATAGACATTAATTCCCATTACTAAAGGGGTAGTAGTTTCTAAAGAAACTGTGGTGCTACGTCAGTGGGAGAGTATAATAGGGTAATTTAGTATTATCAACTGAGTTGATACGTTACGTAAATTGGCCACCGTAAAGAGTTTCAAAGCTCAGTGAAGTTTCAAGCATTAGCGCTTCACCAAAGCAAAGAATAATTCGCATGGATCGATTTTTAAGTCTCAGCTAAATCCTATCAGACAATCTTTCCATTATCCTAAATTTTCAAAAATGCTTTTTAAAAAATCAGAAGGTTTTTTAATATTTTCCTCTAAAAACTAAAACTCTTATTACTAACAGACTCTAACTCACCTTAACAGTTGAGGTTGTACAAACTGAATGCAATCATTCAGCAATTTAAAAACAACTGCCAGCAGAAGTTTATCCCAATAAAGTCCAAACATGATTTTTGATAGGGAAGGTCTCTTCTCCTTTTTCTTCTCCTCTGAAGAAAACTTGACATCTTCTTCAGCATCATCTGGTTTCAGCTCAGCTTTCTCGTTGTCAGTGGGTTCTGTGGTTTGAGCACTGCCTGAAGCTCTAAAGAAAAACACTTTCCTTTACCTTAAATCGTTATGTGAGTTAAAACTTAATAATTGTATTAATTCTCGTTGATTGTGAAAAGTTGAGGCGATGTGCATATTCAATTTTCACTATTTTCATCAAATACTTAGTTTATCTTGCAACAAAACAACAAATAATAGCAATAAGTGAAAATGTAATGTACCATTGACATAGATTTAGATATTTTCAAGCCAGTAAAGAAATACTTGTGATAATCAATAATTCTCTTGTGCACTTCAGTTTTTTCTTTTTTTTTTTTGCAGGGGGGTTCTTCAAAGCTAGGTGCTTTTTGACCTTTCCTATCTACAGCCTGGTGAGCGCCTATTTGAGGTGGATTTTTAATCAAATACATACAGTACTGTGATTTTGAGTACCATAGCACTCATTTGAAACTAAATGAAATTATAGTAGCTGAAATTATTAACAATGGTTTTGCTATTATTAAGCTGAACATGAGAAAAGGTTCCTTATCTGATGACTAATCATTGCAGATCACCTTATGGAGCTTTCTGCTTCCTTCCACTTTTTGACAAACGGTGGAACAACTGCTGATGATCTGTTAGTTTTGTTCAGAGCCCATAAATCTGCATCTGTCAAAGGCCTCTTGAAACCTTTAAAAATCAAACTACAAGAAAAAGCAGCAATAGGTTAGAAGTAAGAAAATTTCTCATTCAAACTCTAGTTTAATTGTCACCCATAATAAGCTGTTCATGATGAATACTTTCAAACTAAAAAACCTTTTCATTCCCATATGAAGATACGGCCTGGACTATGGTCAGTGCTCTGGACTCCGAGTTGAGTGGTCATATCTGAGACCTGGCTGAGTCAAAGTGCTGTGTTCTTGGGAAAAACACTTCACTCTCCACCCAGGAGTACAAATGGATAGGACCAATTGTCAGGGAAGTGTGATGACCCCCCTGGGTGATGGACTAGCATCTCATCATCCAGGGGGGGAGTAGTGATTCTGCTGGTCACTTCATGCCTTGGAAACCTGGATAAGCTCTGGCTGGGTGGGTCACTTGGCTCTGGTAGACTTTATTTTACTCCCATTAAAGGGCTTTAGCCCTCAAATTATTAAAATTATAATCAAAATTATAAGTAATGACATGGGCAGAGTTGGGAAAAGCCAAACAGCTTGACTGTGATTGTTTAATTTCAGACTTTAAAATTGTTTTCAAAACACATGTCAACTGCAGAATTGTAATTACCTTGTGAGCCACATAAATCCCAACCTGGAAAAAATATTTGCAGAATCTTCAGGGCATGGTTTCTATAAGAGAGAGGAAAAAAATAAAAGAAAGGCAAAATGTTAATTATAATCTATCATATTTTGTCCACTAATAAAACTCCTCAGTAACAAATCACATGACTCTCACTGTGACCCTCCTACATATAGCACCCTTTTCATACTTACCCTGACCAAATATTTGGAGAAACAAAAAGAATTTGTAAAAATGACATAGAGTTTCTTTATTCCTTACAAAAATTTTGTCCATCTTGACTTTCTGTCATACCTTTTTTCATGTAAATTATTATCAAGTAACAACATAATAGTTTCTTATACAATTATTAATTTTTCATGCAATTTGGTGCAAATGAGCACTTGAAAATTCTTCAAAGATTACTAACTGCACTCACTCCACAGGGTGTTGCAATTTTGTTGTCTATTAAAAATTTTTTTGTGCTTATTAACACCAAATTGCACTAAAAATCATGTTGTTGCGTATATGTAATCTCATGAGGCCAAGTACTATTAAGGATTAATTGCACGAGAGTTTTCAAAATTTTCCAAAATTGCCCGAGTCGCGAAGCAATGAGGGCAATTTGGAAAATTTTGAAAACTCAAGTGCAATTAATCCTTAATAGTACGAGGTCTCATGGGATTACTTGTTTATCAATAAAGGGCAAAATTTATACGAAGGAAAATCACTCGTGCAGTCTATTTTTATCTGGGAAGCCTGTTTAGCGCTACGGCAAATCATCAATCAAATTGAACTGACCAATCGATTCAATGAAATTTTATTCTCCAAAACTGTGTCGTGATACACTGCCAAAAGTCTAGAAAACAAAGCTCATTTCAACAGAGCGTTTCTGCCAACAGAAAAACAACAAAGTGCTTTTAACTGAACAAGGTAATCATGCCCTCTCTTGATTACTAAAAATGCCCTCGATTAAGAAAAATGCCCTCTCTCTCAACCAATCAGCGCTCAGTAATTTTGCCCTTTATTGATAACTATGTAAATAAGATAAAAATATTAAAAGAGCTTACTCTGTTTTCAGCCTCTACTGGTGCTTCAGGAAAGAACTTCAGATCAACTGATGTATTCACCAGAGCTGCAGTCAGCTCTGCTCCTTTAGCAATCCCATCCTCTCTTCAAAAGACAGAACAAAACAAAACATAACAAAATTTAAAAGTACTTATATAACAAATTATCAAGTTAAAAATGCTGTTCAGCAAACAAACTAATATGCCACAAATATTTAGTAGACCATTTTACAGTTGCAAACTCCAGTTGCTAAGCCTTTGATTTGGAGAGAGGCTGATGGTGACCTTGTTGTGATTGAGACCAGTATCTAGCCTAGCATGATAACGAAGTAATTTACATCTGAAAAGCAGCAATGTTTGTAACATAAAAATTGGTCACCCTTAGCATCACTCCTGTTCAAAGACTTGAGCAACCAAGCACACATCTGTAAATTGGATTATTAAGGTCTATTTTTGAGAGAATTACTCCTTTGGAAAAAGCATAGGGTAGGGAAGGTTTTTTGCTTTATACTGTTGTTCTGTTGTCCTCTTCTGGGCAGTGTGATTTAAAAGAATACAGAGAAATTTCTCCAAAATGTGATGTGGTATTAAGAGACAAATATATCAAAGCAGAGATTTTAAAAAATTGATTTGCGAGCAAAGAGTGAGTTTTGCACAGACTTTGATTGTGATGTCTTGGCCATCACCTTCCTGAGGGGAGGGGGCATGGGTACGGGAGCATGCTCCCCTTGAAAATTAGAAGAAAAATTAAGTAGCGAATACATGCATTCCTTTATTCTGAGCAAGAATTTCCAAATGAAGGAAGGTGTTTGGTGCAAGTACAAAGAGAGCAAGGATTAAATTATATCTAGAAAAATCATTATTTCAATTGACAGTTAACTAGTATTTAAAACAACTTAAGCCCCAGTTTGCTACTTCAGAGGCAACATTATAAAAGAGAAGCCATGGTGAGAAATTAAGTTTCAATGTGAATTAATGTAAATTTTTAGATCTTTGCCTAAATATACAAGAAAAAATCAGATAAGCTTAACTAACACATATGTACATTGTAAGGAACATTCCACTGAGTGCTCTCTACTGTATTTGTAACTTACTCTTCTTGTGTCAAATCATCCTTCAGAGGAACCACACATGTGCTGGGAATGTAACCCTTTTCTCCACTGCTGACATGTTTTACATAAAGCCACCAGTCCACATCTCTCCCAAGAACTTCAAACTTCTCTCCGATTTCCACAGACAGCTGTGCAGCAACATCTGGAGAAGTGTTCACAGCTTGCTCTGATTCAAGGTCATCTTCTTCATTGGGTTTGTGTTTCTGAACTGCAACCACAAATAAATCTTTCTTGCCCTCTGCCATAGCTGAGAAGTGTAAATTTCAGTGTAAATGCACCACCTAATGCTGCAGATATGTCGTAGTCCTAAATGGAAAAGCACAGCCATGAGAGAAAAAAAAATTGTGTTCATTGAAAGTGTCTACATCAGTCAGCTATGTATCAAATAGGTATTAGGTACACGCAAGTCTGTACTTGAGCCAAAAAGTCCATCCACCTAGAGCTTATCCCAGTTTTCTCAGCATGAGGTGACTGAGAGTATTAGCACTCCTCCCTAGATAGGATGCAAGTTCATCGCAAAGTTACCCCCCAACATTTCATCAGGCTTCCCTGAAAACTTGCTGGTTCCTATTTGAACCCCTGGGTGGAGATAGGAACTGCCAAACTAAAGTGTTTTGGCCAAGAACACAACACACTGATCTGGACTGGTCTTAAACCAAGCCTCTGTCTTGTCACAGAGTCCAGTGTACTAGCCATCACACCAATACATCTCCCTTAATTCTTACGTATGAAATGATTAACCTCAATTGTTGTCTGTTAGTTATGAAATAATACAGAGATCGATTTCATTCTAATAGACAATTTTATAGTTGTGTACTTAGTTGCCAAGCCTTTGATTTGGCGTAACGCTGAAGGTGACCTTGTTGTGATAGAGACCAGTTTCTAGTTAGCATGAGAACAAAGTAATTTACTTTTGAAAAGCAGCAAGGTCACCCTTAGCCTCACTCCTGTTCAAAGGCTTGGCAACCAATAACACAACTATAAAATGGACTATTGAAAAATATTAATGCTGTCCTTGAGTAGACACAGTATTGGAAATGCTAAACATTTAGTTGGAACTGTTAATAAAATTGAGTAAATACAAAACCGGGATATAAACATGATGAATAAAAATAATTTTAACAAATCTGCAAAGAAAGAGTGTTTCTTTTAGGCTTTTCAGTTTCCCAGTTTTGGTCATATTTGATACTGATCTAATAGTTTTTACTATCTGTATTTTGGTTTTTGATTTCCATAGTAAACCACTGCCATTTTCAGTTTGCTTCTCTTTGAATGCCAGGGGTTTTTTATACATGAAATTAGCTAGACTTTGCTGTGTTAAATTGTCTTGTTCAAAGGCCTTGTCTTGTCTGTGTTATTTAGGATGCTTATTACTCTTTACAGGTTTTCTGTTTTGAGAAATAACTATTTAGCTTTGAGAAACAATTTGGGCAGTTTTTTGGTTTCTGATTAAATCTCCATGAAACAACACCCTTACAAGCCAGCTTTTTACAAATATCAAGACACAATATTTAATTCATCTTATGAATGCATAGATTCTACGTTGCTGTGTGTCTGTTCTGCAGAAGAAGAAGTTGGAATGTGGTAAGAACATTGGTGACGCACTTAGTTGTGCTGCATGTGTCCCCTTTTTGTTTCCTACCACATCTTGACATCATCTGTGACCGATTAATGAACAGATGCACAGCAACCATTGACCTTAGTGCTACCACCAAGTAGTAGTGATGATTTGGTTAAATTATATCTTTGAGTAACAGACCAATACATCGACTAACTAACTTTACGGGGTTATCAGAAAGAAGCAGTGAAAAAAAAAATAAAAATAAAAATAATAACACTCGACAGAAGTGCAAAATTACAAGGATAAAAATCCGGAATACTATGATTAAACCAGCCTACGTGAACTGCAGTAATGTGACTCACTCCCCAAAATACCAAAATCATAATAACAACACACTATTTAACGAAGTACGTCTCATGCAAACAAAATTAAGGTGCAAAATGCAGGCAGAATTCAATCTTGTTTGAGACACCTGGCAAGTCCAGAGGGGGAAATTAATTTTTGAGTTTTTTAATTACGCTAGTGTCCATTTTTGTGATAACATATGTATTGATTGTAGTTTCCGACAGAATCTGGTCTTGTGTGAAGAATTACACGAAAACATACCAAAATTGCAGTTGTAAAAATCGTAAGTTTATTTTTCATAAAAAAAAAATGGTTTCAGTCGGCTGCTCATATAGTTTCAACTGGGAGAAGCAAAAGCAAAATAAAATGTTCCACAGGGCTATAAAAAAAAAATGGGGGTCATTTTTCGTGGTTCTCTTCCTGAGGGCGTTAAGATTAACTAGTGCGCAGAGATGAACCTGCAACAAAAAAAGCGCTGAGGTTTGCTATTTGCTTCGAACTAAAAAAAAGCGCGCTTTTTTTTGTTGTTGTTGCAGTTCCTTCGACAGGCAAGAGCAAGGACTACTTTGAAATAATCGCAGTGAAGTTTAGCTCAGCTTGGTCTTTGCGTGAATCAAACATTGTAGAATTATGTTTAGCGCGGGAGACGCGTGACTCATCAATTTCACCTGACGCCTCGTGGCTAATGTTCACAGCGATGTATGTTTGTTCATGCTTTTAGAAGACACGAAACAAAAGAAAATCTGATCAAAGCTTACCTGAGACTGCAGTAAGCACAAGAGTTTTCCCTTCCAACTTTGCCAAGCAACGCGATTCGGAAAAATATAAAGATTTACGATGTACTATGATTCATTTAAAGCATGATCCCAGGAGCTCCTGGGTCAACCACTCAAAACAATTTGACAGTTGCATAACGATCGATCTTCGGTCGATAAACGTCCGGAACTAAGTCCATCGCCGAAGTTTACCGAAGTCCCTTCGTCGACGTCGGCATGTAAAAATCACGTGTGCCCCCACGCTTGGGTCATCGGATCGCGCGTACCGTACGGTAGGAGGAGCTGGCGGGACGATCGCAGAGGTACAGCGAATATTTCTCTTTGTTTTGGGATTTTCCAAGTGGTTGCGCCTGAGGTGAACCTGTTAGATTTTGCAGTCACGTTAGCTGATCGAGCTGTAGTAGATTTCAAGGGAAGATAATTCGTTGTCAATCTCATTTTTCCGCCCGGCTGTGTGAGCGTTTCAAGTCCGCAAGTGATATACATACCTGCAAAGAAGGCGTTGAATTTCGCGGTAAGTATCACATAAAAATTCTTATTTTCTTTTATTTAGAAAAAATCAGTTTGGGGATATGTTTTGAGTAAGATCACTTGATGTGCATAAACATCCATGTCGCCAAAGAATCGAAACGAGCTCAGGTCTTTGTTTGAAGTTAGTAAAACATGCCCGGATACATGAATCATGTATGTCTTTATTGGCAGCTGCAATTGATTGTGTTAATTGCAATACTACGAGAAAGAAAGCTGAGATGTAGACAGATTGCTTGTCTGTGAAATTTGCTATCTGTAGTCCATCGATCAGCATTCCCTATTGAGGAATGAAATATACGAAGGCAGATCTTTCAGTTGTTTGTCACAACAGCTTGCGGTATTACTTTTGTCACACAATGACCAGATAAACAACAGACTTCTCGTTGCAAGGTGCGTTTCTGAATCGATTTAGCCGGTTACGTTAGGAAAGAGAATTACTCCAGCGACTTTGTCATTAAATCAGAAGCATAACGTCTTGAAAGCATTTAGAGCGCTTTTAGCGTGGGCATGATTCTCGACGCTGGCACACACCCTGAAGATGTTTGTTGTGGTTAACTATTGTTTCTGATACACGTGCATGACATGTTAAATTCGCTTTACGGCGATGTATATTGTTTGTTTCTGCGAATGAGTACGATATATTTTTCAAGCCGGTGTCATCCGAAAAAATTCAGATACAGCTTGGGTAGTTTTCCGCAGTCGAGTGGTTTCGATGCGAAAGTGAATGTTAATATTTTATCGATTTTATTTTTGGATCGCTCGCAAGATGTCGATCGACTGATGCCGTTCTCTGCGTTATGGCTTTCCCTTCTTATTTATAATTGATTTTACTCAAGCTGTTTTTATTTAAACGAGACATCTTATCATATTCGTAATATAGCTTAATGAAGGGTGAAGACCAAAGCAATATCGCATATTCAACTGGATTTCAATATCACGTTTACAAGCTTCAACGCCTTTCAAATTCCATTTTTATCCTTGTAATTGTCATTTGCGGACAAATGAATGACAGATGGAAGCCATAGTATATTTTCATGATAAATTTGTAAGCTGCAATTATTATTGTAGTGATTTGTGTTTTGTGTTTGGGTCTGTCGTGATTTGTCTTTGGAAAGAATACCCCTCACGACAGTGTGTTTACATTGTTGATTTCAAACTTTCTGTGACCGTCCCATGCGATGAATAAATTCATTTAAGAGTAGATGGGCGGTTTTGGGCTGACATTCATTTACCAGAAATGAAAGCCAAAAAAAATGTTAGTTCCATCAAGAAAAACAAAATTGCATTCACAACATAACAGTGTGAGAAAAAAAGATGCCTAGATTGTGGAATATCCACCCCAGTATTTGTTGTGTCTTCTAATCCCACAAACATCCAAACATACCCAAAACACAAAATAGTCTTCATTCTCAGAATTGGCTGTAGCATTTGATGTGAAACACCCGTTTGATTTTGTAGACATCAGTTATGGGACTTTAAATTGCAATTGTGGGGATATTAAACTGTGTGATTTTGTAAACAACAGCTATTCATGATTTCAGGCCATGCTAACAGCTATTTTAACCCTCAAAACCCTGAGGGTGATTTATATCTAATTTCTCCTCACAAAATCACTGCTGCATCAAACATCAAGGTCATGGGAATGAAGGATATGATCATTAGCTAAAGAAGGTTTTGATTGTTGAGAAAATTCTCCTTACCAATATCATAAGGAATTTTTGGAGAACAGTATGGAGAAAATGCATCCTGATGTTGGGGTGTATATGGTTAAACACAAACAGAAATTCATACAGAATGAGTGAAAGGATAGAGACAGTACTAGCCCTAATTTTTAACACTTGGACAAGTTCATATGACTGTGGACATAAGATATGTGCCAGCTACAGAGTGGAATATGTTGTCTGTAGCTGTTAAAAAAATGCAGTTATACCCAGGGGTTCAAATGAATGACAGTCTGCGGACCCATTCTGATCTTTAAAAGGCTTCACAATACTTCTCACTAGAGTATGTTGACCCTTTTTAAAACCCCCAAGGTGACCATCATCTAAAATCTCCTCACAAATTATGACCCCTGAATCAAATTAAAAAGCGATTATCAACTAAAAAAGCTCTTGATTGTAAAACGAAGTCTTCTAGTTAGCACCTTGAGCAGTGCATAAAGAACAGTTTAGAGAATATGTATACTGATGTTCTGGTGAAAAGATTAAGATTTTATTGGTAAGACTTACAGGTCTCTCTTTGTGGTTACAGCTGTTTATTCTTACACTGATAATTAATCACAAGAGACTTTAGGACACTACTGGTTAATTTTAAGTAAAAAAAATAATCCATCTATAGCCTTGCCTAAAAAAAAAAAGAAAAGGAAAAAAATTCAGGATGAGAGAAATTTCTAGCCTCTCTCTTCCCATGCCTACACACATTCTTACCAAACCATATGGCTATTTGGCTGTTTGTAATATGTCAAAATACTCTAATCATACATGTTCCAAGTTCTGAATTAAAAGTTAACGACTCTTAAATTTGACAGTAAACAGTTTGAAGAATTTTAAATTTGAATCAATTCAAGATTTGATGATTTGAAATCTCATGTATTTTTGATAGTTGAGAAATGGTTATATGAGCTGATTATTGATGTTGGCAGGAATATTCTTCAATTTTGTATCTGCTTTTTTTTTTCTAATGTCATAAATGATTCACTTGCCTGTTTTTTACTTTCTTTCCTTTCATGCAGGTGACTTCTGTTATAGCTCATAAAATATTTATCACCCTAAAATTAAATATTCCTGTTTTCTGTTAATTTTTCCTTTTAAATGTGTAAAGATTATTACTTATGACCAATAAAAAGCTTTGTGGGCACCATTATCAGTAATGTTTTTCCATTTGTATACAAAATTCTTGTCTAGAAGATTAAGCAGGAAATATTTTAGCATTTCTTTTATTTCTCCAGACTTCTATCAGATTCATTTTTACTGGCAAACTCAAACAATCTCAGTTTAATTTGTGTGTCTGAAATTCAACTTTGTGTCCATTTTGTGCATAATATTTTAGGTGAATATTTTACTCAATTTCTTCTATTTGCATTTACATTTGTTCATTCATGTAGTTTTATTGTTTGGTCTGTCGTATAGCTGCACAACACATATCTCCCCACACTTTTGTTATTTGTTACTGACTTTTTGGTTGATATATTGATCTGCAGACTTGTTGTGATGTTCATTTTTGCCTGGCAGTTCACTTCTTGTAAGAAATTTTGATTTATTTTTATGAATGAGGCAACATTTTGGTGATAGAAAACATGGTTTTATTTTTCAGATAATGGAGAATGGTACTAAGGAAAAAGAGGAGCTCGGGGCTGCTTATCTTCAAGAAAATTTTGATGTTGGTGGCACTGCTGATGAGGTTCAGTGTATATTTTTTCCACTTATTTTTATGTCTTTTTTTGTCCTGTATTTCCAGACTAACAAATGTCAGGCATGTTCAATAAATTAAATGGACCTATTCTGAGCAGTTGGCAGTATGCATTAGGTTTGAATTTATTTCCAGCCAGTGGAAATCAAGTTGTCTGATCAAACTATATTTTGAACAAATATCCGTTACATCACATCTCAGTTACCAAACAGAACAGACAAAACTTACATTTTAGCGAAGGTTATCCATTCACTAGCAGTCATTTTGAACCCTGAGAATTGTTGTAATAAGAAAATAAAGTAAGAGGGAAAAAAGTGTACCATATGCAAAGGCTTCATGTTAGCCTTAAACTCCCATGAGTGACCAAGACGGAATTTCTCACAACATTTCTCCTTACAATATTAAGCAGACAAGTGATGAGAATAAAGAAAAATAGCATCAGGGGCTTCACTTTGCTGCATGCAGCTGGGAACACACTTAAAAAGTGCTCCTGATACAACCCTTGAGATTTTTTTTTGTTTTTTTTTTTTTGGGGGGGGATGTTCTTGGAACTCTACAAGATGTTTTCTAAAGGGCTCAGAATATCTCTAAACATTTTCACAGATATGATTGTGTCACCTTAAAATATTGTTAAACTACTAAGATAAAACATCTTTTGCGTTTGACTTAACTCTTTCACTCTCAGGATTGATAAAAGCATTATTTCTAGCTACAATGTAAGTAATTGTAGAGCATAGAAGGAACACATAAAATGTCATTGTGGTAGTATTTTTTTTTAATTTAATGCTCAATTCTTAGAAAAAGGCTATGAGACTTTAATATTCAGCAGACAGGGAGAATAATTTTTGTTGAGATTTGGGAAGCAAATGGGTTAACGCCTAAAATCCCAAGATCCGATTGTTAATTCTCTCCTCTAGCTGCTACATATTTCCTTGTAAATTAATTTCAAGAATTTGGTGCTAGAGTAAGAGAACAGCTTCTACCTGATAAGTTTGAATGTTCTCATTACCTGTTTGCTGGATAATGTATGGATATTATAGGGAGAAGTTACTTGTTAATCACTTCTGGGAGTCAAAGGGTTAAAAGGTTGATGATAAAGAGGATGATGACAGTGATGTTGAATTGTTTTATTTTTCTTTCCTTTAGTATGGGAAGGCAGATGACGACAAAGCTGTAACCACACCTTTGGTGAAACATGCTCCTGAAAAAGAAAAAAAGGGCAAGAAGGACAAGGACAAGGATAAGCTTGAAGATCTCAAACAAGAACTGGAAATGGTAGCATAAAAAAAATGATTTAAAAAAATTGATTTTTTTCAATGGTGACTAGTAGCCTGCCAGCATGTTCTTGTTACAGAGCTTAAGATCTGACTACCGTTACCACTACGACTACAAGTTTTGGCTGGGAGTAGAGTGGCACTTGTCCCTCATAGTCGTCATCAGTTCAGGGCTCGAACTTAACTTTTTTGTCTACTAGCAAAGTTTTGCTAGTAAGATTTTTTTTACTAGCAAAAGAAGGAACCTAACTAGCAAATGTTTGCTAGAGGATATTTTTTAGACTCGCAACTTCGAAAAACCACTCGCATTTTCGCGAGTTTGCAAGTGCTAATTTCGAGCCCTGCAGTTGTGACAAATTTGTAACTTTAGATACGATCATGATGTTACGCACAAGAACGTAGCTTTTTCTGCATCAGGAGAACACTTCACAGATAGATGTCAGGCCTTACTGAATATACTTTCTTTGCAATTCTCTGTCGTTGTTGTTTTTTTTCCTTTTTTCTTTTTTTTGGTATTCCTGAAAAAGTTTTATCTGAAAATAGAAGAATTTTGACTCACCTTTCAACTCATAGTCCAACTACAAGATTTCCAGTAAAACTCTTAGTGATGGGGTGGCTACAAAATTATTCAGAGTTTGCATGACCTGTCACCTTGTGAAGAAGGTGCACTACTCTTAGCAAGGCAAATTCATAGTTGTAGTTGTTCTCATTGTCAGATCTTAAGTTTTCTATCAGCTCGGCAAGAGATTTGTTTCTCTGCTCGTGGAATTATTTGAGATGAGTCGCAAACAGGTTTGTTTGGGGTCTGGCAGTATTAATTATCACTTCTACAAGTAGAACCCTTACCAACCTCTGGCCAGCTCATATGGCACAAGGCTGTAGCAAGGAAATGCTGTGCAGAAGCACTATGACGAGGGCCTGCTTGTATGCTATGGTGATGGTGAATAACTGCCATAGAATTGTGTAATACTTATCAAAGTTTCAGTCTATCATTTGATGATAATTTTTTTTTTTCATTTTTGAAGGATGAGCACAAGATACCACTTGAGGATCTTGAAGCCAGGTTCAGCACTGATGTGCAAAAGGTAAGAGTTATCTACTATGGATCACTCCAACTAGTGAGAAAGATAACCCTTTCACCCTTTAACTCTTAGATCAAATTTGTAATTCTCCTTACTGTCAATCATACAATTCTTATAATGATAGTGCAAAGAATTTAGTATTGGATCAACTAATTATCCCCAAATTGATATTTTTCTTTATTCTCATCACTTATCTGCTTGATATTGTATTGATATTGTAAAGAGAAATTCTGTCTTAGTCACTCATGGGAGGTAAAGGGTTAACATCAGTATGCATATTCTCCATACTGAGCACCATACATTCTTTCAGGTACTGACAAGGAGAATTTAATCAACAATCAGGAGTTTCTTTAGTTTCTTTAAAATCATTTCCTTTATTCAAAATTTTATATCCTTAATGTGTGATTCAGGGGTGATATTACGAGGAGGATATGGATGCTAGTCATTCCTTGCAGGATTTTCTTTAAGGTTTTAAGTAGCTGGAGCTTTTTTAAACATAAACGGTTGTGGGTCTCGAAATCCAATATGGCAGACAAAACATCATATCATTCGTACTTTCCTGCCACTGCAGCAAGATTTGTCAAAAAGACAGTCCCCATCAGAACATCTTTAAACTAACCTCTAACTGTTTTCAGAAAAGATAGGCAATGCAAATTTATATTTTTATTGAGCCCAAGTTTGGACGTTATAAACATCATCTCTGTATGGGCTCTTGAAGCAATGGAAGAAGCCGGCGAAACCTTGCAGAGAAGCCGGCGTACTTTGCTGGCTGTTGGCTCTTATCTACAACCCTTTCCTTGGGGTCAAGGGATTAAATTCAGGCTATTTCTTACTGGTGATACTATAAACAGTTCATGTGAACCCTTCCACACCCAGGGGTGACCCAAAGGGATGTTCTCCCGAGAATGTTAGTACATTATAATTTCAAAAAGTGAGGAGACACAAGGAAAGATGTCAACAAAGGGATGGTGTTCCAATCAACAACAATTTCTCTGAGTTATAATTATACAAATTGCATTGTGGACAGTGCGCAAAACTGAGTTTGAGATCTTTGAGTTAAAAATTGTAGAGATGCTTAACCGTTTCACTCCCAGAAGTGATTAACATGTAACTTCTCCCATTTTATATCCACATGTTATCCAGCAAACAGTTAATGAGTATGCTCAAACTGATCAGACAAAAGTTGTCATCTTGATCTAATACCAAGTTCTCATACTAATTTACAAGTTAATGTGTAGGAACTAGAGAGGAGACTTAACAATCAGATCTTAGGAGTTAAAAGGTTAAAGTACAATGTAGGTAATGCTATTATGGATGAGGCAAAGCATACAGACTCAAATGCATTGTCATGTTTTGAAATTTACACAAGTATTAGCTGTAACAAAAGTTTTATAATAATGTTCCCTAAAGGGTCTCACGCAAGAGAAGGCTAATGAAATCTTCGAGCGGGATGGACCTAATGCTCTGACTCCACCACCAACAACTCCTGAATGGGTGAAATTCTGCAAACAGCTGTTCAGTGGCTTTGCCATGCTCTTATGGATTGGTGCCTTTCTTTGTTTCATTACTTTCGCCATCAAAGCATCCACAATGGAAGAACCAGATAAAGATGATGTAAGTAATATTAATAATAGTAATGAATATTACATGCTTAATGTATGGCCTTGAGAGAAACAGTTTGTTTTGTTTTCCCGAAAGTCCTGATGTTTTTGGAGACGAAGTTGAGGGAAACAGTAGGACTTGAGGGAAAACAAAACTAATTAGTTTCCCTCGGGACCATACATTATGTGCTGTGTTATCTATTTAGACTTTCCTTTAAACAATCATATGGCAAAAACAGACAAAAAAAGAGGGCACAACTTCTTTATTCACATGCGCTTGGGCAACAACTGCACAGTTGTATCCTGGTCGGGATACATTCGAATTTGATCACGGGCATATGACCAAGAATCAACCAATTACAGTGATCATTTTGTTGAGTGAAAGTCTAGTTATATAACAATGGAGAGTGACCTGGTGCTGTTTGCAAACTTGTATGAGCTGACATGAATGATCTGTGTTGGTGGCTCATGTCCTAGGCATTTTGCTAGTGATGCTTACTTCTTTGCCATGGGATCTAACTTACATGCAGGTCAGGCTATCACAGATATGGACCAATAGGATCTTTAATTCAGTACAAAGCCTGTTTTTCACTGGATCTTTAATTCAAGACAAAGACTGTTTTTTACTGGTAGTGTAAGCTGATGATTGCATTCACAAACACAAGATTAACATCTGTTATTTCAAGGTGAAAATGGCCGCTACGCAACCTTAAATGCAAGTAAAAGCACAAGGATCAGATCCTTTTCCTTGTTCTTGCTGTTTTGCTTGCTAAAGGTTGTTTCACAGTGAAATAAGAGCTGTTATTCTCATGTTTGTGCTTGTATTTGTGCATGCACTCATACTAAGACCAGACTTTTGTCTCAAATCAAATATGCGACCTTTAAGTCCTTAGTTGTGATAGCCTGACCTTGATATAAGTTAAACCAGACCCCAAAGGAGTGAGATGCATTTGGTCACAGGCCAATTTATGCAATTAAATATACAAATGATACAACATGTAATGTTTTTTAGACTTCAGTTCAGTCAAGTTGTACAAGTTCCTTTTTTTTTTTCTTTCAGCTTTACCTTGGAATAGTTCTTGCCACAGTGGTTATCATAACTGGATGTTTCTCCTACTATCAGGTCAGTGTACCAGCTTTTAATACTTTAAACAAAATTCCTAACATCAAGTGCATATATATATTTTTTTGCAATCCAAGTGGCTACATGCAAAATTTGCATGTTGAAAAAGTTTATGGTGATTATGGGTGCATGTAGGCTCCATAACTACACATTCTCGTAGTTACTTATTTTCTTTTGCTGATTTCTTGAGTTAAGGAGGCCAAGAGTTCTAAGATTATGGAGAGTTTCAAGAAAATGGTCCCACAGGTAAGAGAGTGATCGAAATTTTCATATGATTGTAGTTAAGTTCTACCTGCAGATTTGTGCCCAAGAAGTCTTGAATTTAAGACTGAAGCACTAGGAAGTCTCAAATTTCAAATTTAACAAAACTTTAAACTGGCTCCTTTTAAAGAACAATGAGGCATTGGAATGATCAAATTACTTGCCTCATCATTGTGGATGTTGGAATGTAAAACTATTATTTATGGGGTATGACAGAGTAAATCAAAATGTTAATAGTTTGCAACTGTTAAAACTTGTATTCTATACCAGGTATGTAGAAAGACGAAGGTTGGTCTGAGTTTGGTTATCAAATAAACTTTTTGTTTTTTTTTGTTAAGCAGATAATGGTAATACCGGCAGCGCCGAGTGGAGTTCAATTCGGTCTGTAATCATTCGAGTGATTCTTGGGAGTCCGATTTGTTAATCATGAGTATGATTACAGACAGAATTGGATGACACGAAATCCTGTTGCCAATTAATCAAAACTGTGACAAAATTTAAGAAAGAGACTAGACATCTGTCATATCTTTTCACAAGGAAAAAACAACAGTTAACTCGGCGAAATGCGAGACAACTGCACGCGCACGTGAAGCGTTCTGTCCACTTACACAGGCATGACGTGTAAACTGTCCCTTTATACTGTCCAATTACAAGCATGATGCGTAAACTGTCCTATTTATGCTCAAATCGAGCTGGTGAACGCCAATCGCGTTCGAGAATTCTATCATAGTTTTTGCTTAAGGTGCTTATCAGTTACTAGTGTTGGACATGGAAAAAATCTGAGTTCCCACAAGGAAACAAACCCTAGACCTCCACATTTCTTGGTAAAGTGGTCTGCAATTGACCCCTTCTTTGTGGGGAACAAAGAAACTTTTTTCTTGCCGTTAACTCTGTGAACCTTTCAAGACATGATGTAATAGTCCTTTTCTAAGATGCAGAGTTCATTGAAACAAAATGTTTCATTCACAGGAAGCTACTGTCCTCAGAGATGGGGAAAAACATAACATAACCGCAGAAAAACTTGTTGTGGGGGATGTTATATTTGTGAAATTTGGAGACAGGGTACCAGCAGATATCCGAGTAATTGAAGCACGAGGTTTTAAGGTACATTCTTTTTTTGTATGTAGTTTTCATAACTTGGTTGCATACAACTGTTTGCGGAAAGGTTGTCGAAAAAGTGCAGTGCACGCGACAACCACGAAAGGCATTGTGGGTAGTTTTTAGGTCACGGTTCCTTGACATCAGGATCTCAAGGAAATCTGAGAAAGCATCACTGTAAAGAAGAGGTATAGTGGGTTTGATGAATTTACTTTGTTCTCAAGATTGACTTTTAATTCTCAACCTGACAAGAAACAAAAATAGGAATGACTGATCTTAATAAACGACGAAAACGATGTAAACTTAACGTTGAGTAACCTTTCGAGGTTTTCACGTGCACCATGTCTTTTTTGTGACAGGCCCTCTGCAAACAGCTGTACGTTACCCTTTTCATCCTTTACCATCACTGACTAGAGTAGTGTTAAACCTTGACACCCTAACATCATTATGCATATTCTGTATACTGATACTGCGCTCTAAACATCTCCTACAATGCTGACAAGGATAACTTGTCAAATAATCATGAGCTGTTTTAGTGGGTGATCAGTTCCTTTATTCTCCTGACCTTTCTGTTTGATTCAGGGATGATATGGTAAGGAGAAATTAGACGCCAGTCACTCTTAGGGGTTATAGGGTTAATTATAATCATTGTAATCATAGTTATTGTTATCCATTGTTGTGATCAGTATCACTGTTGTCATTGTCATCGTTATTAGGGTCGGGTTGTTCGGAAAGGTGTTAGCGTTTATCTAGGTTTAAAAGTTAACCTTGGATTTAATTTCTCAGGTAGACGAGCGTGTGTAAGAGCTAAGGACGAGTTTCATTTCAGTATGACTCAAAACTAACAGAGGAAAAATGCAAACGAAAAAAATCCCTTTGCAGAGCTATAAAATTAAATTAAAAGTTCCACACTAACTCCGGGCTAGTTAAAACGTGTTTTAAAGAACCTGGCCCAGAACCATATTTATTAGTCTATCGGACAGATTCCATGTTGCAGTGCGCTTGTTCAGTAAAAGATCACAGAAGACGTCATAATGTGGTGAGAACAAAAAAAGCAGCACACAAGAGGCAGCCGAGTGTGTCACCGATGTTCTCGCTACATTTTGACTTCTTCTCTGAGTTATTACTAAACAGACCCACGGTGACATAGAGTGTATCTGTTTTATAGTAAAGAAGCAGAGATTGTTGATGGTGATGTCATATATGCATCTGCCCTCCAAAATATCATAAGTATGATGAAAGAACCAATCAAAACTCGTAAATAATTCAGGTCATTACATAAATTGTAATATTTACGATCATTTTTTTCTTTTCGTACCTCCAGGTTGACAACTCATCTCTCACCGGTGAATCAGAGCCCCAAGCGCGCACCCCAGAATTCTCCCATGACAATCCCTTGGAGACAAAGAACTTGGCATTTTTCTCGACAAATGCTGTTGAAGGAACCTGTACTGGTATTGTTGTTCAAACAGGCGACAACACTGTCATGGGACGCATCGCTAACTTAGCCAGTGGATTAGGGTCAGGGAAAACACCCATTGCTGTGGAGATTGAACATTTCATTCACATTATCACAGGAGTTGCTGTAACCCTTGGAGTGACGTTCTTTATTCTTTCACTGATCCTTGGATACCACTGGCTCACTGCCTGCATCTTTTTAATTGGTATCATCGTTGCCAACGTGCCTGAAGGTCTACTTGCAACTGTAACAGTTAGTAATTTTCCATGAATATTTTCCATGTTTACGGTATAAATGACCTTTTTTCAAAGCAGCATTCATTTTAAAACTCAACTTACCTTTAGAATCAATAACACATTTTCTGGCGTGTTATGCATCTAATTATGCTTAGACCTGTGGCATGCATGCATAGTATTTTTAACTTCTTCCAACAAGTTATCTGAAAGAATGCAAGTCTCTAGTCTTGAGTAGTCTGCTTTTGTTGGAATTCATCACGGAAGAAGGAAAACTTAGAGGGTTTGATTGTAGGGGACCTCACGCCTGGCAATGGCAATTCAGATAATTTGGTGTTATTACCTGAATTGATAATGGACATTTTCCACTGTAGAGAGTTTCTAAAGCTGACGTTTGGAACTGAGACAAGCTAGCACTCAAATTGTCAGCTCTAAAAACTCTCTATTATGGCCAATTTACATTATCCCCACCAATGCAGCATCACAGTTTTGTTACCCCCTTCATTCACGATAAATTGGAGTTAATTTGCAGTTTTCAATCCCAAGGAATTATTGTTTTTTTAAGTATGGGGTTCTCTTCCCTGAACTGGATAAAAAAATCAAGATCTTGGTTAGTTTTCTGTACTATTGAATGCATATGACTGTGTGAAACATTCATAATAGGCTTACATTCTAATTCATCACTCAAGGTTTGTCTGACTCTCGCTGCTTAATGAATGGCAACCAAAAATTGCTTAAAAAATCAAGATGTTGATAAATTTTCTATGCTGTTGAATGCATACGACTGTGTGAAACATTCGTAATTGGCTTACACACTGATTTATCACTCAAGGTTTGTCTGACTTTCACTGCTAAGCGAACGGCAGCCAAAAACGGCTTAAAACATCAAAATGTTTATTAATTTTCTATGCTGTTGAATGCATGACTATTTAAAACATTCGTAATTAGCTTACACACCCTGATTTATTACTTAAGGTTTGTCTGACTCTCACTGCTAAACGAATGGCAGCCAAAAACTGCTTGGTGAAGAACTTAGAGTCAGTTGAGACTTTGGGAAGTACATCCACCATTTGCTCAGACAAGACAGGAACTTTGACTCAGAACAGAATGACTGTGGGTAAGTGTTGTACGAATTGTACATGTATGTAAAAACTTCTTAACTGCACAAGAAATTCACTCGTTACTGCATAGAAGACAAAAGTTAGAGTGCGTGCCTGTAGCTTATTAGGATGGTCTGAAAGCTTCATCTGCCTGAACTTAATTTCTGTAACCCCTATGAAGAATTTTTCAACATTGCTCGTATGACATGCACTTAGACATCGATATCTGGCTTTACGGTAGCTTTCACAGCCCTCAGCTGCCTAAAAGCTCCTTAGACGGAGCTCTGCAGCTAAGGGATGACTGAATTGATGACTGAGAAACATAACTCTCCTTTTCTATAACATACTTACTCTGAATTTCAATGCTTCACTTTCAATTGCAATTTACATGTATGCTGTTGTCAGTCCTTATCATGAAAAATATTTTTAAAGGAAACCAAACAAAATGGAGCGACGTCTTTTATTTCAAACAGAGGAATGTGATCTTTGAACACACTTAAATATCGATAATGTACTAGTTTTCTGGGAGATCTGTCCATGTACTAGATATACAAAGACATCGCTTTTTTATTTTCTCTCTTTTTTATTATGTAGCTCACATGTGGTTTGACGACAAAATCTTTGAAGCTGATACAACAGAAGATCAGTCAGGAACTCCAATGGAAAAGGTACACTTTTGAAAAATCCAAGCTCTCGTTGGGATAGTGCCAGTTTTTCTTCTATAGTTGTTGTTGTTCTATTATTATTATTATTATTTTTTGTTTTTTTGTTTCTTTTGATTAAACAATGATATAATCTTTATTCAATACTCATAAAAAAGACCTATGTACAGTGCTTCACTTAAAAAGAATTAAATTTGTACCTTAACATCTGTTAGAAAGAAAAGAAAAAATCATAATGTCTCAATATCTCTTGAACTATAATCCACGAAAATGTTTCTCTACTAATTATTATTACTATTACTATTAGCAATCACTACCAATATTTAACATCTTTTCACTAATTCCTCTTTAAAATCTGCCAACAACGATAAAAACATTAAATAGTAGTAATAAATAAAATGCAATATTCAATATCTTTTCTCTAAATAAAAATCTAGCGTCCTAAAAGTCCTGCTAAAAATATTATTATTATCATTATTATTATTATTATTATTATTATTATTATTATTATTATTATCATTCACTGTCATTAATGTGATCATAGACTCCTGTTATTCATTATGTTATTATAGACTTTTAGCGCTAATTATTTTATCATGGACCATTAAGATTGTTATGTGAAAATAGCTTTTATGTATACTAACTTCTAGTATACAGTAAATTCTTGAATTAGTGTCACACCTTAATCAAGTTCCATTTGGAATAGGTGTCCCTGGTACCAGCGAAAATTAACGGAAAAAAAATTGATAGATAAAAGAGCACTACTCTCTCCCAGGGATTTCAGTAAGAGCCGATTATAGGCAGTCTGCCATCTGCTCTCGTGTTCCCATTTTAATGTTGAATGTAACAAAAGTAACAATTTTACCTTCTGTTCTGACAGACAGAAACCTGGACTGCACTCGCTAGAGTGGCGGGTTTTTGTAATCGTGCAGAGTTTTAGACAGGACAAGACGGTGTACCCGTACTCAAAAGGTAAGAAGCTTCGGGCCCCTAATTTTTAAGTTATGCTAATATATCTTCATCACCATCTTAGTTGGCGTTTGAAAAGATTGGATTTATAACAGAAAACGCCATATAGCGCTTGGCTTGTCTGTCCTTGGCGTTCTTTTAGTAAAACGTGGCGACATAGCAAACGGCAAAAAGAGCACCTGGCATAGACCAGTGCATAGTATTTTCTTGGTGAAAATCATAGCTGCCATATTTGATTTTTACAGCAGCGGAAGGCTAGGGCGAAAAAGATGCTTGTATCAACGGGCGAGCGACGTTCAAAAAGGAAGGACTGGGGTGGGACAGTGGAAATTTGTCGCCTCCCCCTCCTTTACCGTCCTCTCTAACTCTAAATCAAACATCGCCGGCCGGATAAACGATCGCGAGCTTGTAACGTTAACTCGTTCTAATTAGACACCTGCATTAAAGGCTATAGAGCGCATGATTTTGAACAAACCCAAGATGCATTTGCTGCAAAACTTACCTGAAGCCCTGTGTACAAAACCCTTCTTGAAAAACAATTGCCATAAAGGGAAGAAATTTACAAACATAATTACAACTTGGAAGTAAAAAATATATTTAATTTTTCAACAGAGAGACAAATGGAGATGCCTCAGAATCTGCTTTACTAAAATGCATCGAACTACAAGTAGGAAATGTGGCTAAAATGCGCGAGAATAACAAAAAGATGGCAGAAATTCCCTTTAACTCCACCAACAAATACCAGGTGTCTATTCACGAACAGGAAGGTGATGAAGATCCTCGTTACCTTCTGGTCATGAAGGGGGCACCAGAGAGAATTTTAGATCGCTGCTCCACAATTCTCATCAACGGCAAAGAAGAGCCCCTTGATGAGGCGAAGAAAGAAGCCTTTGAGAAGGCGTACTTGGAATTGGGTGGAATGGGAGAGCGTGTGTTGGGCTTTTGCCATTTTTACCTGGATGCTGAAAAATTTCCACCCGGATTTGAGTTTGTAGCTGATGAGGTGAGTTCAGGTTACAATAGGGCTATCTTTTTTATACCCTTTTTTTTCTTTTTCACCAGAACGCCATTTTACCTTAATGGGAAAACGGAACGTATTTTCGTAATTTTCCTCTCCCCATACGCAAATCGTCAAATATCTGCCCGTATTATGCGTTAAACCATCGAATGAGGGGTATGCATGTAATGTTAGTGGGAGATTAGAGTCCGATTCGATCTGAAATCTTACTAGTTGTGAACAAAATCAGAAGACCACGAAGTAGGAGTCCGATTCGCTAGACTCCAAATCTCTAAGTCGAAGAGCCTGAATCCTTCGTGGGTCACCGTGTAGTGCTCTCTGCAAGGCCACTGAACTCACACATTGCCTCTCTCTACTGAAGGGTAACCAAACTGTTAAGGTAACCAAACTTTAGAAGTTTCAGCTTTCAAAACTCTTTACAGAGGCTTATCAGGTTTGCTTATCAAGTCAGTTAATAAAACCAAAATAACCTTGTTATACTCCCCCACCAACACAGCACCACAGTTTCTTTAGAAACTTACCCAATTGTAGAGGAAATAAGCGAACTTAGGGAGGTAATTTCGTTTTGTAGATCACTCACATCTCAAAACTAGAACACAGTACCTGAGGAAACCGAACAAAGAAGCTTATGAAAGTTTTCCAGCTGAAGAGTTTTATAGAATTCTTAAAAGAGATAATACTGTATATTGTTTTTTTCGCTGCTCTTAGCCTCCCAATTTCCCTCTGGAAGACTTGTGCTTTGTTGGTCTAATGTCTATGATTGATCCACCTCGCGCCGCTGTTCCCGATGCGGTCAGCAAATGCCGCAGTGCAGGAATCAAAGTCATCATGGTGACAGGTGATCACCCAATCACAGCCAAGGCCATCGCAAGAGGCGTAGGAATCATATCTGAAGGTATATGGAAAGCCTGAAGATCGCGGTAGTCCTTAGTCCTCAAAATTGGCTCGAAACGCTTGGATTCGAGTGTTATTATCTTAGGAAAGAAAATTAACAAACTTTCCTTTGAACCATTCTACAGAAACTGAAACTGTGGAGGACATCGCCGAGAGGCTGGGTGTCCCTGTGGCTGATGTTAATCCGCGAGATGCCAAAGCCATCGTAGTTCACGGAGGACAGCTCAAGGTAGCAATTAGTGTTACTGTTGTTGATTTCGTTGTTGTTGCTGTTGTGCTAATTGAGGTCTCAATATGTTATCCTGTGGAATGTGACTCCATTAATATAAATGAGTTCAAGGTTGACGTTTATAGAAACCCTGTGAAAAAAGGAAAAACGTAGATAGATCTCTAGTTCCCGGCTAATGCAATTTTTTCCATTATAGAGGCCAAACAGCTGAAAGCAGACGGCCATAAGTTCAATTTTTACCATCTGCTGTTTACCGTTAGCTTGTCAGAAGGCCGTTAGTACTAGCGTATCTCCGCCCGCGGGAAGATTTGAGACGAGTCGCGTCGAGGTTTCCCGGATGTCTGGCATAAAATCCCTCACAGACCCCTCGTCAGTTCCCATTTGTTCAAGGTCCCATACTTCCCCGCGGGCAATGACGCACTCGTGTGAAAGCGCTTAGTTTTCCACCTACTTCATTGCACGGACCAATTTTTCATAACCTCATCTGTACTGCGTTTGAAAAAAATCATATTTTAGCTTGAACAAAGGGTTTCAGCATGCACGGTATCTTGCACCTCATCACAAGTTGTTGTGCACATTCAGTGCTAATCTATAGTTCTCTTAATTGCTGTTTCATTTCATAGGATGTCTCAAGTGAACAGCTAGATGATATCTTGAAGTACCACACTGAAATTGTATTCGCCAGGACTTCCCCGCAGCAGAAACTGATCATCGTAGAAGGCTGCCAGCGACAGGGGGCCATTGTTGCTGTGACAGGAGATGGTGTTAATGATTCTCCAGCTTTGAAGAAAGCTGACATAGGTAATTTTCTACATGCAAAAAACTTCCAAGTTTCTGAGTACGTTAAAGTTGTAAGTTGTCACTTAAATGACTTGCCTTACGACTGAAGAATGTGGTCGTTGAAATGCCGAGGATAACGAAAAATAGTCCAAAATTCTGAGGAGGTGTTGTTGTGTAGTAGTTAGTCACTGTAAAGTGTACCCAAATAAAATGGCATGTAGGTCGAGAAAGTGGAAAGTCAGAGTCAACAATTTTGGGCGAGTGAAGCAAATTTCAGATTATATGGCGCTCGGACGTGACATTTATGATTGCTCTGTGTTTATCCTTATTAATAGAGTGTCGTGTCTAGGGTTATATTATCAGCGTGAAACGGTCCCCAACCCACCCACCCACCCCTCCCCCCCCTCTCAGCTCCGTCCCTTCACTTCAGCATTTTTGTTTAAAGCCTAACACGTTTTTTGTCTGTCCAGGTGTTGCTATGGGTATCGCAGGCTCAGATGTGTCCAAACAGGCGGCTGATATGATTCTGTTGGATGACAATTTTGCCTCCATTGTTACTGGGGTTGAAGAAGGTGGGATAAGCACAAGTTTGTTGAAAGTGCAAGTTTCAAATTAGTTATAAATGTTCCAAATGCTGAGATTTGTCCTCGTTCGTGGGCAAAACACTTGACTCTATACATAGGATTATAAAAGGGTACTCTTAAATTACTAGGAAAGCCTTATGAAATTCCTTGAGTACAGACTTAACCTTACTTGCCAATAGAATTAAAAGTAGGAAGTAGTCTGTTTATGATGAACTTTCATGGACTTTCTCACCTGAAAACTGATGAGAAAACCATGCTGCCTTCCTTCTGATACAACAGACGAGGTTAATTCCTAACTGAATAAAGTTGTGTTATTGTAATTACATTAAACTTTGTGTTTTCCTTGGGTATTTTTTGTTTTTAGAATAGAAAAACCTTAGACCTGCGTGTTTCATCTTTCCCTCTCCAGGTCGTTTGATCTTTGACAACTTGAAGAAGTCCATCGCCTACACTCTGACCAGTAACATTCCTGAGATCACTCCATTCTTGATGTTCATCATAATCGGCATTCCACAACCTCTGGGCATTATTACAATTCTTTGTATTGACTTGGGTACTGACATGGTAAGTACAGCAGGCTCCAGCGAATAACATCGTAGACATATGTAAGAAATCAAGCTTAATATGATATTATGATCATTATTATTATTATTATTATTATTATTACTATTATTTTTTGTCCTTTTTAATTCTCAGGTTCCTGCCATTTCTTTGGCGTACGAGAAAGCAGAGAGCGATATCATGAAGAGGAAGCCTCGTGATCCCTTACATGACAAACTTGTTAATGAAAGGTATGATGTTCAGAACCACCCAAGTTAAAGGTGGTTCTAAACATAAGATGAATCTTGATATGATTATATATCATTGGCTGAAAATTACCGGGTTTCTCGGTTGCAAACACGCGAAGGTGAAAAATTAAGGTGCTTTTTAAAGGTGGCAGTGTCGTTATGGTAACCTTTAAAATAAATGATCAAATCTTGTTGATAAATGGTTGGTCTTTTGTTTAATACCATTTTCAAGAAAATAAATCAAATTGCGGAGTCACTAACCCATAATAGCAAAAATGTTGAAAATCAACTGAACTTTCTTGAGTCATCCCAGGCAGACAACGCAATGAGAAGTTGGAGTATCATCTAATCCCCCAAAAGATAAACTTTACATTTTCCTCTTAGAGCAAGAGTGCTTGTTGATATCTATGCACTGTTCTGTTGAACTCTCATAATTTTTCCTTGAACCTTTGTTGGGTAATGCCGAGCGGAATTTTTTCAGCACGATTCTAATATCAACTCTCTCTTTCCAGGCTAATTGCCATGACTTATGGACAAATTGGTTTCATTCAGGTAAGTGAAGTACCAAATTCTAACAAAACGGTGTAAATTGGTCATTCTGCAGACCAACATATCTGCAGCTACGCGTCATTTGAACCACGTCTTTATCGAAATATTAATTGTCCTTTAATTGCGCTGTGTTCGCGAGGAAAGTACTCTCTACTAGTGCTGTTCGCTCTTTTAGAGTCTGAAAAAGTGGGTTTCAGAAAAGAACAGGTAACTTTTTTCCCCAAAGTGACTCGCTAGTACCTACACTCTTTTTCGTTTCATGCTGGAAAGAAATTGAATCACAGAGGACAAGTGTGTCGTTGCATTTTGGAATTACTGGTTCATCTTGCTGCAGTTCCATCTAAAAGCAACACAGAGGAAAATTCTTGTCCCTTTTTTAATTTTAGTTAATTCGTCGAGTTACTTGTCTTGGAATAAGTATTGATCTGTTTAACAAGTATTTTATTGTCTGTAGGCTTTGGGAGGCTTCTTCACGTATTTCGTCATTATGACTGAAAATGGTTTCTTTCCAACTCGCCTGTTTGGTATTCGATCGGAATGGGAAGACAGGGATAATAACAGCGTACCTGACAGCTATGGACAGGAATGGGTGAGCCATCTCGCTTCATCGACTCTTGTACAGTTTCTAGTTATAGCGGATCTCGCAGTGCGCGCAGCGAAGCCCCATTTCTATAGAAAATAGTGGTAACCCTTCAAGCCGAAAACATGTTATATAATAAAGAGTTGTGTAGCTAAAACTGTTCTTTCCCAAATATACAGTTTCTTATTATTGTCTTGCAGTCTTATGACTCATATGTCTCGGACTTGTCCATCTTTAACCCTAACAAGCCAAGTTCACTATAGAAGATTTGAGGTTGATGTTTGATGTTGGGAAAATATGCTACATTTGTTTCCTATGTTTGTAGTCAACAAGGCCATTTCGATTTTCTAAATCTTACGCGCACACTATCAATTTTATTTTTTAGAAACTTTTCCACATGTTTAACATAACAGACTTAGTTTGTTTCCGAGAATTTCTATTGTTTTAACCAATGAGCTCTTGGTTTCCAACATTATTCTTCCTGTAGACGTACAGCCAGAGGAAGATTTTGGAGTACACATGCCACACAGCTTTCTTTGTCAGCATTGTAGTGGTACAGTGGGCTGATCTGATCATCTGTAAAACTCGAAAGAATTCCATTATTAAGCAGAAGATGACGTAAGTGGACATGCATAGTGTGTTTTTTTCGTTTTTTTTTTTGTTTTTTTCCTCCAATGTTTCTTTAACAAACGGATATGGAACAATGTTAACATATCTATTCGCACTCTATCACAATGCTTCAATCTGATTGGTTACGCTACTAGCCAACGATTCCGTGATAAATTGTCAGTGAAGAGAGTAGCCCAACAGTCTGTGGTTTTAAACAAAATGGAAAAAGATATGAGCCTTTCTTGTTTAATTTGGAACGACTCATGGATTTATCGTAAAATGACTATATTATGCACTCTCGATTTCTACGCGTGATGAATCGGGCTTCGCTTTCAAATGGGAGCAGTCCGCCGGATTTATTTTTTAATCATCATTTATGTCAAGTTTTAATTTTTGTTTATACCTTTTTGTATCAGTAACAAAGCCCTGAACTTTGGCCTGGTCTTTGAAACTGCCCTCGCTGTACTGCTGTGCTACACTCCTGGTCTGTCTACTGGTCTGCGGATGTACCCATTACTGTAAGTACACTCTGTCGCATAGAGCGCCCGTAGATAGAGTCTCGTACAACCAACCATGATGACAATAGAACAATCACAACACTGGTTCATACCTCAAAGATCCAATGTAAAATTAGTTTTCCAGTTTACTTGATTGTGTTCTTGATGTGGATGGTGCTTGTCGTCGTCAACTTTTGTGAAGAGGAGCCTAATCCAATTAACACAGACCGTAATGAGCACATTTTGGTCTCGGTTTAAAAGTTGTGTAGAGTTAAACCAAGTAGTTGATCGTTTAGTCTGATCGCCTGGGTCGGTGTAGTCCCGAGAAGCACTATTGTCGGTAACACTCACTAGAGGAAGTCTTTAAGACTTAAAGCCTGGTTTTTATATGTCGGGAAAATCACAGACGATCAGCTATTTCTTTGTTTTCCGACCGTCCCAGATTCTTGCGGAGAGGAGTACTGTAGAATAAGCAACAAAAGGACTGGTAGCGAGCTTAAACTATCGCTAACGTCTCTGACAAGGAAAATTGAAGTTTTCATATACCGTTAATGATCGCTGACCATCGAGGAAACTAGAAATGTTCGCTATTTTCCCAATTTGTCGCCGACCATCCCGGATAGTCGGGAATCTCTACGATTTCTAGTTTTTAATTGTTGAAACGATCTGGGACGGTCACTCGTCTGGAATTTTTCCGACGTATGAAAACCTGGCATTATGATGACTTCTGTAAAGGTTTTCGAAACACTAGTCACTCTTCCCAGCAACAGTCTTCCCCAAAACTAGTCTCACAAGGACGATCAAACTTAACGATCAACTTTCACTCTTAAGTGTAAAACTATTGACATTTCATTCAAATAGTTTGCTTCTTATATATTATATTTGTTTTCTCATACAGGGCTCAGTGGTGGTTCCCGGCCATTCCTTTCAGCCTTTTGATCTTTGTGTACGATGAATGTCGTAGATATATCATCAGAAGACATCCGGGATGTAAGTAATTTCGCTTTGGTCAATCAAAAGAAATTGAAAAATAGAGAAGTAAACTTGTTTTCAATGTTTTTTTTTTCTGGCCTGGTCTGCCCACAGTCTCCTTTCCCTCGTTATCAGAGCGAGGTCAGGGAGGTGGTGGTGAACAAAACGCACTTCGTAGGCGCTTTACTTTGTATTAAAATCGATAAGAGATTTTTTGATTTCTTTTCCTTTCATCATCATCATCATTATTATCATCATCTTTTGTTTAGGAAATTTGTCTGCAGTTAAGTCAGGCTTGGGTGTTGCGACTTGCATTCTGAAATCGTAGACAAAGTCTTCAAAGTATCTTTTCTTTTTTTCAGTGAAGAGGTTTATCCGCCCTCCCCTCCCCTCCCCTAATCACGATGTTGTCGTTTTGTGGATATAGCACTGATTGTGTTGATTAACATGTGATTGGAATTGGAATTGGGAAGAGTGGAGCGGGAGGAATTGTGGTAAAAAACGGTAGTCCAGTCTTACTTCAATCTTGCCACTTGTGGGCGAGTGTCCAAAAACCTTTTGTCTGACATTGTTGATCTATGCAAAAAAAAAAACTAACCACTTGGGCCGACTTATCTTGTTTTCTTTAGGTTGGCTGGAACAAGAAACTTACTATTGATGAAAACCAAAGCGTGTGTGATGCTGTCAGTTGCGTGCAGATGAATTGAGATCGAATTGAATCACTTTGAAAGCGGATTGGATCACGAAAGACTGTTAGTTAAATGCCTCTTGCGCTTATGAATAATGTTTCAGAGTGAATTTATCTGCCTTGAATATTACAAAGGCATGTTGCAATGATTATAGTACTACCAAATGCTTGTAGCCGTTTTTAATTTGCTAACACGAGTTTTGAAAGTTCAAGGATTTTTCGCACTTTCCTCCCTCGTGACTGAATGAAATTGAAAATATTGATGAGTTGAACAATTCTTTGAAATCGAAAGGAGGTTGTGCTTTTCGAAGGGAAAAGATATTTTTGACAATCCACATTAGTAATTATTTACTCCGTCCATACAAAATTAGTCATTACATACATAAGCAATAAAATGAGCATTTCTTAATGTTTTTCTGTGTATTGACTACGGATAGTTATATGGTCTTGTGTGTGGCCAAGAGGAACTCTATGTATCATGATACAACAATGTACTGCCCGAAACAGCAAGAGCTAGCCAGGGCCCAGTGGTTCGAAGGTCGATCAGCGTTAACTCAGGATTAAATTTAAATCAGGATTTCTTTGTTTAAAAGCCTTTTTGGGATAATTTTCTCTTTTCTTTTTAGAGCATCCAATAATCAAATTTTGGAAAAAGAAAATTGGACTGAATTTTCTTTGAAAGCTTTAAGATCTGAAACCAGATTTCACACTAGCCCAAGGTTATCTTAATCCAGATTTTGTCTAAACCTCTCGCTTTGATCTTTAACCCAGAGGGAAGATTTGTACAATGAGTGAAAAAAGTAGTTCGCATGTCTCCACTTAGTAGGCGGTTCACAACCTTCCACTCAACATAACAACCAGGAATCTTGTATTTTATCTATATAAGTCAAGGGTATTTACCCTTCCTCTCCTAGGATCTTTTTTAGCAACTCTCGCTACAGTCTGCCGTACAATAGTTCGAAGTCTTATTTCTTCTCTACGTGATGTTGTATCGATATTGTACGGGGAAATTCTGTCTGTCACTCGTAAGCCGATTCCCGGGCGATCTACCGCTGCCTTAAGACCTCTTACCGCTGTCTGTTAGCCTTGCGTGCAGGCTCTCGTGTTTGAGTTTCGCCTCGTAGCCCCTTTCAGGATTCAGCTGCCTATTACGCCAATAGCATTGCTTATGGAAAAAATTATGAAAGCCTTGAGAAGTTACCTAAGGTTCACTTCTCCCCACATGTTGCAATAAATGACTAATTTATTGAAGTAGCCCCACGTAACATTACAATGGAAAAGAGGGAAGATAAATAAGAGTTCGAGAAAAATTTAAATAGTAGAACTTACCAAGACTTTTGCCTCTCGTTGAGGGAACGATTAAAGAAAAATAAAACGATGTGGCAAGTTACCATTTTTAATGACGGTAAATTGATTACAAATCCATCTCATATAAGCTAGAACGTAAATCAAAGAAAATTGACAGGTATCATCAGCAGGTAAAACTCTGCCATTGACCGTCGTTGCTATCTAAAAGTTTCCTAAATTTACGATGAAACAGTTACATTAATACTGTATCATCCAAATTGCGATGCATGCAAAGCAAACTACTCTGCTAACTTGAGAGCTGCCCGAAGGTTAGGTTAGCAAAGAAACTTAAGATGCAAAATTCAAGTTTTAGCAAGTATTTAACCACGAAGCCACTGTTCTAACGCTTTCTCTAAAACGAATGAGCACGATTCCGAATCAATCAATTGATAGACTAAGTCGATGTTGAAAATTAAGCATAACATTAAGATAACATTCCTCGTCGTATTTATGCTATAGTTACCACGGCCTTCCCCTCTACGACACTAACTTCGGCTATTTCTTTTGTTTTGTTTTTCTTGTTGGTTCTGCTTACAATGTCGTTGCTGTCGTTGCTGTCGTTTCGATGTTAACACAAAATCCGTTTTTTAGGGAAAGTCGATTGATAAAATACCTCAAAGGTTGCTTACTTAGTCACTACACCTGTGAACCACGAGTTCTAAGGCCGTGCTACTATCAGTACATCAGAGATTTTACTCAACTTTGGCCTCTTAGCTTTAAAGCTGAATTCCAAACTAATGAAAACTGCTCCGTTTACGATCTTAAAGGTCTTAACATAATGTAGAATAAATTCTAACAAAGTACGATAGCCAAATCTAAAAATGTCTTACTACAAACGGTCCGTTACAATGAGTTCACAAAATTAAAAAAGAAAAACTCAGTTTCATTCTTTTAAATATATTACTGAAGTAACATTCGTAAAATTACTACAAAATGCTGCGCGAGAAAATTATTGTACCAAGATTAAACTGAATGAGGACAGCGCTTGCTATTCTACCGTTCAGAGGAGTGATAAAGACTGTAATTTCAGTATCTGTAATAATTGAGGGACAATTCGTACAAACACGCTAACTGTATTCCTTTAACCCCCAAGTCTTGATCACACCGCAACTTCCCCTAGCTGGTTTAAAATATCATCCGCCAATCAGGTGATGAGACGAAACAAGCTCATCACGGGGATGGTGTAATCTGGCGTTCACACCAGATTCCCTCCGCTAGTTTAGAGAGTAATGCACGGAGGGTAGAGAATTAATAACCAGAACATGGAGGTCAGAGGATTGAAAGAGAAACGTCATGGTTCATCCTTTACTAACCACATTCCTTTCTGATTTGTTTTCCACTTTGCTGCCTTCCGATCTAACAAAATAAATTTTTTACAACCTTTTTCCTACATCGGAGGTCACTTCGGATGTTGCTGTAAATTAGCACCCTGACGTCACTCTTTCAAGACCACATACATGTACACAGTTTCACGAATTAAATTTTAAAATACCGCTGATCACAAATCATGGTACAATTCTGAATTCAACGTTTTACAACTTTACGTTTCCAGAAATCGTTCCACTAAGAATACAGACACACCTAAAGAAACCTAACCCTACACACTTAACACACACATTTGACTAGCTACAGGCTTAGTTCTAAGCCTGATACATAGTGAATGGTAGGATATTTTAAAAGAGAAAAATTGCCACTGATATCGACAACTCTGCATACTTAGGAGACAAAGTTAGTTGAAGTCCACAGTTATCAGGTAACATCGAATGTCAGGTGATCAGGGGATTTAACAATTCTAATAGTAAGTCTCCTGGTCAAGCCAGCCTGAAAAGACAAAATGAAGACAGTGATTAACAATAGACAGAGAGGTTTTTATTCCATTCCTGACTAATTTAATACCTTAGGGTAATTTAGTATTATCAGCTGAGTTGATAACGTAAATTGGCCACCGTAAGGAGTTTTAAAAGCTGACGTTTCGAGCGTTAGACCTTCGCCCTCCTTGTTACACTCTCCCTCCAACGCAGCATCCATAGTTTCTTTCGACACGTATCTCCTTTATTTATTTGATATAATACCTCCTTCAGTTTGGAAGATACGACCCACCCACTCAAATATGAAAGGTTTGCCTGCCTGTGAATTCAATTGTTTGTGTACTAAATCGTTTTCCTGTTTGTTTATTCAATTGCTTTTTTTGTGTGTGTGTATGTGCTTGTCTACTTGAGAGCTTCCTTGCTAGCGAGTTTTTATATTTTGTTTGGCAATTTGATTCCTCGCTTGGCTGAGCGGCTGTCCAAATGTTTTTGTTTGTTTTTTGCCCACTCCTTGAAGACTTCGAATTTCTCCCTAGATAATACATAACACGTCACCAGGAGCCATAGAGGGTTCCAACACATGCAGTCGGTCTCACTCGCGGGAGAACACTTATTCTGAAGTCGAAATAGGCCATTTTACAGTTGCGTACATAGTTACCAATCCTTTGATTTGGAGTGAGGCTGGAGGTGATCATGTCGTGATAGAGATCAGTATCTAGTTAGCATGATAGCAAAGTAAATTACATGTGAAAAGCAGCAACGTTTGTATCAAAACAAGGTCAACCTTGGCCTCATTCCTGTTCGAAGCCTTGTCAACCAAGCATGCAACTGTAAAATGGACTATTACTTTTTATCGTCATTATCTTAATGGCTGTAAAACTGGCGGGAGAATTTAAGACCAATCCCAGAAAAGCAAAACCTTTGCAATCCCGGATTGCTATCGTGATGTTGTAAAACAAAACCGGCTAGTCTCGTTTATGTTGTGGTACTTACATCCGGGGTATCTACGCAGAATGTAACGACGAATCTCGTCGTAAATCCAAATGACAAGACTGAAAGGCATGGCTGGGAACCACCACTGCCAACTGAAAACAAAAAGATATCGATGTCACCTCGTCATTAGCAACACAATAAAATGTTTCGTCCCCAATTGGTAGATGATAAATGCATGAATAGGTCATTTTGTGCAGGACGAGAATTCCACCCTGACCTCTATTGAAAGCTACGTTTTTAAAAAATAACCAAAACAGCTTTATACGTCGCACACTGTACTTTCACGAAGTGAAAATCCTCCCTCTAATGGCTAAGTCAGCGTAAATTCCACAATTTTTAAATTTTTTTTTTTTCCATTGGCGTCGGGGATTTTTATACTTGATGTTCGCATAATATCAGCCACATCTTCTACGTTATTCCGTTTTCCAAACTTATTTGGTTTCTATGTCAAAGTCGCGTTAATTTTCCTCAATCTGAAACTCTAGCAACTGTATCACGTTTAATTCCATTGGTTGGAAAGTTACCTCTCCATCAATTTGCGTTAATTCAAGTGGCGTTAATATCAAATACATTGTTTATTCGAGCTGAAATTTCTAATGACGAGATGTTGGCACCATATGTATTAAGTACGTATGTAACTTACGCTAGCGGGTACATGCGAAGTCCATTAGACATGCCAGGAGTATAGCTGAGGAAGGCAGCTAGGCAAGTCTCGAAGACCAGACCGAAGTTCAAGAACCAGTTGCTGTGAGAGTAAAAACGACAGTAAATAAAAACATCATAAGGTATATTGAGCAGAATCCGAACGCCACAAATCACATCGGTGTGTGCAGAATAGGTCATCTTACTCAAAAATGGACAAGATCATCCACGGAATAACTTATTTTAAAGGCGGCTGTTCCCGGAAAAGGGACCCTAAGGTGAAATCCAAACTCGACGAGATGTTGAAAAGAGAGCAAGTACTTACTTCATTCCCTGTGTGAAGAGAGAATTTCTCCTGGTCTTACAGATGATCAGATCTGCCCACTGCACGATCACAATACTGACGAAGAAGGCAGTATGGCAGGTGAACTCCAGGATCTTGCGTTGATTGTAAGTCTGCAAGGAGCAGTGAAAATCGATCATCAATGGGCTAAAGTATGGGTTAAAGTGGAGAAGCTACAACCTTCTATGCAAGACTATCCTTCCCATCATTCCACAGGTTGAAGGTGGACTCTCGCAGCAGAATCCTTCCGTCTGCTCCGTAGTGTACGCCTTCAACGTGAGGAACACGAGATGCCATCGATAGTCCCAGTTACAAACAACAATTGTTTTGTAAAAATTGCGAGAAACCGCTAAAATAACTATCCAGAGAAAACCTCTGACAATTTCAGACGACTACAATATATATTAACTACTTGGACGCACGAGGATGATGGACCACGATAAAAAAAAATTAGCTATGGCATTACAGTATTTATCTTCCTAATTATATTTTCAGGACCAAAATATCTGTTTGAAAAGTTTCCTGTTTTTTCAGTGATTGAAAACTTTGCATGAGCCCTGAGTCTTCTTTGTATCCGAAAGATTTTCTTCATAGGCTCATCCTCTTAGCGGTTAACAAAACTGTTTGATAGTAGCATCGATTTTATTTTTAAAACATTAACATTTTGTTACTATGCTTTTCATTCTTTGTTGATGCAAGTTATCACGTACCCACTCCTGGCCATAAGAATCTTGTAAATCATTTATCTCCCTGTTGTCCCAGGGTCTTCTCAAACCAAAGAGATAACCAGGCAAGAATCCATTCTCTGCCATGATGACAAAGTACACAAAGAAACCAGCGGTAGCCTGCAGGTAAAGACCAATAAGTAAACCTGTGAGACGCACGGGCCGATGAAAAGAGTCTTTGGCTTTAAGCTGAAGGATCTGGGTTCACGCCCTGCTGGCCTGGAGACAGATAATTCTTCCTTTTCTTCTGCTCATAGTCTGCTGAAGTTAATAACTAGGTTCTTTTGGCCGTAAAGGCCACTTCAGCCGTGTGCAAACTTAACATAATTTGCCAAAACTAAAGAAGATTCATAAAGTTTCGTCAACATTTTATGCAAACGGACATTACCTGAATCATCCCAATTTGACCGTAAGCCATAGCAATCAGCCTGCAAATCAACAAAAACTTCGTTAGCACTATAATGTCGATGTATAATTACTCAAAAAAACTGGATTAATTGAGCAGTTTTCCATTAGGTGTTGAAAGTAATCCGGGATTGCATTGGTTTGGCTTTAGTCCACTCTGTGTTTGGTCTACAAAAACTCGCACCATTCCCCCAACCAATCAGATGCACAACTAAAACAAAACACGACTTGGTCACCAGCCTTCTCCCGCGCTTAAGGCATTTTTCTTTGGTTTTATTTTGAGTTCTCCTAGGTTTTCATGGGTCTTTTCCTTTCTTCTGATTGGTTGATGAGATGACCGCGTGGTTTTGGTGTTACGAAATTACTTTAGATAAAGTAAATTTTAGCGAGGCTTCAGCAGTATGCAGCCGGAACGTCGACATTCAATTGAAAATCGCTCAATTCATCAAAAATGCAATGCTTCATTCACCTTTCGTTCACAAGTTTGTCGTTGAGAGGATCACGAGGCTGACGCTTCATGATGTCTGATTCGGCCTTTTCATAAGCAAGTGAGATGGCGGGAACCTTTAAGACAGAAAAAAAAAAAAAAAAAAAAAAAAGATTTAAGTTATGAGAACAAAGTCACTGGTCACCACTTTAGGCAGCTCTTAACTGTTCCACAAATTCTCCTCGTCAGAACCATGGGAAATGTATATATGACAGTGCGGAGAATAAACAAACTGATCTTACGGACTAAAGAGTTAACAAGCAGGGCAAAATTCTCAGTCACTCAGTAACCGGTAACATTTACCGCCAGTAGTACCTCTTATTGCCGTTTAAAATTGCTTGGAATTCTTGAAAATTCAACAAGTAAAAGGATTACTTTACCGGTTTGAAAATTTATTTTACCTGTCATGCTTAAAATAAGGGAGAACACTGGTCACTAGTACATACCATGTCGGTACCCAAATCGATACAAAGAATTGTCACAGTGCCAAGCGGAAGGGGAATGTCCAAGATGATAAACATCAAGAAAGGACTGATTTCGGGGATGTTACTGGTCAGAGTGTAGGCGATGGACTTCTTTAAGTTGTCAAAGATCAAACGACCTGAAGAAGGAAAGATAAAACACGCATATCAAAGGCTTTTTTATTCTAAAAACCAAAATACCCAAGATAAACACAAAGCACAGTATTACTGCAATTATACAATTTGACTTCGTTGAGAATTAACCTCGTCTGCTGTATCAGAAGGAAGGCAGCATGGTTTTCTCATCAGTTTTCAGGTGAGAAAGTCCATGAAAGTTCATCATAAACAGACTACTTCGTACTTTTAATTCTGAGATGCCAATCCATCGCAAAATTACTACCCCATCCCTTCCTCTCCCCCCCCCCCCTGCATTTCAATTGGCCGGTACCCATTTATACCCCTTGGTGGAGGGAGGCACGGGGAGAGTAAAGTGTTTTACCCAAGAACACCACACAATCAGGAAAACTTTCCAAAGACATGATCCAACCGGAAACGCGATTCTGTAGAGCGTAAGTTCACTCTAAACCCTCACAACCACAACAAGTGATAGCAAAACATGAGACAAACCTTCTTCAACTCCAGTAACAATGGATGCAAAGTTATCGTCCAACAGAATCATATCAGCTGCCTGTTTGGACACATCTGAGCCAGCGATACCCATGGCAACACCTAAAACGTATACAACATGTGGATAGAGTCAGGATTCTGGGAGAATGGTTCAGACTGTTAAAAAAAGAGGTCTGAAAGAAGCTTATTCATCAGTCAAAGTCTCAATATCACACAAACAAGGAATATCATAAGCTCTGACATTTTGCCAAGAGAAAACAGTCATGATCAAGATCATATCGTGAAATACAGGGTACGTATGAAACACAGCGGTCACACGTCAAGCATGCGCTAGTATTTCAATTTTGGCCAGCCGCGCGCCAACTTCCCGCGCAGAATTTCAAGAAAGACATGAAGAAACGAACGCTGTCACGCAAAATAGGCGCGAAAAGATTAAAATGTTCATGGAAATTTGAAAAAGGAACAAAAGAAGGAAAAAGGAAAAATCGAGACGTTTCGAAAACGAAGTTTAATAAATTACAGGTATACTGTTGATTTACCATTCTGTCTTGAGCTTTATCAAAAAAGTTATACGCTTTTGAAACACCGTGACTAACTGGCTTGTGTGGTTCTGTTACTCGAGTGAGACAACTTGGCTCTCACAGGCTGAAAGTAGGCCAGTTAGTCATTATAATGTTCGCATACGTGCAGACGTTTAACCGCAGCGTTCGTATGAAGAACGGGGATTGTTCTGGCATAATAGTTGGCCAAAACCACCGCTCAAAAGTTGAAAGTCCCCAGAAACTCGATCCTCGATTCTCGATTTTCGATTCTAGATTTTCGATCCTCAATACTCGATCCTCGACTCGCGACTCTCGATTCTCGATCCTCAACCTTTGAACCTCGGTTCTCGACTCTCGAAAGTTTCGAGGACATGAATCGAGTTTTGAGTTTAAACTGTCAACTTGCTTAACTTATTTTTGAGCAGTACTTTAGGTGACAACTAATCGTCGAGATGTAAGAAGCAGAACAGGCATTTAATTTAGTGAATGATGTCTTAAGAACTCTAAAAAAAAAATACACACCAATATCTGCCCTTTTCAAAGCTGGCGAGTCATTGACACCATCTCCTGTCACAGCAACAATGGCCCCCTGTCGTTGGCAGCCTTCTACAATGATCAGTTTCTGTTGTGGAGAGGTTCTTGCAAATACAATCTCCGTGTGCTCGGACAAGATTTCATCAATGTCGCTCTTAACCATTTCCTTCAAAACAACATTTAAAATCCAGATCAGCTTAAACCCAGAAAAAAGCAGGGACCCGATTATCGAGACTTTCTCCCTTTCACGGCTCGTCTTGAGCTCGTCTTGTCGTCTGTTACTGCAGTGAAACATTTAAAACAACTACCTGATACTTTGAAACTTAGAAAAAGACGTGGGCCAAATGTGTAAAACAGGCAAGAAAGGGATAGTTGGTGGGCAACGCATGAGCTACACATGTAACTCCACGAGTCAAAATGTTACCTACTTCATAAATGATATTTAGAGTTCACTTGCCAATGGAGGAGTGATGCAGGATGCGATTTTTAATACACTACCAGAGAAAATCAAACTTAATCTTATATAAGCCAAAGACAGCGCTCTCTATTGGTTGACCGGCGTAAAAATCAACATGGAATGATGGGAGAAGACTGGAGAGTTTTCGCAAACCACTCGCCCCCAGATCAACTTTTTCAACCATATCTCGTGTTGTCAAAACATCTTGGGTTATTTGCCAGCAAACCAATAAAAAGTGCAGTTTATTTCTTAAGAAGTCATCAATTTACTAGGGCTACATCTGCTGCCTCTTTTTAAATACCTTCAACTGCTGTCCATGAACCACAATGGCTTTGGCTTGTCGCGGATCAACCTCTTCTATTGGGATGTTCAGACGAGTGGCAATATCTTCAACAGTCTCAGTTCCTGGAAGACAAAGAATACTAGAGGGTTACAAATTTACAAAAACAATCACTGTCACAAAAACTCTGTTCCGCTTTCCGAGGATACAAGTAATAAACCTATCGAATAATTTTGAGTGGTTGGATGTAACGACAAAAATTACGATTCTTCGTTGGGCACTTTCAAACAACATTTTTAATTCTACGGTTTCAGTTACAATACTCTCTCGAGAAAAACAAAACAAAACAACAACCTAGCAAACTCAATCAAATTAGAAGCAACTAATCAAGCATAGTTTTGGGGCCGTAGGTCCGAACGAAAGTCAAAGACAAAATTATGTACAAGCACTGTTTTATGCGCAAAACACTTTGCCGAAAAAGAAAGACAGCTTGTAGTCTATGTTTGTGACTTAAGATCTAAACAGAGAAGTATCTTTTATCAAAAACTTACCTTCTGAGATAATTCCGACTCCTTTGGCGATGGCCTTGGCTGTGATTGGATGATCACCTGTCACCATGATGACTTTGATTCCTGCACTGCGGCATTTGCTGACAGCATCAGGAACAGCGGCGCGAGGTGGATCAATCATAGACATTAGACCAACGAAGCACAGGTTTTCAAGAGGGAAGTTGACAGGCTGAGTAGCACAAAGGTAGAGGAATTTAATTTAAGACATTATAATGCACATACAGTAGAAATTTGCTAACTCGAACCCAATTTACTCGAACCACCTACTGACTCGAACAATATTCGATTTTCCTCAAATTTGACCCCATTTTCCCAGTCATTTACTATCAACTAAGTTAAACTCAATTAACTCAAAATCCCCGTTAACTTGAACAAACTTCACCTTCCCTTGACTCAAATTTACCACGAGAACTCGAACTTTTGGTAAAAACGGCCAGAGAGAAACGTTCAAGAGTCAAAACATAGATTGAGACGTTCCATTCTTGAATCGCAATCGATACAAACGTCGTAACATTTATGAAACGTAATACAACTAGCTATGATTCCCAAACTAAACATTCATTTCAAAGCAGTTGGCAGAAATTATAAATGCTGCTACTTACCTCATCTGTGTTGAACTCAAACCCCGGAGGGAATTCTTCCAAAGGCAAGAAGAAATGACAGAAACCAAGCACACGTTCACCCATGCCTCCCAGCTCGAGATAAGCAGCATTGAAAGCTTCCTGCATTTTCTCATCTAGCGCCACTTCCTCACCGTTCATCAAAATTGTTGAGCAACGATCAAGGATTCTCTCGGGAGCACCCTTCATCACAAGAATATGGCGCTTGTCGTCAGGATCTGGGTTTTCATGAATGGATACTTGATATTTGTTGGTCGAGTTGAATGGGATCTCGGCAACTTTGGTATGTTTATCTCTCATTTCTTTCACACTTCCTTCGGATAGCTCCACATACTTCATTAAGGCAGATTCAGAGGCATCTCCTGAGCATTCCCTGAAAAAAAAAAAAAGAACACTCCTTCAACTCTTTGGCCTGTAAGAGTGACCAGCATGTAAATTCTCCTCACAAAATCGTCCCTGAATCACACCATTGAGGTCACATGAATACAAGAAATGATCACCAACCAAAGAAACTGTTGATTGGTCACCAAATTCTCCTTGTTAGCAACATAGGAAAAGTGCACAGAACACTATGAAGAATGTGCAAACTGATGTTAGGGCGTCGAGGGTTAATAAACTGATTTAAAACTTTGACTGTATGTCTCCTAAGATGAACAAATGCTGTTATAGTTCTCACTCATTCTGATAGTACACTTATCAAAAATGCATCATCCTGATTATTACATTTCAATTCAAACAATCTAATTCTTCATCTAATTGTGGGAAATTGTAGTAAATGCTGTTGGAGAGTGCTCAATACACACGAGTGTAAAGCAAATAAAAAGTTCAAAATGACTAAAACGAAACACGTATGATTTGCTGTAACTCTGAGTTTCGTGCTCATACTAGTCAGGCAGATTTAAAATTAAATCTGTCTGACGAGTGTGTAAGCACGAAACTCAGAGTTACAGGAAATCATGCATGTTTCATTTTTTAGTCATTTTGAACTGTAATTCTTCATCTACAATTCCTTGTTTCAATTTCTTTTTAAACTTTTTACCTCCACCAGGTACTGAATCTAATTTCACCACACTATATCCACACTGGATTAAATGGCAAGATTATGAGGTAAAAGGAAATGATAGTAGGATAATTAAGCTGTTGGTTGCGACAAATTCTCCTGTTCGGTGCTAAAGGAATTGTATAGAAAACAATGAGGAGCACATGTAGACTGATGTTAGTTCGTAAAGGTAAAGTCAAGATGCATGGAGTTTGCTGGATCTAGAGAGAAAGTGATATCTGACACTCACAAATTAAAACTTTAAGCAGATTTGGTGTGCAACCCAAGTTTTTTTTTTTTTTTTAGGGGTTGCTGTTCTGCATGCAAAATCAGCTAAAAATACAAGAACAAGAAACACACAATACCTCTTCAAAATTGGAACATGGTCTTGATCAGCTTTAAATACTGCTCTGTTACAAAGCCCAGCAATTCGAGCAAGTGCTCTCCATGTATCTGATTTCTGATGAAAAAAGCGATGTTAACAATACCTGGAAAAATGGTTCTTTCTACACAATCCACTTCTTTTAAAAAAACCCTCAAAATGACTCCCTAAATGCAGCTTATCTAGGACTTTTCCCACTGCGCTAGGGAGCTTGAAAGCTGAAAATGTCTCTCACCTTATCGAAGGAAACTCCTGATTGATCTTCAGTTGTGTCAGCCTCAATTGTCATGTTATCAAACCACATGTGGGCTAAAAATACAACCAATTGTGGTTAAATGTAGGTTTGGCCATCCAATGAAAGTGACTCTTTCGTCATTAGAAGAATGCGAAATGAATTAATGGCAGGTTATGAAGCTGTGTAACAAAGACACAGGCTAACAATAATATTGGAGCATAAAATAGTTCCCTTTCCTTTAGTGCCAAAATATCCAAATATCAAGTCTCTATCACATTCCTTGTAACTTTTCCTCTGAGAATTTGGTATTAAATAAAAAAAAATCACCCAATCCAAATTCCATGATTTTTATGACCTTAATGCTTAAAAAACCTTTAACCCCCAATTAAGAATGACTGGCTTCCAATTTCTCCTAACAGTATCAATACTGAATTAAACCGTGAGGTAATGAGAATATTGAAAAAGGATCAATGACTCAAGAAGCTATGGATTGGTGAAGAAATTCTCTTTGTCAGCCCCTTAAGAAAGATAGAGAAAAACTTGGGGAGAATATCTATTCTGAAATTAGTGTAAAGAGGGTTCAAATGTTGTGATATAAAAAGAAACAAATCCTTTTTGGGCACTTCTAGGGGTGAAAGAGTGAGGACAGCAGTAGAGTAAAAATCATTTGAACAGTTTTGTTACTCTTTCAATCAATGATGGACAGGATATAGAGCGTTAAAAGATTGTTTCTTACCCACAGTCATTCGGTTTTGAGTGAGTGTACCAGTCTTATCAGAACAGATTGTGGATGTACTGCCAAGAGTCTCCACAGCCTCAAGATTCTTCACCAAGCAGTTCTTGGAAGCCATCCTCTTGGCTGTCAGAGTCAAACACACCTTCACAAGGAGAAGGTAAATAATGAATTATATTAAAAAAATAATGGTAACATTGAAATACTAGTTTGCAGGCACTGTACATGTGGTAATCAAAGCCAATGGGATTGTACACGCTGATGAAAACTGGTTGGGATAAGTTTTACCTTAACCAGGGTTGTTTATACCAGCTGGTTAGTGGCAGAAAAACTTGCCACCTAACAGACTACTTTTTATTGGGCAACTTTGCGAACTGTGAGCAACGACAGACAACAAGTCTTTGTGAACTGATTGAACATCAGCATGGCTAAAAAAAGAGTTACTCAAATATGTCCCAGAATGCTGGAAATGATGTCTCAGAGAGAATAAAATTTCAACCTTTTCCAGTAGAGCCTGCCCCTGGATTCTCCTTGGAGGGGCATTGTGTGATGCAAGTGCCATTCAATTGAACACCCCCTCAGTTCACACATCTATCACATTTCCTAATAACAACCCTGCTTTGCTGAATAAAGATTACTTCTAAATGACAATTATTATCACCAAAAAAAATTCATGATGTAACCTATCAGTTCAAATAAAAGATTGTGGAATTTCACATGAGAAGTCACACAAATTTTCCCACAGAAGCTGGTCCAGGGAATGATTCTGGTAAGGTTTTTGTGCATTCTTTGCACAGAACTCTGAATGACAAGGCATGTCTACACTTACTGTAACAGTTGCGAGAAGACCTTCTGGTACATTGGCCACAATGATACCAATCAAGAAGATGACAGCTTCCAGCCAGTTGTACTTCAGAATAAAGGCAATGATGAAAAAGGAAACCCCAAGAAATACAGCAACACCAGTAATGATGTGGATGAAATGTTCAATCTCAATAGCGATTGGAGTTTTGTCAGAGCCAAGACCACTAGCCAAGTTAGCAATACGTCCCATGACAGTGTTGTCTCCAGTTTGTACAGCGATACCAACACAGTTTCCTTCCAGTCCATTTGTTGAGAAGAAAGCCAGATTTCTGGTCTCTAGAGGATTTTGATTGGTACAGTCAGGGCCTCTGCTCTGGGGCTCAGATTCACCCGTGAGTGAGGAGTTATCCACCTTGAAATAAAAATATACCAACAACCATGCTAAATATTATTAAATAACATGATAATTGGGACAAGATAAGGGAAAATGGTGAATACATCAATTTGAAAGATAAATTTTGCACTAGATTTGTATGGATTTTTAAACTGTCTAGATACAGGGAAAGGCTGCAGACTGCCTTATAAATGCCTCTTAACTGACTTCCCAGTGATAATACAGCATCATCTTTCTGTTTATATACCACACACAACCCACTACTCAATTCACTGACAAAAGGCTAATGCTTGTAATGTCAGCTTTAGAAACTCTTATTGGCAGCTAATTTATTTTATCAACTCAGTTGATAAGACCAAATATCTTATCGCAACAGAGATTGAATTTTCCTGAAAAGAATCAGGCATTTTTTTTAGTGGTTAGTCTTGTAAACAGGTTTATATACCTTGAAGCCTCTGGCTTCCACTACTCTGATGTCAGCAGGAACTCTGTCCCCACCCTTCACAAAAATTATATCACCAACGACAACTTCTTCTGCATTGATGGTGTGTCTTTCACCGCTGCGCAACACATTTGCTTCCTGTGGAACCAAATTCTTAAAGCTGTCCATGATTCGAGAACTTTTGGCTTCCTGGAATACAAAACATTACCACCACAATTATGAAGATGAGGCTTCTGTTAATTACTAATAGCAGAAAATACAAATCAAGTTCAAAATCTATTGTATACCTTACTCTGGGCATGCCCAGTTTTCTCCATTTCAGGCAGCACATGATAAAATTTACTGATTGTGGTACCTAATGTTACTGCCTACAATAGCTTGTAATTCTTGAAAATTCAACAGTCTAAAGAATTGCTCTATCAGTTTGACAATTTCCGGCTTGCTATAGTAAGAGAGAACACTGTATACCTGATAATATGAGAAAATTCCGGTCACAATCACTACAGCAGCCAATACAACCCCAAGATACAACTGAAATAAAAAAGGTCAGAGACACATTCAGCCTTTGATTTGATTCCAGCTTGGACTTAACCACATCAATTCCACCATAACTACTAGTATAGACGTAGTAAAATCTGTACACAAGCCTATTAGCAGTGTTCTCCAAAAGCGCGGGCAGCTGGCATTTTCACTGGCCACCCATGTCTCAAGCACCGGCTCCTTTTGTTGGTTAAAACCACAGACAACAATTCTCTTTTTTTGGTAAGATAATTTTGAGTGTAGCTTGAATTTGTGCTTGATTTGGAAGCCCTGGCTACTTTACAATTTTAGCTGACTACTTCAAAATCTGTGGAGAACACTGCTATTAGCTCACCCAGCCAGGACTTATCCCAGTTTTCATGTAGCATGAAGCAACTAGCTAGAAGTATTACAACTCCCTCCTGGAGGAGATCCTAGTCCATCCCAAGGTTTTGCCCCCAGTACCCATTTATACACCAGGGTGGAGAGAGACGATACGTGTGAAAGAGTTTCTTGCCCAAGAACAAAACACTTTGACCTGGCCAGGTCTAGAGCCCAGACCTCTCAAACCAGAGTCCTGTGCACTGACAATTAGGCCACTGTGTTAAGATGGAGCAACTTACTACATCACCCCTGAATCAAACATTAAGATCATGAGAATCACAGAGATCGTCACCAACTAAAGAAGCTCTTTGATTGTTGAACAAATTCTCCTTATCAGAACTGTTGGAAATGTCTAGGGAGTAGTATGGAGAATATGCATACTGATGTTGGGGAGTAAAGCGTTAATGTCAACTAAATGTATGTGCATACATTATCTGAAGGTGGTTCCTCTTCGGTAAATACAAGGATAGTATAGGCCACGAAACAGAGAATAGAACCAATCCACAACAGCATGGCAAAACCACCAAACAGCTGACGACAAAACTTCACCCACTCAGGGGTCGTGGGTGGGGGAGTCAGAGAATTGGGGCCATCTCGCTCAAGAACTTCTGCAGCTTTTTCAATGCTTAGACCCTGTTTAAAAAAGAGTAATATTGTCAAGTCTTACAAATCAAGAGGCCAATGATTCTCATGGTTCACCTAGTTTCCCAAGCATAAAGTCAAACCTGTATTTAGCAGTCACCCACAAGAAATGGTGTAGTGACTGCTAAAGAATAAAGGTATTGTAAACAAAATAATAAAAAAAATGCCACTTTGTCATAACTAAAAGCTTGGTGTACACAAACTCCTGCAAAAACACTATTACGGTAACATTGATTTCGGGAGAGGAACATGGATTAATAATTACTTGAAAGATTATTCTTAGTTTTATCTTAGTGGCCCAGCTTTCAGTGAAGGTTCAACACAGGCACAGGACAGTAAAACCAGGCTGTTGGGACTTACACTGATTCAGGGGAAACAAATTTGAGAATCTGACCATCAACCGCTTAGTAAAGGGTGATTGCAGAATCAATAGTGTAAAGAATAGGAATATTACCTCTCCTCCTGGATCCTGCACAATTCATGAGATTTCCTTTCTTAAAATATTCTCATGTTTCTTCGGAGCAAAATTTGAAAGCAAAATTTCCTCTTCCCCCCCTCTCTGATACAGTTTGAATTCCCAAGCAGTGATTCTTAATGGGGTCATAACCTGTGAGTTTGTTTGAACAAATCAAGCTCAAAGTGACAGCACTTGACCAGTGTGTAAATATGTTATCCAGTTTTAGAAACATTTCTGTGTAACCCCAAATCATTCCAAAACAAAGCTGTACTTGCAAAGTTAATATATTTCGTTTGACACTGTTTTCTTTACGCAAGAACTATATGCATAATGTATTATGGGACTGTGCTGAAATCTTGCCCCAGTTTGTTCTGGAATTTATCAACAAATTGACCGTTACTATTTTCTTGTCAACAAAAATAGAATCGAGTTTTAACTTAATTATCTCCTGTTTCTCATTCATAACACAATAATTTACTTTCAAACAACAACAGATGAAGTTTACAATGTGCAAAGCAGATAAAAAGTACTCTGACTATTACAAACATGAAAGAAAACAAGAAAGACTAATTTAAAGAAACATCTATTCAGTCAATTCTTTTACTCTCCTCTGCCGGCGAGTCACGGAAATGTCATGAGAAAGATCGATGTAATATGACGCTGCCTGATTTAGAATAACAATTATGAACGTAACGCCGAGTTTGCAAATAGGATACAACTAGATCGCGCTTTACCAAACAGACTTCTCCTATACGAGAAAGAAAATGATTACGTAGACTCAAGGCAATAAAATTAATTTCAACATTCTTTGGGAATTCAACCGATTCAAATCCCGCTAATTGAAATTTAAAGTACTGGGTGTTCAATTCTTCGATGAATTAATGATTTACTCGAGTCTCGAAATGTTTACGAAAAGAAATCGCTTTACACCATCGTCTACAAGCGAATCGAAAATCACATTCAACCACTCGAGGCCATGAATAATAGATAACTGTAATGCTTTTAGTGAAAACCCACGTTTGCTGAACTTCATCAAAAACATGCCTTTACCGGCCACACCGATCGATGCGTTCATGCAAATCGGAAGGACGCACAGCAAAATATATAGACAACTAAGCAATTTCTGTCAAGACCTACACGTCGCGGTAAATCTGCTGTATTAATTTTTACAACAACATTCGATTTGATGCAGCCTATACCGTGAAAGTTTGTGCCGAAATTGAAAACCGCAGATATAGTAAAAATTTTGAACAGACATCTAGCTAATCAGGAGACAGAAATAATGTGAAAAGAAAGTTCAAGTTTGAAAATTCTAAAATCGAAGCCTGTAAGACTGTAAGATTGAACTAAATAAAACATTTTAATAAATTTAGTTGATTTTGTATTTGAGACAGGAATACTTGTTAATCAGAATCCTGACGGTTATATCATGAATTCATAGTACTACAGTTTCCTACTCATATCGTCAAAGAAAAGTAAAGATTCAGGCGCAGTAAAAAAAAATAAATAAGGACTAGCGATCAGAAGATATTCGATGTAGTTTTACGTACATTTTTAATGCTTCGAATCACTATGAAATTTGCATACGTGTAGTAAGCCGGCTTGAAAACGAAGTCTATTTGTTCTCGAGGTTATATAACGATTAAACCCATTGCGATCTCAAGAGTAGACAATCTGTCAAAGATAGTCGTCGTTAACGATTCAGTGACAAACTAGTAGTGATAAAATATACGAGAAGCCAAAAAAAAGCTCGTACTTACCCTTTCCACATTCGTTTCTAAACGCCTGCATACTTCCTCCAACTCGACTGTATGCCAATCCTAGGATCGATAACGGGGAAAATTAACTTCTGCTGTGACAATTCACTGACTGAAGAGGCCAGACAGTAAACGTTCCACTTACAATTTCTAATTCTTTCTTGAGATCCTCAAGGTTTTCCTTCTTTTCCTGTTTCTTGGCTTTTCGCTTTGACATCTTCTTAGCGGGCTTTCCGCCATCTTTTTTACCCGCACCATCATTCACTAGGGGTGCCGTTGCGACACGGTAGCTCTGACTTCGCCCAAACTAGAAAGAGGAAAGCATAAAAAGTCCTTTCGCCATTAGTTTCGAAAATCAAAAGCGGAAAGGAGTTTGAAGAAATAAACGATTATCTATACACCTCCTCCTCCTCTACGTCCGCCATTTTAGAAAACAACCCCTGTGGAAACCCACGTGGAGGTTTTAATAAGTGCCAATCATATACCACGTGAACAGTTTGATGGGAAACTACAGCAAGTCTAAACCAATATGGCGGTCGTTATGGACCTGCGGGAACTCGCTTCATTACTCGTCAAATTTCACGACATGTGCCTAATCCCGCAGTTCCTAAAGCTGGAGCTAAAGCACTTCATGTGATTTTAATCTTGAGATAACTCATTTGAGAAAATGTGTTCTATTTCTGTGATAAAGTTTCCTCGAACTTTCGTTAGTTAGACATAAACACAGCACACGGTCACCAACCGGTTCTTTAAAATTTTGCCGTGCAATATTCAAGTGATTCCTGAAAATGCTTAAGATTCTCTCCAGGTACCTTGTATCACTAAGAAAACATTTAAATGTTACAAAAGCGTAATATTTTCACAAATTGGCACCAGTCTACTATTATCATTCAGAGGGAGATATCAAGGATTTAAACACTGATAACGCGAGCGATGTTTGCGTAGAACCCTCTTCGAAAATCATTGAAGTATGGATCTTCGAAGGGAGCTTTCAAAATTAATTATTTGGGACTAAACTGGCTCCCGTTTGTCTCGCTGATCAGGATAAATATTTTAAAATTAGTATGAGTACGAAGAAATATTAAGCCGAGACGTGTAATACTGAAAAGCTTTTATTATAGTTATACTTTGCGTGCGTCCAAGCACAGACCTGAAACCTTATCTCAAACTAAACAGCAAAATGTTTTTGTTTCGGCAAAAGTGAATTTCCAAATCCTTCAAAAAGCATTGCTGAATGAAAAGAATGAAAACTGCCGGCTTAAAAACTACATCAATAAATTTTCGTTTTAATATTGTAATGCATAATGAATATAAACATTATCGGAACCCTTTTAGAACAGCAGGTTGAAGTTGCTTCCACGTGCATCAGCCAATACAGCGTTAAGTAGAGAACGTCATTAGTCAAGTTCAAACTTAAATTTTCTCTTTTCGAGTTGTAAACAACTCACGCAAGATAGGGAATAGGCTATGTCATGTAAGCGACATGTCTTTGTCTCCTTTTCGCCCGATCATGTGTGGGTTTTAACCGATGTTCATTATTTAAATAATTAAAAAGTACTGGCTGTTAACCAGTATAAGTGAATATTGGAAGCCGGATATATGTGCTAGCTGGGTTCAATTGTATGTTTAGAAGTGTTAACACTGTACTTTGATAAGGTCAGTTCGGATATTTTTGACGTCAAGAACACGTGATGCTTGCGTGTGTCAGCCCGCGGTTAAGAGTTACGTAATGTGCGAGCAATCGCTGAAATCTTAATCAAACTTATTTGTTTTCTATGAAAACATTTCTTTGCAATTCAAAACTTTCCACTGAAGTCAAACACGCGTTTTTCTCAGTTTAAACTCACGATTAATTAATGAGATATTGAAATTCACCGGTTAAAGAGGCAAAAGTCAGTCATGCATAACTAAAATAGACTTTTTAAATTTAGAAGTAGATCGCTTCAGAGTTCTGAACTTGTTTGATTTTGCAAAGAATGTTTCTGTATCTGTTCCGTTCATTCATCTAGCAATTGTTTCCACCGAATTTGTTTCGAATTTGTTAAGTTCTAGTTTAAAAAAGATTTTGAACACGATGGATTTAGCGAGCTTCGTCAGCGGCGAACGGCGTGTCCTGAAAATGTGATTACTTAGGCAACGAGGCACATCGCGTAGCACGCAAAGTTTCCGAAAGAATTGAAGAAGTCGTTGAAACTTCATTGTTGAACATGCTGAGCTAATCGTTCTCGATTGCGAATAAGACACCGCCATTGGGTTAATTCAACACGAAGTCAATCAAGGTCATACTTTACCAAGTTTTCTTTCTCCTCGGCGCTTCCTTTCGCTGCTTTACTCATTTTCTCTGTTGCCCAGCTGTGGCTGAAGCCGTTGAAACCAGTTTTAAAACGGGTACTAAACGGCTTTCAGATCTCAAACCGCCAGGGTAGGACTTAAACAAACTAAAAACTTCGGCCTTGGTGGTCGTAAAAGTTAGCCGGCTCGCAGCACGAGATACTGAGTAGCGAGCACGCTTGGTAGACGCAACTATACAACACAGTCACCCGGTCTTACAAAATTGCCGGCTCACTGAATACAGTATTGGTAAATTGGTAAAAAGACCAATGACAGAGCAGCTAAATTCGATATTGCCTGTTTGGTGTTCTCGACTTTGTATTTTTACCCAATATACGTCAAACAATCAATATTTTCCTTTTTCTTACAATACTTGGCGTAATTGTTAACTACAGGAATTCAACTTGAACTAAACACAATAAAGATTTATAGTAATATTGGTCTTTGAATATATTTTTGTTACAGTTTGTCCCAGTTAAAAACTTCACCCGTTTTTCTCTTTTGTTTTATTTCAAATGTTTCAAAATTTTCCATCGAAAACGACATTCAGGGGTTACTAACGCGATTCAGCTTCGTTTAATTCAACCGTTTAACTCCAAGTCACAACATTCCTCAAATGCACCAGTGAGACCTATTTTAATACACTACAAAACAGTGAACCATGACGAACTATGAAGATACCAAAGGCTGGCTTCTTTTCAAGCTTCTGTAAACATTAATTTTTAGCTTTTAAATGAACTTCACAGCCCTAAAAGAATTCAATTTTTGGTCATTGATAACGAATGGTATATAAACAGAGCGAAAATTTTAACAGTCATAGTAGAGTCAGTGATTTAATTCAAAAGCCCTGAATGGAACAAATATTCATAAATATTCATACAACTCCAGCTTTAGGCTAAGTGAGATTACGCACTTTGAAACTGACCTGAGGCAATTTTGATACTGCTATTTAAAATGACAAGGACAGGCAAAACTCAATCAAAGAATCGCAAAAAGAATCTATGAAACGTGTTTACAGAACAACTGCTTCCCACACGAGCAATTTTCATCTTGTATCCAGCGAGTACGAAGAGACGCCGAATTCACAATGACTGTAATCGCAACTATGCAAATCGACTGTTTTGAACTTTAAACTATAATTAAGTTATAAAACACAAGTCTCCGGGGTCAATGTTCCAATCCTAATGTGTCATAGTCAATAATAAGAATATAGATTAAGACATCGGGGATCAAACTGCGCGGAGATCTCATTGGTTATTTTATTTTTTAGATTCAAAGGAGCAATACGTTTATACATAACAGGCAATCAAATTTGACCGAGTTTCAATATTCACGAGATCGCGTGCAGTCACGCAAAATTTTTACTCACTCCTCATTGGTTTTAGTTCTCACTTTTTCAATATTCCATTGTCTTTAATTTACAGAGAGAGTTAAAATACTACTTATCCTTTGCTTCTGAAGAGCCAATTTGATATTCGGCTCAACTAAATCGACTGCTTAACCCCGAACCAATGTTGACTATATTTGCAGGCGATAAATCAAGCAGAAACTTGTTGAACAAAACATGTGCTTACCGATTCCGGCGTTCCATCCACATCATAGTTCTCCTGAACGTAAAGTCCGCCCAGCAATTCCTTGTTTTCAGCCATGGATTCCCGCTGAGAGGAAAATAATTGGATTAGAGCAGATCAAATTGTAGTAAAATGGCGGATGTCAAACTTGGCAGATGAATGACAGAAAGTTCGACTTGCGTAATTCATGCAAACGCGGGAAATGCTTTAATCATTTGATGACTGGAAAAACTAAATAAAAAAAACAACTTTATCTTACTATGTTTAACTCAAGGAGCATAGTTCACTGTGTTAAGACGATTAGGGGAAATACAATTGATTACCGCGTGATTTAGTTGTGCACTAATTAATGAGGCCGGCCGGTCAACGTGAATTTAGCTGTGAGAAAGTTGCAAGTGACGCGCGAAAGAATATCTGCGAGATCGTTGCATGCCTACTCGTAATTATAAGCTATGCCAGCTAAAGTACACGAAGCTTAAAAGGAAGAGAATTGAAACAAAAAATCACAGGAGAGGAAAGGCTTTCCCTTTCACTTATTATTTTACTGTGAGGTCAGTTAAGAGAAAGTTATCTTGAAAGACTTTTCACGTTTTAGCATTTTTCCCCTTCTTGCTCAACTAAGCTTCCTTCGCTAATTGTTAATTCCATAAAATAAAATGTTTAACCACAATCATTCGCATCGAAATTCCATACTATTTTCATAAGAAATAGCGCTAAGCATAGAACGTAAAAATATGCTCTAAATTTAACGCTCTCGTACGTACGAACTCGAAGAAAACCTTTATTGAGAACTCTCAAAAACATTATATTTTCCGCACAATGATCTTATACCACTTAAACCTCGTCACTGAACGGACCAAAGTCAATTATATAGATCAACTCATTTCCGCCAAAAGGTCTGCAAATACGTCACCATGAATTAAAATGTTTATATATATATATATAGGATACTCGAATGCTTTGTATAGCTTCTCGACGACATTTTAAACCACAATTGAGAAGCAAAAGGAGTCCGTATACAGCAGGAATGTGTCACCAAATGGTAGTAATTTTAGGGATCGATAACAGTTTGATTAGAAATTCGCGTAACTGCACAGTTCTAAACTTGCCAAAGTTGCAAGCTAGGTGAAGCTTTCGTCAAATTTTGGCCAACTGTGCGGGTTGCGTGTTTTAACCTATATATTCAACGAGTCTTTAAAAGAATTTGGTTCAAATATAACATAATACCTCCGTCATTTTCCAGATCTTGAAATATAGGTCTAGTAAATGAAGAAAACTCCAGATTGAATATAACAGAACTCATACTGGCGTACGACTGCAAGGTGTCACGTGACATACTTATCTTTTTGGCTGTTGCGGCTGGCATGTCGTCAATTATCCGTCACGTTATGTATTGTGCTTTGCCATAAAAATTGTAATGTGTCTAATACCCAAAATGTTTTCAAAGCTTTGCGACTGAAAGAGTAAAGTTTATGTCCAAGAGGCAACCTTAACGAATGTTGTCAAAATTGAGGCTTCCAGAAGCAAAATGAATGCGTGAAGATTCAGCCTTATTCACAGAAACTAACAGCTGAATATCAAGGGCACATTGAAAATATTGAAAACGCATTAAGACTAAGATGAAAGAGCACGGAAACATTTTTGGTCGTAATCGAGAAGAACGGGAAAAAAGAGTGATGCTTTGAATGAGACAAAGTTTGAGTTTTTTATTATTTTCGTTTGTGTAAAATTTAGTAATTCGAGTCTCAGGAGCGCGCGCAGCATGTGACTGGAGCGACCGCAGTCCAAAGTCCCAGGAACTTTTTCTAAGACCTCAACATGTGACTAAATGTATTTTAAAATCACTACATGAACTTCAGACTGTCCCGCCTAAAAACGTCTTGGACCTATAGCGCACAAAATCAAGCTGAGAGCTGTCGTGTGTTTATCATGTTCCATCTATTCCGAGTTACGAAATTTAATGGAGATAGCGGCTATTTTTGACAGTGCATTGACGCAAGCTCGAGCCGGTGACTCAAAATAAAACAAAGCAATTACAGCAACAACGTCCTGCCCTTCCTATAACAAGCGTCTAAAAACTCTTTACCGGCCACCAGCAGCCTGTAATACAAGCTTTCCCTTGAGTCTTAAATAGCCTTTTTGACGACACAAAATTGGGAATGGAGATCCTTTGAGCGCAAAGTTTGACGCGAGCGACAACTAAGTTAAAATCCTTGTTGCGAGCCCCGTGTCCTTACGTTGTGATAACGGCACGTGTTTCCTTTTTAAACACTACACTCGTTCCCAAGCTCTTCTCTTAAGAAGAGGTGTTTTACCTCGGCTTAAGGGTTTCTCCATTGTTTATCGCCTGGGAGGAGCGGAGGGGGGATCATCACATGGTTTTCAGAGGGACGGAAGGGGAGGAGTCGTCGCTGACAGGGTATAAAGACGGGACTTAAAAATATTAACTGCCAATTAACTGTTAGTTGGAGGGGTTCAAAAAATCCTCTAAGTGCCCCCCTCCCCCACTGCCTCAACCACAACCCCTCCCTCCAGGCTAAACAAGGGCCGGTTCCTTAGGGCTTTTTTAGCCACAAAACCCAGCGGTTATTAGAAGTCAGCGGTAATTTGCTCTGAACATATGGCTAGGTATTGTCGCTGTTGTCACGTTTACCGTTATTCTTGGATTGATTTAATTGCTTTCTCCTTTGAACATAAAATGATCACATTGAAGAGTGGTTGTGGAGCAGTTAACTTAAGTCTGACAGTGGTAGGTCGCCATTGCCACCGAGCCGACAAGATTACCTCGCTGTAGAAATCTTTCCACACCGACTGTTTCAGTTGCGGTAGAAAGATGTTCGTTATAAAGACGAAAAACGCCCTCGCGAATTTCATAAAATAAAACCAAGCTTTAAGCAGAAAACCTTCACAGAGCAATAAAAACTGAAAGTGATATCAGGATTTACGTGTTAGTTAGACACACGGAAGCTCGCTTTTCTTGTCCACGAAATTAAACAAATTCCGACCACAATTTCAATAAGTATTGAAGATGTAGGCCATAGGGTCTATGTCACGGCTGTGGCAGCCTGAGTATTTCTAATCCTCCCAGCAACTAAGTGAATACGAAATTGCGTGAGCTCCCGGTTTCTGCCACAGTTATGAAAAATTTAAACGATAAAATGCAAAATCTAGGATTATTACTACGTTATAAATTTCTGAGGTTTCTCGTCCGATAAATTTGGAAATTTAAATAAATTCTGACCACGAATTCAATAAGTAATGCAGATGGAGACCATGTTGGTTTGCGTCACTGTGGTAAACCTGGTGGTGTTGCAAGTGCTCTCGACATCTGAGTGAGTACTTCGAAATTATATGAGCCATAGATTGCTACTGTAAGTTATGGAAAATTAATACAAACCATAGATATCTAAGATCTAAGATTGCTATTATTTTAAAAACTTCTGAGGTTTCTTGTACGATCAAATTGGATATAGATTTGTAATCTGCTTAAGAACTAAGTCGTTCTCAAATCGACAACATTTTAAAGGAGATAATTTGGAATATATGAATAACTTTTGTAATTCAAACACGAGGTTGTATGTCAACTGATATAAACAGATGATTATTGTCGTGAATTTAAGAGCGAAGGGAAATTCTTTTTCATCCTGATGTATTTGAATACGACGTTTGAATCTCTGCATTGCTGGTTTTTATCTTTGTTTAAAATTTTCCCTTCCGCGATATCCTTTCCTAGATCTACACCCGCTTCCGGACAAACTTAAAACCGCAAATGAACTGAATAATATATCTATTTTCGACTCTTTCCTGAAAGTCTTCACACAAACTATCGAGCGCTGATGAAATGAAGCCTTCAATTATCAAATTCATGCAAAAATCAAGCGCTTCGTACGAAGACTTCAAGAAATTAACTACAACTAACATGGTTCTTCGATCAGTTGAAAAGGATTCGATCACTTTCAAAATAAGTACATCATACAATTAACTAAAACATTAAAAAGGGAACGAACCTATATACTTCTTACACCACAGACACAAGTGCTTTCAATGGCTCTAGCTCCTGTCGCTAAAACTCCCGTTTCATGGCGAAACCAGCCGCTAAATTAGGTCCTGACGCCTCTTCCTCAAAGTAAGCGCCTGCTAAGTCCCCCAAGCGACTATAAACGCACCGAAGGATATTTTTGTAATGACATCATTCTAAAGAACCAGTAAGAATCGACTTCATTGTAAAATATATTTTCGCACCTGGTGGCTTGCAGCATGATGTAGCACCTGCTAATTTAACCGGTCCCACCCCTCCCCTGTACATTTTTAATGCTATTGTCAGGAGCACATTACTTAGGCTCGTGGTATTGTAGATTCCACTGTCTGTCTTATCATGTTACCGCGTCAGGATGGTCACTAGGTAAGATCTCTCTAGCTCCTGTCGCTAAAACTCTCGTTTCATGGCGAAACCAGTCGCTAAATTAGGTCCTGACACCTCTTCCCTAAAGTAAGCGCCTGCTACGTCTCCCAAGCGACCTTTAGTCGCACCGAAGGACATTTTCATTCTAAAGAACCAGTAAGAATCGACTTCATTGTAAAATATATTTTCGCACCTGGTGGCTTGCAGCATGATGTAGCACGTGCTAATTTAACCGGTCCCACCCCTCCCCTGTACATTTTGATGCTATTGTCCGGAGCACATTACTTGGGCTCGTGGTATTGTAGATTCCACTGTCTGTCTTATCAGGATGGGCACTAGGTAAGATCTCTCTAGCTCCTGTCGCTAAAACTCTCGTTTCATGGCGAAACCAGTCGCTAAATTAGGTCCTGACACCTCTTCCCTAAAGTAAGAGCCTGCTAAGTCTCCCAAGCGACCTTTAGTCGCACCGAAGGACATTTTCATTCTAAGGAACCAGTAAGAATCGACTTCATTGTAAAATATATTTTCGCACCTGGTGGCTTGCAGCATGATGTAGCACCTGCTAATTTAACCTGTCCCACCCCTCCCCTGTACATTTTAATGCTATTGTCAGGAGCACATTACTTGGGCTCGTGGTATTGTAGATTCCACTGTCTGTCTTATCATGTTACCGCGTCAGGATGGGCACTAGGTAAGATCTCTCTAGCTCCTGTCGCTAAAACTCTCGTTTCATGGCGAAACCAGCCGCTAAATTAGGTTCTGACACCTCTTCCTTAAAGTAAGCGCCTGCTAAGTCTCCCAAGCGACTGTAGTCGCACCGAAGGACGTTTTCATTCTTAAGAACCAGTAAGAATCGACTTCAATGTAAAATATATTTTTGCTCCTGGTGGCTTGCAGCATGATGTAGCACCTGCTAATTTAACCGGTGTCACCCCTCCCCTGTACATTTTAATGCTATTGTCAGGAGCACATTACTTGGGCTCATAATATTGTAGATTCCACTGTCTGTCTTATCAGGATGGGCACGAGGTAAGATCTCTCTTTCGTATCGTCGAATGTTTTATTCAGACTTAAATAAAAGAGTTAAATTTTGTGAAAAATACCTATCCTAAAAAACACATTTTTTTATGTGAACGAAATTTCAAACCCAGAGGAACGAAATCAGCCAAAATAATATTAGTGATAAAAAGTGATTTATTGCAGAAGTATTAAGGTATTTACAAGCAGAATATTAGTACTGTCTTCTGATTCTATTCTTTTCACTACACTAAGAAATACTTTCACTGTCTCTCTTTAAAATAAATTCTCAGACACTCGCATACTCTCTCCCCCTCCCCAGAGTTATGTTTGACCCAATGCGCGTCACTCTTTCCTGTTTGAAATTCACCGGGGAGTTTAATGAATCTTATTCGGTTATTTAACAAACAAGCTTCCTTTATGATTTATCTGTTCTCTTGCTGGTTCTTATTTAAATTATCACATCTCATTTAACAACCAGTGCAAAAGGTATTAATATATTAATTGACGTGTTTTCTAGAGGTGCAAATATTTTGTAGAATCACACACGCGTATATGAATAACACAACAGAAATTTCACCTAAGAACCTGAATCCAGTATTCTATTCTTTTCTTTTCCATATAAATCAAAGTGAAATAGAAGCAAATATCTGTTACAATCCTGTCTTAAAAGGAACATTCAGGTACGCAAATGAAAGAATAAAAGATGTTGAAGATTCAAACGATTCAAAATTTTACTTCAACCGGACCACATTTTAAAATGGCAAACGGGACAAAGGAAAATTTCTATTAAAATCTCAGTTCCAAAATTCCATTTCCAGAATCGAAAGTAATTTAATTTTGCTTTTAAATAAAATGCCCTATAAAAAAATCTCCACATATCTCTTAAGAGTTCTTTGTCCTTTTCAGATTATCTGTTGCCACAGTTACGTAACAGTTTCTTTAGTGAGAAATATGGCGGACTTGCTGCCTAATGACCATGCACTGATCACGGTCAATAAAAAGGCTGTTGGTCTTCACTTCAATATCATCTTCCAGGCGCTCCTTGTTCCTCAGCAAAGCCATGAGGGAGGCCTCGGCTTCAGCCAAACGCATGCGCAGACGGTCTATTGAGACGTTGATCTCGCCAACCTCTCCAACCAGTCGGTACTGTACAGGATCTCTGCAAAGCTCGACATTGGGTCTCAAAGAACGCTTGTCTAAGCGAGTATGGGCAACTTTAAGTGGGTTCTCTTTGTCTGCAATGGCTTGCCTGAGATCACGGACGTTGTTCTCCATAGACGCTATTTCATCCATAACCTATGATAGAGCAATTCAGGTTTAGCTCTAAAAAAAATGAAATTTAAATTCACAGCCACCTTACTCCGTCTCCACTTTGAACTGTTTGACATTTCTGATCCTCGCAGACACAGAGAGGTTGAGGTTGGAAGTTTCACATGGACTGAGATTTTCTTGGTCCCGCAATCGTGAAAAGTGGTCAATATTGTTTAACGTTCAAAATAAAAGCTTTTATATGTTTTAAATTGCGCCTGAGTCTCACTGGCACCTTGTCATATTTTCCTGGGTTCTGATTGGACACTTTGATTACCCTGCGTTTATTTTTTTACGACACTTAACCACAATGCAGTGTAAAGTATAGGAAACACTAACCCTGGCCAATTCTTTCTCGAGCGATCTCTTAGCAGTCACCGTCTCCTCAATACGCTTGCTGAATTCATTGTTAACAGTCTCAAAGATGTTCCTCAGGTCGACATAAGTCTGCATCAAGATTCCATTAATCTCTGATCGCAGAGCCACCGATGCCTTGCGTTCTCGTTCTGCTTTGGCAATATTCTCTGAAGAGTAGGCCTCCCATTCATCTGGAGTGAAAGAACTGGAAGAATACCACAAGAACAAATAAGCGTGGGTTATTTGACAAAAAAAAATTTCAACTAGGGAGGATTTTAACATGATGATCCTTGCAGTAATCAGGACATTAGTTGCATGCAAACTGGTTTGGGCTTCGCTAGCTAAGAAGAACTCTATAGCTCTGTAGTATGGTCTGAAACAACGAAGTCGGAGGGTCTTTGGCTCGAATCCCCAGGGAGAGACTCAGAGTTTTTATTTGTTTAAGTTTCGAGGTATCAAATATCACATAATTGATTGAAGCCGTCAAATTTTAAGACTGTCAGTATATGATTATACATTCTCCCACTCGCTGCTATACCCTCCTAAATAAGTAAAGAGAATTTTGGTGTTTCATCCCAAGTAAAATCTTCTTCTTCTTGTTGTCGTTCAGCTAAATGTTCCTCTAAATTTCAAGGAAAAGTTACATACTTTACAGTTACATACAGTTTAAGGATCGATTGAAATTTTTAATGTCATTTTAGAAGTGGACTTTTGAAAGAGAGAGGTCAAGAATGGCTTGCTTCCCAATTTTCGTTCTGAAAATCTAACCGTGTGTCATAAGAAAAGTTTACTCTTATTCGTCTGCTTATCTCGTTCCTGATATAGCAGAAAATTTGAATTTGCGACCTAAAGGACAAAGGAACCAGTTCATTAGGCAAACTGTGGCAAAGGGAAGTTCTTCGGGTATGTCACGCAGTCTCTGACTGCGTTGCGTGACTATTGCTCATCAAGTTCACAACACTAGCAATTATGCATGTTCAAAGGGGGTACGTTTCTAGAGAATCTGTGGTGCTGCGTCGGTGGGGGAGTATAGCAAGGTGATTTGGTTTTATCAACTGAGTTGATAATGTAAATTGGCCACCGTTAAGAGTTTCAAAGCTGACGTTTCACGCCTTAGCCCTTAGTCAGAGCGAAGGGCTGAGGCTCGAAACGCCAGCTTTGGAACTCTTTATGGTGGTCAATTTACGTTATAAACCCAGTTGATAAAATCAAATCAAATGATTCATGTTCACTTACTGTTGTTGGATCGTGACCGAGTGGGGCGCAAAATGGATGTCCTTAGAGAAGTTTGTTAGCGTGGAGCATTTCCCGTCAATCCCAAGGGAACCGTACTTGTCGCCAAGATCTTTTTCCAGCAGAGTCTTAGCAGAGCGAAGCAACCTTAGAGAAATAGAATGTGTTGCTGATTGAGCATATCAAGATATATGAACGCTTAACTATTGGCTTAACAACTATTGCGAATTATGGTGATTATAACATCACCCATGAATCAAACATCAAGTAAATGACAATAAAGAAAATGATCACCAACTTAAAAAGCTTTGATTGTAAAACAAATTCTCTTTGTCAGTACCTTCGGAAATATATAGAGAACAGTATGGAGAATATGCATATACTGCTGTTAGGATGTGAGCAACCATTTTCAGACCTTTTCATGAACGATTTTTCTTCAGCTGGCGAAAGGTTGTTAAACAAAAATTTGCGCTCAACGAGATTAAGTTACACTCCGAATGCAGAAATAACGCGCATGGTCAAAAATATGGCTGCAATTCCAGCAACGATGTACATCCAAATTGGCAACGGACCAGTCGAAATTGTAATAGTTGCAAACGTGATCTGAGGGATATCTTAATCTATCAACACAAATTTAGGCTGGATCGTGTGTGACAATATTTTACGCAATAGCTGTCATATTTGTGGGATGACCTCAGTGTCAATGCCAAGTGTAGTGGAATTAGGGCAGACTCAAGAATTCTAAACTCACAACTTACCACAGCTGTTCGTGGGCTTGATCCATTGTTTTCTTAAGCAAAGCCCGCACGTTTTCAATCATCTCCACTTCCTAGATAAAAGAAAAATAAATAAAACGTAGTTAAGTTTTTTTTCGACTCCATACAAAGCATTGTAAGAATCAACCAAACGAAAAGTTTTAGCATCGAAATTAGAGCGTTGGATCGGTATATTATTTCAAAAAGACTTGAGAAACCGTGCAAAACTATAACGACATTGTTTCTTATAATGAGTACATTTACAGACCCTTAGTGTATTAAACTACAGGCGAAGTAGAGCTGGTTGCCATAGTGACCAATTCGTTGACCATGTTATAACAGGTTAAAGTTTATCACTGCTATCACGATAAATACAATCTCTGCGATCGAATAACACTTGAAAAATAGACAGGAGATGTTTACACTCTAGTACTTTAAAAGTTCTCAAATCGCATAAGTATCACGGTTCCCTGCTTATTCAACTCTCGCTCAGTCTGATTAAATTAAACTTCCCTCGTTGTACAAACAATAGGGAAGCGTTACTGACGCTTACTGAGCCGTTTACTTTTGACTATATGAACAACTACGAGGAAAAGATCGACCGGGAAATATCTTAGATCATCGTAGAAAAAATATTTTGTTTGAAATTGAAAACCCAGTGAATGCTTCCTTCGAAACTTACTACTCCAAACCACCGAAACAGAAAACAAAACATCTTGATATAAACAGAAGGCCGGTATTGTCGTGTATTCAAAGAATTATCATATTGGACACGAAGGCCATTATCTATTATCACAGAAATATCGCTTATTCATAGATCCTAAAGGTGTTTTTAGGCTGCGTAACCGAGGTCAGACGATAAATATATTGTCGCCCTAAACCACGAACGATTTCTCGCGCGACTAGTAATCATCACTCCTAATCTCAAAGCCATAGGTAACATTTTTAAAAGTTCTTAAAACATATGAAATAGCGCATTGAAACAAAGCCCACAACTTCTTTATCTCAACTATCCCCTTGAAAATCATTAGCAAAATTAAGAAGAATAAACAATAACTCGGTCTAAATGGATACAATTAAACATAATTTCTCGATGCTGGCTCCAGGGTAATTGAAAACAAAGTAATTTCCGTACCTTGCTGATATGCGTTTCCACATTATCATGAACAAGATCGATCTTGACTCTCCTCTCTCTGTAATCCAGACATTGCTTTGCGACATTCAAAGGCTTTTCTGTTGCTGCTAAGGCCTTCTCCAAGCGACCGATAAACGCCTGAAGGGCCTTGATCTCGGCGACCGTTTCGGCGTGTTGTTTCTCGAGTTCGTTCTTCCAGTAAGTTATATCATGGATGCGATGCTCTAGCTTCTTGTTGACATCTGTCTGCGTGCGGTGTGTGAGAAGGGCTGTCTCTGTTCGAAGCCGCGCGCAGTCATCTCGAAGCCTCTCCGCGGTCGCTCGTTCCTTCTCGCCTGAGGAAACATTAAGAACGTTCGAGGTTCGCCATTGCTGTGGAGTGTATTTATGTATAGCGCGCTGTGTGACGGCTGTGTACGGTAAATGTTCTAATCCAGTGGAAGATCCGTTCAATATCTTGGAAGGAAATTCAAAAGACCTCGATAAAGGTCTAAGAGAGTAGTGAGGTGATGTGTACGGCCGGCCAGTTTGAAACGATGCTGTGTATGTTGTCTCATACGGTCCGCCTGGTGGTCTCAGATATGGAGGAGGATCGAAGGTCGATGAAGAAAGAAACTTCGCTGTTTCTACAAAAGACTGCGTCATCTCGCGTATCCTGTCTTCTGATTAACTCCTCTGCGAAAATAACGGGAAGATTACTCGAATTTTCTTGACGATGAGTACTTTACAACTCCTTAAAAGTTGCTTTAATGGAGTGTAAAACTATGTCTGTTTAGTGTAACCAAAAACTGCTATATATCCGGTGGCGTCGATGGTTGCTATGTTACCGTGCGGCCCCACCACTCGAACGCTTATTGGTGTAAAAGACAATAAGCTGTCGAAATACCGGTTTGTGATTGGCTTTCGTAAATCCAACCGTGTTGAAAACTCACTTCCGGTAGTCTGATAAGCCACGTGCTTGTCTGTTTTGTAGAGACAGAAAAATCTTTTAGCAGAAATATAAAATATTACACCGTGAGAGTAAAGTGAACCTTTAGAAATGTTCATAGAACTTATGATATTTTTCCTCAGAGCACAGGAAAATCGTTCATAAATACTTAATAAACTTCGGTCCTCAATTAGTGTCTTTTGTTCGTGTGATTCCTTGCGAACTGCGAAACCTTTGCGCTAATAACTAATAATTCAGTCCCAGAGCTAATTTTAGGTAAATTAATATAAAAGTTCTTACAAACTGCAATACGAATTGCAAAAAAGTTATTTTTCATCGACAGCTTTTATATCATTCCTGCACTCAACTGCAGTAAAAGTATTCTATATGCGAAGTTCTTAATTTATCTTTTCGCCTGTTTTCTTGGCAGGTGTTATGAAATTTCCATCTCCTTTGCTAGAATTTGAAACTGTCTATCAAACGCTATCAATTTAGGGGCAAGATATCACGGTTGGAGTTTTGCAAGCCTATTGTAGACACTTGTTTTCTGACAATATCAGTTTTCGAGACAGTCGACATGTATACTGTAATCTATTGCACTTTGCATCACCTGTTCTACACTATTTTGACAATTACGTGTTATGCTAAGCGGATTACTAATGGAACTCTATAAGACCGCAAGCAGGAAGGCAAAAAAAGGAATAATTTGTCCTTCAAGATTAAAAACATTTTTATATGGGGTTCATTGAAAAAGTTCCATTCACGAAAAACAATATGCACTCAAGACTATAAAAACCTCGATGTAAGTCTATAGAACATCTTTATTTCTATCGTCCAAAGCATCTCCTTAGACCGAAAGTTAAATGCCAGAAATAGTATCTGAGATCCTACAACCAGAATGATTTAGTTTGAACAATGATGAAAGTAAGATATAACGAAACAGAAATTCAGAAAAATTCACGGAAAGTTAGTATTTAAAAGCTATGAACGCAAAACAAGTGAAAAGGAACAAAAAGACATATACGAAAACAAAAATGTAAAAGCGTCAGAAGAAAGTACCTATTTCCATGCGTTGCCAGGAACAACGGGCCCTAAGCATATCGCGCATAATAAACGAACGCGACCTGTTTCATTTTCGGAAGCCAATGAATGATAATGAAAGTGTGCTTACAATTCTAAGGCTTAATTGTTTCTCACATAAGGCATTGTGCTCCGGATTACTTTCGAGCCGCTTTCCCGCGCTTGTTATTGGTTCATTTGGTTAAAAGTTATCCTCTAAATCTCATGTTTTGTCCTGTTTGAAATGGCTTATTGACTTGGTTTTATTTCTTCATGAGTTCTTCATATCACCTAAATTGGATGATCTGTGAAATGTTTTCATAGGCATAGCAACGTCCTAATGTATTGCGCGCAAATTCATGCTATCGAGCGGTGCAGTCATGCAGTAAGAGAAAGTTTTGAAGTATTTGCGTAATGTAAGAATTCCGTTTGGATTCTGGCGTTTTCTTTAACCACACCGGCAACCGGCCTCCTAATGAGACGCAAATAGATCGTGTTACAGTTTGAGAGCTAAGTGATCGACGATTGTGAAGAGAAACTGTTTGTTAACTGCCACCAGTAGAAAATTTATATGGCATATGCCCCATTCACACCAAAGCTTAAACATGTTTAAAAGTTGTTTTGTTAAACACAGTTTAATTTTTTTTTTCTTCATAGAAACTATTTAACCAAATATTTTTGACTTGAATGTAGCACATTGGAAATGCAAGTTAGCAAGTACTTGAATCCAATGGAAAATCAAGTTTTTCAGTTCTCTGTTTATAATTTTCATTCAATGAAAACCAGTTTAACAAAACATGTTTTGCTGGTGTGAATGGGGTAATAGACAGCGACTCAGTAGTCATTTACAGAATGCTTAGCAATATCTGCGCTACACATTTACAAAACTTAAAGTCAGCGTCACAAACTTCAAAATAACTGATCAACGCAAGAAAATAATTTTCTTTAAATAGACAAAAACAGAACGCTCAACCTTGAGACTTTCTATCGAAAGACGAACGAAAACATCCCGCTTAATTTTTAACGAGTTCATTAAAAGTTAACCATAATTCATTTTCGTCACTTTGTTATCCTTGTAAACATTAGCGGTATCAATCACACAACCGTTGTTATCATTTGAACGATTATTAAGGAAAGACTAAAATCCAAAAACAATCTTATAGCTGGAGCTATTTTAAACACTTTGCTGGTTATCATAGTCACACTGCCCTGATCATTTTTGACGAAAATCTAACGATGACTATTTCAAGAAGAACGCGCACGTTAGTTTTACATTTGCAAAACTTTCGCATAAAGTAAACTTTTAGATCAAATAAATATTTGATTAAGAGACAAGACAAACTTGAGACAACGCTTTCCGTGTACCCTTTAATGTACAGAAAATATCCAAAAAAGTATACAGGTATTGAAGAAATTCCTTTGGTTCTGATTTCATTTTTCTTTTTTGCTTAGGGTATGCAAATTATCGTCATCACCAAGTACTGTAACCTCGCCGCTCGCCGATTCGTGGAAGTACTATTGTTGCCTAGCAACTCTATTTGTCAAGTCTAGGTTGGAAGAAATTTCTAGGTACGTTTGATAAATTTGATGTCAGTCAAAATATTTTTTTTAGATATAGGTTTCAGTGAACGTCTCTCAGACGTTCACTGAAAGTCTTTCCATGATTGTAAAAATCTCTCCATGATTGTATGGATGTTAAACTTTTCCCTAAATGGTAAAAGCTATGTTATCACGCGAACGTAGCTTATGCTATTTATGGAAATTTTGTAAGTGTCCCATTTTAATTCAAATGCATGTGACAGATCATTCGCGAGCATTTGCAGTGAAAAACTGAGGCTGGAAGATTGGAAACAAGAAAGCAAGGAAACTGAGATGGCGCGAGTATGGGTATTTTGAACCGTTTTACATCTAGTACGCAATTTGACGCTTCAATTCACCGGTGACCTTAACAGCCAGGACGGCAGATGGAAACTTAAAAAATTTGTCCTCGGTATCTGTTCTCTGGGTCTCTTCATATGTGCCCGGTTTCCGAGATCTCGACACATCCCTGCTCCTTAAGAGGTGTTCAAATGAGCGGGTGATCTGGCTCGGTTCACCAGATCTCGATTGGGAACCGGGCCGAACAATTTTCCCATATGAACACTTAGGCTCGCGCTCGGTTCCCCGGGGAGAATATTTTTCCAACTACGTATGTCACCGATTAAGCCGTTGGCGGAGTACGGCTTCAGACAGCGTGGCAAATGAGCATATTTTTTCGTCCTCGAAATCGAAAAGATTCCTTTGGCATGACCTTTGAATGACTATAAATCTAAAATGGAATACAGAAACTTCAGTTTTTGACGCGGACAAACGAATCTGACATCAGGAATTGCGAGTGGAAATGACGAAGCTTTATGCAGACGATGTGTTCATTTTTGTTTTGTTTCTCAAATGTCGCGTAAAAACTAGTTTCCAGGATCTTAGCGCCTTTTCTCGTTTTAGTCAGCAGGCTGAAATTTCTCCCATGAACCCCTAAAAATTTCGTCTCGGTAAACGAGCCAGTCGGTCAACCGGACTCATGTAAAGAGGGCCTCAGCCCACGCATATTTTGGCAATTTCACATTGTTGTTTTGCAGAGGAGGGCTGAAAAAGTCATAAGTTTTAAAACGCACGTGCAGAGTTATTCTTCCACCCCATAGATCCTTTGTTTTGCGTGTCTTTGTTGCCGTCGCCGTCGAGGTTGGCAAGTCCCTGCAAGTCCCTGCAACAGCTTGAGAAAACCGACTTAGAATTCGAAATCCTGAAGAAAATAAATTTCTTAAAATTCCAGGTGATGTAAGACAGTTATCAACAAAGTTTCTGTTTTAATTAATTGCATTTTGTTGCCGAGTCCTGATTTTTACGAATTTCAAACAATCTTTTGCTGACTTGCCACGCGCGCAGTGGATTGCTCATACTTCATCTTTGGTTAATTCTAAAACATTTTCGTTTTTAGCTGTGATAGTTACGTGTTTTTCCTACCTGCAAATATTATTAGAACAGTATGAATCCTCCCTCTTTACGAAGTTATTGACATGGAAAAATGGATTACAGCTCTCCATGAGGTCAAGTCAAGCTAATTATTATTATCACAATTATGACGTAATGTAGGTTTAAAATGTTTGTTCAAAGGTTTCTAATTGATAAAAGAAATTAAAGCAATTTTCGGTCGAGCGACGAAGTAAACCTGGGAACTGGGGATGAATTCTTCCGGGTTTTTGGTTGTTTTACCTCACTACAAATTTGTACAGCGATCAGGAGCAGCCGCTATTTTAGTGTAAAGAGAGGTTTAAGCAATCTCCTCAATGGGCAGAAGAGAACGGGAAAACTGTGTCAAAAGAATTGGGGTTTTATTTAACAGTTTGTCAGTTGCGTTAAAATTAGTCAGAGCATGGGAGAAGACGAAGTGATCGAGGGGACGAGATATGTAAATTGCAATGAATTTTAATAAAGTCATACAAACTTCAGTTTTCATTGGACGCGAGAACATGCTTGAATATTTGTCTACGGACTTCATCTTTCCCAGAAGTGAAAAGTGTCGGCTGAAAAGGAAGCTCAAGGAAAACTGTGAGCTTCAAGAAACAAGTAATCTTTCAAGTGAAATATTGTGATAAACCCCCCCCCCCCTTTCTATGGCTTTATCGGTTTCCAACAAGCGCCTTGATTGGCCAAAAACCTACTTGGGGTGTTGATAGAGCACGAGAAAAGTTTATAAATCAAGAGCCGGAAGCGAGTAATTTGTAGATTTTTCGTGTCCATTACACCACAAAACTGATAGAAAGTGACGTCTGTTCGAATGTAAGATAAACCTCAATTTTCTATTGGTTTAACGGTGCGATAAACAAGAGGTTTTTGACCAATCGGGGCACTTGTAATATCTCGGTAACTTCAAATTTATACTGCAAATTGTGAAATTTAGAACGATCGATATAAAAAAAATGACTTCTTAGACAAGCGCTAAAATATGTTTCTGTTTTCTAAAATTGAAATGGTCAGTTACCATGTTATTGTTTGCAAGAAATAAATTGGGTTTTAAATAAGCGCCGCCCTCGTATGAACGCCGCCTTCGAATAAACACCGCACTCGAATCACAAAAAAACACAAAACTGTCTATGGTCCGGACTAACAGTCATTGATGTCAAGTTATTTACAAAACATGATCATCTGTGTTATCTACGTGAACGATTTCTTCAGTTTTTAAAAGGCTGAATGACAACAAAACAGGTTCCTGATTTGTCGCTGATTCTTTAAAGGTCTTGGAAATAAAGGACTGAATTTTTGATACTGGAGGGGTATTTTCTTGTTTTGTTCGGTGAATGATTTCAAGAAGAGCCTTTCTTAGATTATGATTACGCCAATTGTGGGGTTAGAAAGCGAATTTAAGACCGCAGCACAAACTGTCCAACTTATCAACACCATTTTAGTACCCGACTCAAAAAAAATTTGTGAAAGCCTGAATCGAGGCAATGTTATTGCAGGCAAGTAGGTCAGCACTTAAGTTTCTAGAAGTAACTCCTTAGGAGCAGTGGTCATTTTAGAATGAAGGTTTGGTTGCTTCTATCCACATAGAGCTTAAAAAACTAAATTTCATACAGAGACGGCAATGGGTTTGTTTACGCCAAAAATCCCTCAAACCCCTTGTGCACACATAAATATTATCTAGCTTAAGCTATGGTATATTGAGACGCGCGACACATTTAAACCAGTCACCAGCGAGCGAAAATATTTGATGAATAACAAACATATGTAATCCTATGTTTTCCGAGAACTCCGCTTTAAGGCTAATTCACAGATGCTAACTGCGTAGAGTTAACATTGTAACACTGAAGGAAAAATCTTAGAAAGAGGATGGTGGTCGCTTTTAAGGCAAGAACTGGTTGTGATGTTGAAAACAAAACGGAATAGATAAATTCCAACCAAATAATTAACTCCTATTATCGAAAAGCTTTTTACATTGTTCTAAGATACGCCCTGTAAAGTTTCCGGCTACTGAAATACTGGCTTTGTGTAGAAGTAGCCCTGTGTTTTTTCATTGTGCTCTTTATACCCAGAGTCAGAAGTTTTCCCACCAAAAATTAGTCGCAGAATCAGTCATGAGTCAAACCGTCCGCCACAAACGCCACCCTCGAATAAACATCACATCATGATTCGACAAGCACTATAACGTGTTTCTATTTTTTTTTTATTTAAAATGGTCAGTTACCATACTATTGTTTTCAAGAAATAAATTAGATTTTAAATGAGCGCCGCCCTCGAACAAACGCTGCACTCGAATCACGAAAAATTCAATAAATACGGTAGGTAAATAGCGCCTTTTCGTCAGATTTCCCTGAAAATTTTCTGGTACCCCATTTATTATACCCCAGGATGGAGAGAGGAACTGTGAAAGTAGAGCGTCCTACCCAAGAACACAACATAAGTACCTGGCCAGGTCTTAAAAACAATATCTCTTGATCCGGAGTCCAGCCCACCAACCATTAATGAGATCCAAGTTAATATGTTATCTTAAAAATTTGGAATTCTCTTCTGGCCACCACGAGAAAGCTAGCAAGAAAACTTATTGTCCCATCCTCTGCCACATCAGTTTGTTTTGCTTGTGTCTAGATTAATCATATCACTGGAAATGGTATAGACAAAACTGTCTATGGCCTGGACCGACACTCATTGATGTCACGTTATTTACAAGACATGATCATCTGTTTCCCCTATGCGAACGATTTCTTCAGCTTTAAAATGGCTGCATGACAACAAAACTGCTTCCTGGTTTGGCGCTGATTCTTTAAAGGTCTTAGAAATAGAGGGCTGAATTTTTGATACTGAAGGGGTATTTTCTCGTTTTTCTCGGTGAATGACTTCAAGAAGAGCCTTTCTTAGATTTTGATTACGCCAACAGTAAATTATGGGGTTAAAAAGTGAGTTGAAGACCGCAGCACAATCAGTCCAGCTTATCAACGCCATTTTCGTACCCGACCCAAAAAAATTTGTGAAAGCCTGAATTGAGGCGACAGTTATCAAAGGCAAGTAGGTCAGTACTAAAGTTCCTAGAATTAAGGATAGTGTAACGGTTGCCTTGTTATTTACATCTTTCTTCAACTCTTTAGCTTCTTGAGGTGACAGCTGTCCTGCCTGTAGGCGTTTTTTCTGTCGCTGTGTTTCAAGGAAGATGGACAGATACATGAACGTTATGCCAATGATACAAAGTAACACGAATAAAGCAGTCACAACGATATTCACCGTCCAATATAACGCATATATGTTCGTTGTACTTTCTCTGGTGGCAATCACAATTTCCTGAATCGTTCCAAAAACTGTGATGACCCACGCAACAACCACAGCCTTTTTGATCCTCTGTCCTGTGACAATCTCTCGGTACCTTAAGGAAAACTTTACAGCAATATATCGGTCCCCGCTTATCAAAAATAGAAAAGTCAGCGTGGCAATGCTTTGTACCCAGAAAACTACAACATGAGCCTTTTCTAACTCACAAAATGGACCGATCTCAAAGGCTCGCTTCACGTTGACCGCTATGGCAATGGGTATAACAACCAATCCGGCCAGCAAATCTGTCCCCGCCAAACAAGCTAAGAGTTTGTTTGAGTTGGTTCGCAGTTGTCTCTTTGTGGCCACCGCCAAGATGACTAACCCGTTTAAAGAGACGGTTGGGATAAGCAGTATTGATAGAATACATATTAAAGCTATCAAACTTCTGTAAATGTCACCTGTGAGATACGACTCGCGCCAAACCATTCCTCCCAAGTAGGTACACTCTTCTCTATCTCGGTCAGTTGAGTTCGCCAGGAAAGGTAACTCCTTAGGAGCAGTGGCCATTCTAGAATGAAGGTTTGGTTGCTTCTATCCACATAGAGCTTCAAAAGGTTAATTTAAGACCGAGACGGCAATGGGTTTGTTTATGCCAAAAATCCCTCAAGCCTTTTCCCACGATTGGTTTATTAGAAGTGCACGGATAAACGAACGTTTAAACACCACCTTACTGGCGTCCTCTTTTGCTGTATTTGTCTTGGTCTTTATTTGCGTGGCTCAATGACTCATTTTGTGTAAAACTAAGCATCTGTTTCTCATTGTGTTGATTCCATCCAATATTTGGACTTTTCCAACAAGGAATTAGTTGAAAACTCGCTCAACAGAAAAGGGACGTTTCCAATTTAATAAAATAGACGTTGTTGTGGCGAATTTTATGTTTTTTCTTCTTTTTCTTTATATTTCTCATGCTTCTCGTACCAGTTATTAAATTACGGGTGTTCTTTTAGCTTTTCACTTCATTTTTTACCGTTTTTTTCGCACTTTATGTGCCGTCCACATGGCATGGAGGTTGTAATTTAGCAATTTGAAATCTGACCCTTTTTTAATTGAATGCCGTGCGCCGGTTTCAGATTTCAAAGCGTGGCTGTCCAAAGGAAATACGGAGCGACAACTCGCCCACTTTTACCGAGACAGAAAAGGAAATTAGACCAGTCTCTTTTAGAATGGGATCATGACGAGTTAACATAATTTGGGAGATGCTTATTCGAAATGTAAGCAAAACGATGAAGGCGATTCTTCGAGTCCCAAATGCGCTAACTAGTTTAAAAATCCTGCGCAGAGTGTTCGCTGAGGTTCTGACCACCGTTGCAGCCCTACCATCACTCCAAGCAGCGACGATCCAAATGACTGCGAATTTCTTACTCTGAACCCTTACTTGCTTCAACTACCGATCATCAGGACTGTTCGAACACGAAGGTCTTTACAGAAGGTAGCATTGGAGAAGAGCATAGTTTCTGGCCAATTGCTTTTGGAAAAGATAGCTCAACGAACTCATTTAAACTCTGAAAGAAGATTGCTAATGTATACGCCAGAAGGGCGAACTAAGGATTTAAATTTGGTCCCGGTCGTGGACAAGAATTCCCTTCGTGGAGGATGGCTCAGTCGCGTTGTTAAGGTCTCTCCTGGACAGGATCGCTGGGTCCACATTTATCTGGAGAAAGCTAAGAACTAACTATGTTGAACTGTTGTCGAGCTCTTGGACGCTTATTCAAGTTACTACAAAATAGTCTAACTCGATGTTTTACTGAATAAATTAGGCCATCCTGTATATTCCATGTTTCACGCTCTTATAGAAGTGTGTACCGGTTTTAATATTTGCTCCTGTTTAAACCCGTTCTGTGCGAGTGTATCGTGTTTGCTATTTTCTCTCAGTGTTTGGGAAGTGTCGTTTTTCTGTCTTTGTCTGTATTTATTCAGTCCCGTCCTATTTTTTTAGTATATTTTGTAAATGTTGCTTCTCTGATTTTTTTAAATTTAATTCTTCTTCACCAACAGATTAGAAACTCTTCTTGTCTTCACACATTGAAAAGGATAGTAAACCATCCACTGAGCTACAGTTTTTTCATTTTATTTTAGAGTTTTTATTAAAGCGGGCTTTTGCCTCTTTAGAAGTATTACATTATTTCGTTTTAACAGTAATGATGCCGCCATCACCAAAAAATGTGCATTTCAGAGAAATGACGGGATCTCCCACGCTCATGATAAGAAGAAAATCATCTTTCTCCAGTTACGTTGCTCAATTAGAAAGATGTTGCCATTTTCCAATTTCTAGTTCAATTTAATTTTCATAGCTTTTTTTTTTATAGTAATTCTTACTTTTGATTCTCCGTCTGATTCATGTTTAAGAATTATTCATAGATTACGTGGAGGTGAATAGTGATGGTCATTTTTTTCAACTGCACAAAGTAGAGTACAAATAACACGCGAATAGAGTACAAATATCTTGCGATATTTTACAGTTATTTGTACAGTTGGTTTTTCTGCATTGTAAAAAAGCGTATTTAACCAGTCGGCTGTGCGCTACGCTTTCTATCCGCTTTCCTTTTCCCGCCTTATGAGAAATGAGGAGAAAGATCTAACAGAAAAAGGAGTAGTTGGATGATAAATAACTTTTTTGACATTTTGATGTGTAGTATGACGAGTTGTGCCGTATTTTGAACGAAATCGTAGTCGATATTTGAATGTCTAACAATGAAACGGCGAAAAGAATCTAAGCATTAGGCGTAAAATTGACAAATTTAAACCAATAGTTGCAGACCCGTTGTAGGAAAAATTAACCGCAAAAAAAAATAAAATCTCTTGTGACAACAATGGCAAGATGTTAACTGTTAACCGTAAATTAACCAAAAAATTTTTACCGTCAGCACAAAAAGCCGTCAATTCATCCTCATTTATGTGCTCCGATTATTTCTGTCGTATAGAAACAAAGCAAGTGGACGAAAGCCAGCTGTGAAAGTGATATCTTTTCATCTTTTATCGATAGAGGAACAAACTCGTTTCGTAGAGTCTTGTGATACTGATGTTAGAAAGCTTGTCGCCATCAGATCAACACGGGCTTTTTTGCGAGTGAATGCGGGATATGACATTTAAAGGAGAGTTATAATATGAATAAACGCCTTTCTGGCTCGCTGCAAATTTCCCTTTTGTCCTCAAAGCTACGCTTCTCGGCCAAATATATTTTTCCCACAATTTTCAGCCGTGGAAATATCCGCCTGAAGGGGTACCAGTTATTATCCAGTTTAAACAATGGTATATTGAGACGCGTGACGCATTTGAACCAGTCATTAGCGAGCGAAAATATTTAATGAATAACAAACATATATAACCTTACCAACTTAGAATGTTTTCCAAGAAGTCCACTTAAAGACTAGTTCATCAGATGCTGACAACGTGGTGTGACAATTGTAACACTGAAGGAAAAATCTTAGAAAGAGAAGGGAAATAGCCACTTTTAAGGCAAGAACCGGTGGTGAAGTTGAAAACAAAACGGAGTAGACAGATTCCCACTAAAATATTAACTATTATTCCTGATAATGTTTTTCCTCTTTTCCACGATACGTCCTGTAAAGTTTCCGGCCACTGAAATACTGGCTTTGTGTGGAAGTAGCCCTGTGTTTTTTCATTGTGTTCTTTACACCCAGAGTCTGAAGTTTTCCCACCAAAAATTAGTCGCAGAACCAGCCATGAGTCAAACCGTCCAGATAGTTTACATGCGTACCACATTTATTCGATCAAACGCCGCCCCCGCCCCCGAATTTATTCGATCAAACGCCGCCCTCGAATAATTACCGCATCATGATGCGATCAATGCTTTGATCACGGTTGGAACCTCTGAGTGAACCAAACAGAAATCCTTTCGAATGAAACAGTTCTGATGTCGAGAAAGCATATTCCACATTGAAGAAATGTAAAATGGTTTCCGTGTTTACATAGCCTGATGTAAACACGCGGGAGGTTGGGGGAACACGAGATAAGCGCAGCTTATCGAGTGTTCTCCCAACCTCCCAAGTGTTTACATCAAGCTATGTAAACACGGAAACCATTTTACATTTCTTTTATAAAATAACTAATGAAAGAGGAACGAAAACCGTGTTTACATACGCTCATGTAAAATGGTTTTATGGCCAATCAGAGCGCGCGTACCATTTGAATTATTTTATAATAGATCTTTATCTATTCTATTCACTCTATGTATTGAAGTGGTATTAAGGACGAGTCTATGTAAGAATCAAACATCTTGGGAAATGAAAATTTTCACCCCCCCCTTCAAATTTTTGCATGCAGCTAGGCACTCAGGGGGGATGCACAAAAATGCCCTTTTTAAAGGTCGCAGCACTCTTGTTGCCATGTTAACAACGACTGCTTATTCGAGGCCTGGGGCCTCATTTTCATACAAAAACGTCTCAAAAAAGAGTGAAATGTTTATTTCTCTGTCCCAAGCTAAATACAACATTACAAATTGTCACTTCAACCATATATAGTGACATCATTCGTCTTCACTTTGATTTATTCAATTTTCCCTGGGAGTGAATGTGAACACGGCAATAGATTATTCATCTCGGTACAGTTTCAGTCATTTTTGTTGTCGGGTAAAACAGGGAAAATTTTTATCCGAATTTCTCCAAAAGTGCACCGATTCTGGAACTGAAACTACCCACCTAGCTGCTTATAATATTCTAGTTTTTAAATATGTAAAAATCTCTGCGGGCCTGCCCCCACTTTTTATAGGGGCAATTCGCAAAAAAAAAAACTCAAAGTGAGATATTGCATAATTTGGCGATGTTTACATCCAATGTTCTCAACAAATGTTTCAGACAAATGAAACGTGCGAGGCTTTGAAAGAATGTTATCTTATGAGCAATATCCCAGAGAGAAATCTCGCCTTTGGTTGTCATCTTTTAGAAAAATTGATCAACCTTCATGGAGGACTACTCGACGTACAAACATATACCTCAAATCGTGTGCATATCATCCAGATTCTGAGTGCTGCACCTTCTTTCATGGGAATTTGAGCGACCCGAAGTCCTCTGAAGATACACTGTTACTGTACTTGTATGTCATTTAAAACATGTTGAAGTCGGCTGATCTACACGAAAGTATCCTCACACCGGTCATTTGTCACAAACATGTACGTTATCACGATGGAGTGACGCTGTATTTCTCCATGAGGTTTCCATCTGTCGCTCCAAAGAAGACAGGAAATGGAAAATTTTCATATATGTCAGCAGATTTCTGCTTTCTGGAAAACCTTGATTCAACGCCCGTAAACACTGAGAATCTAAGAGTATAAATCGTAACTTCTCAGCGGCAGTACCATATGTAAAACCCAGTTGCAACAATAGCAATTTGAACGACATAGGAATCTCCTTACAAAGAGCAGATTCGGGCAGTCATCATTTCCTTGTGACAGGAACTAAGATATTTCAAATCATCTGAAAACTGTCAGAAAACTGTTAGAAAATTTGCATAAGATATGACCAGGAGAGACTTAATCACCGCCGCAGTGCTATCGAGTCAATCAATCAATGTTTCCTTCCATGTCTTGATAAAGAAAAAATCATAACAAAGTTCGAAATAAAAGATTTAATGAAATCATAATGTCATAATTCCACCTTTCAAACAACTTATCATCCACACGCAAATCGTAACTTGTCACTTGAACGAAACTCCCCTTGGTTATAATATGTAATCTGGATTGCTTCATGTCCTTAAGGAAAAAGAACAGCGATTTCATCACCATTATTTTCCATACTTTTCTCCCGGATATCTTTTACAAGCTGAAAGGAAGATGAATATAACGCAATCTCCTAGTGATTTACACGAGAGGAAGTCAAAGGTCTCTTTAATTTTCTCCTGAGGTGGCCGGCTGTGTAGATTATCAAGCTAATAATTTGAGAAGATTGTGCCCTTTGGTTCATCAGTGACAGCATTAATTATTTCAAATCTGTATTTCTCGGTCCAAGCAACACCAAAAATAGTTCCTTTGTAATTTTGTAAGCACTTTCTATAGCATTTTATTGTCAAGGGAAATGAATCTCAAGGCTCAAAGCCAATATAACGTTCGAGCTCGTGAAAGACTCCCTGAAAAAAGCTAAATTTTAGAAAATGATTGTGACGAAATCCCTGTTCCGTTTTCTGCGCTGCAGGGATACCGAGTAGATCAAAATGTCCACTTTGTGATGATTTTCGCGCGAGTGGTACAAATTGCTATTGTAGCGACTGGGTTTCACATGTAGTACTGCCGCTGACAAGCTGCGATTTCTGCTCTTAGATTCTAGGTGTTTAAGAGCATTCAATTCAGGTTTTCTTCTCTTTTTTTGTTGTTTTTACTTAGAATGCGCGGAAATCTGCTGATATATCCAAAAATGTTCATTTCTCGTCTTCTTTGGGGCGATCGATGGAAACTTCGTGGAGAAATACAGCGTCACGCCATCGTGACAACGTACATGCTTATGTTTTTCAAATAACCGGTGTGAGGATAGTTTCGTGTAGATCAGCCGACTTCAACATGTTCCAAATGACATACAAGTATAACAGTATATCTTCAGAGGACTTCAGATCGCTCAAATTCCCATGAAAGAAGGTGCAGCACTCGGAATCTGGATGATATGAATACGATTTGGAGAAATTCGGATAAACGTTTTCCCTGTTTTACTCGATAACAAAAATGACTGAAACTGTACCGAGATGAGTAATCTATTGGTGTGTTCACATTCACTCCCGGGGAAAATTGAATGAATCAAAGTGAAGACGAATGATGTCACTATATATGGTAGAAGGGCCAATCTTTAATATATATTGCAAAATCTTTGCTTTCCGTGAATCAAGTACACATTTAAACGATAAAATTCTCATTAAAATGTAAAATTCTTCAGTACATTTTAATAACTTTCGATTCGAATTTGTTACACTAACTAATTTTGGTTTCAATTTGTAGAACCCGCGAAACAGGCCATATGGCAAGGGGAAAAATTTGCACAATCACGTCACGCAATATATCAAGCTGGGTTTGTCCAGTTGATTTTGATGGTCGCAGGGAAATGTCGAGTTTGTCGCTCAAAACCGTTGTGGTCCATAAGAGCGTAACATCATTAGTGATGGAAACAAATCTGCGGAAAGGAGGGTTAGTTCATCGGGTTCCGTATACTAAATCTCGGGAGAAACTGCAAGAATTATTTCAGAGTGTATGCGTGTTGTTTTGTAAATATAAACACTGCAACCTATTTTAACTTGTTTTTGTGTCCTTTTAAGCAACGCGATATGTCTGTTATGACCAGAGTGCCAAATTTTATTCTTTAATTTTGATCTTCTCCACACTGTGCATAGTTCATGACCTGATATTTCAACGTAAATTATCGAGAAGGCGCCTTCCGATCACCTTTGTCTACTTTGTAAGTCACGCAAGCGCGCAAGCGTTACGACCGATCACGTTTACGCAACGTTTTAGGACAACTCGGCATCTAATCTCCATTCAGTTGCTGTGAAAACCTCAAATCCTTAACGTAGAAGATAAACGAACGAAGTTTGAACTGTCAAAAGGAGATCTTGGTCAATTCCAAGAATCATGCGAATGATCTTTGACACGAGCGCAATTGAGCAAACACATGGATTTGCGTTGTTTTTAAGAAGTTGGTGGATGGAAGTTAGAGATATACCCACGGGTTTAAGGCAATTCGTGACCTCATTGGTGTATAAACTATGCACTGATATGCTTTTTCGGCCCGATTAACGCCTGAATTTTGAGAATTCTTTCGTACAAAGTAGTGAATTTTTGATATGCAAATTAAGGTCGAAGAGCAGGGTCTCCTCTGATCACGCTGGTATGAAAAATTTTTCAGCTGAAGTTTCCATATTTTGTCTGTGAACTAACTGAATACATCTTGTAACTTGTAGCAAGATAGAATTCCGTGAGCTACATTGTTTCAGTCGCTGCGCGCTGGACAAAATCTTTGAAATTGACATTTTCGATCGCTGTTCACAGGGGTGGTCTGGCCAAAAATGATTTTTGGCTTGTGGCGACGCAAAAAAAGAGAATTGGAGAACAACTAAACTATTTTTGAAACATGTGCCCTAAACCCTTTTATGGGCAAAAAATAAAAGAAAACTTTTTTCCGACGGGAAGTCGAGAGGACCGCTCTTAGCGGGAGCGGCACTTAAGAGGCTGAATAACAACAAAACTGTTTCCTGATTTGTCGCTGATTCTTTAAAGGTCTTAGAAATAAAGGGCTGGATTTTTGATACTGGAGAGGTATTTTCTTGTTTTGCTCGGTGAATGATTTCAAGAAGAACCTTTCTTGGATTTTGATTACGCCAAAAGTAAATTACGGGGTTAGAAAGCGAATTTAAGACCGCAGCACAAACAGTCAAACTTATCAACACCATTTTCATACCCGACTCGAAAAAATTTGTGAAAGCCTGAATTGAGGCAATGATTATCGCAGGCAAGTAGGTCAGCACTAAAGTTCCTAGAAGTAACTCCTTAGGAGCAGTGGCCATTTTAGAATGAAGGTTTGGTTGCTTCTATCCACATAGAGCTTAAAAGTAAATTTCATTCAGAGACGGCAATGGGTTTGTTTACGCCAAAAATCCTTCAAACCCTTTGTGCACGCGTAAATATTATCTAGCTCAAGCTATGGTATATTGAGACGCGCAACACATTTAAAACAGTCACCAGCGAGCGAAAATATTTGATGAATAACAAACATATATAATCCTATGTTTTCCAAGAAGTCCGCTTTAAGGCTAGTTCATCAGATGCTGACTGCGTGGAGTTAACGTTGTAACACTGAAGGAAACATCTTATAGAAAGAGAAGGAAGATGGTTGCTTTTAAGACAAGAACTGGTTGTGATGTTTAAAACAAAACGGAATGGATAAATTCCAACCAAAAAATGAACTCGTATTATCGAAAAGCTTTTTACATTGTTTTAAGATACGCCCTGTAAAGTTTCCGGCCACTGAAATACTGGCTTTGTGTAGAAGTAGCCCTGTGTTTTTTCATTGTGCTCTTTATACCCAGAGTTAGAAGTTTTCCCACCAAAAATTAGTCGCAGAATCAGTCATGAGTCAAACCGTCCAGAAAGTTTACATGCGTACCAGATTTATTCGATCAAACGCCGCCCTCAAATAAACACCGGATCGTGATTCGACAAGCACTAAAACATGTTTCTGCTTTTGAAAATTAAAATAATCAGTTACCATAGTATTGTTTGCAAGAAATAAATTAGATTTTAAATGAGCGCCGCCTTCGAATAAACGCTGCCCTCGAACAAACGTCGACTCGAATCACGAAAAATTCAATAAATACGGTATGTAAATAGCGCCTTTTCATCAGGTTTCCCTGAAAATTTTCTGGTACCCCATTTATTATACCCCAGGATTGAGAGAGGAACTGTAAAAGAAAAGCTTATTGCCCAAGAACATAACGTAAGTACCTGGCCAGGTTTTAAAACCAGATCTCCCGATCCGGAGTCCAGCCCACTAACCATTAATGAGATCCAAGTAAATATGTCCTCTTAAAAATTTTGAAATTCTGTTCTAGCCGCCACGAGAAAGCTAGCAAGAAAACTTATTGTCCCATGCTCTGCCACATCAGTTTGTTTTGCTTGTGTCTAGATTAATCCTATCACTGGAAATGGTATAGACAAAACTGTCTATGGCCTGGACCGACAGTTATTGATATCACGTTATTTACAAGACATGATCATCTGTTTCCCCTATGCGAACGATTTCTTCAGCTTTAAAATGGCTGCATGACAACAAAACTGCTTCCTGGTTTGGCGCTGATTCTTTAAAGGTCTTAGAAATAGAGGGCTGAATTTTTGATACTGAAGGGGTATTTTCTCGTTTTTCTCGGTGAATGACTTCAAGAAGAGCCTTTCTTAGATTTTGATTACGCCAACAGTAAATTATGGGGTTAAAAAGTGAGTTGAAGACCGCAGCACAATCAGTCCAGCTTATCAACGCCATTTTCGTACCCGACTCAAAAAAATTTGTGAAAGCCTGAATTGAGGCGACAGTTATCAAAGGCAAGTAGGTCAGTACTAAAGTTCCTAGAATTAAGGATAGTGTAACGGTTGCCTTGTTATTTATATCTTTCTTCAACTCTTTAGCTTCTTGAGGTGACAGCTGTCCTGCCTGTAGGCGTTTTTTCTGTCGCTGTGTTTCAAGGAAGATGGACAGATACATGAACGTTATGCCAATGATACAAAGTAACACGAATAAAGCAGTCACAACGATATTCACCGTCCAATATAACGCATATATGTTCGTTGTACTTTCTCTGGTGGCAATCACAATTTCCTGAATCGTTCCAAAAACTGTGATGACCCACGCAACAACCACAGCCTTTTTGATCCTCCGTCCTGTGACAATCTCTCGGTACCTTAAGGAGAACTTTACAGCAATATATCGGTCCCCGCTTATCAAAAAGAGAAAAGTCAGCGTGGCAATGCTTTGTACCCAGAAAACTACAACGTGAGCCTTTTCTAACTCACAAAATGGACCGATCTCAAAGGCTCGCTTCACGTTGACCGCTATGGCAATGGGTATAACAACCAATCCGGCCAGCAAATCTGTCCTCGCCAAACAAGCTAAGAGTTTGTTTGAGTTGGTTCGCAGTTGTCTCTTTGTGGCCACCGCCAAGATGACTAACCCGTTTAAAGAGACGGTTGGGATAAGCAGTATTGATAGAATACATATTAAAGCTATCAAACTTCTGTAAAGGTCACCTGTGAGATACGACTCGCGCCAAACCATTCCTCCCAAGTAGGTACACTCTTCTTTATCTCGGTCAGTTGAGTTCGCCAGGAAAGGTAACTCCTTAGGAGCAGTGGCCATTCTAGAATGAAGGTTTGGTTGCTTCTATCCACATAGAGCTTCAAAAGGTTAATTTAAGACCGAGACGGCAATGGGTTTGTTTATGCCAAAAATCCCTCAAGCCTTTTCCCACGATTGGTTTATTAGAAGTGCACGGATAAACCAACGTTTAAACACCACCTTACTGGCGTCCTCTTTTCCTGTATTTGTTTTGCTCTTTATTTGCGTGGCTCAATGACTCATTTTGTGTAAAACTAAGCATCTGTTTCTCATTGTGTTGATTCCATCCAATATTTGGACTTTTCCAACAAGGAATTAGTTGAAAACTCGCTCAACGGAAAAGGGACGTTTCCAATTTAATAAAATAGACGTTGTTGAGGCGAATTTTATGTTTTTTCTTCTTTTTCTTTATATTTCTCATGCTTCTCGTACCAGTTATTAAATTACGGGTGTTCTTTTTAGCTTTTCACTTCATTTTTTACCGTTTTTTTCGCACTTTATGTGCCGTCCACATGGCATGGAGGTTGTAATTTAGCAATTTGAAATCTGACCCTTTTTAAATTGAATGCCGTGCGCCGGTTTCAAATTTCAAACCGTGGCTGTCCAAAGGAAATACGGAGCGACAACTCGCCCACTTTTACCGAGACAGAAAAGGAAATTAGACCAGTCTCTTTTAGAATGGGATCAAGAAGAGATAACATAACTTGGGAAATGCTTAAATTAAATGTTAGCAAGACGATGATGGCGATTCTTCGAGTCCCAAATGCGCTAAATAGTTTAGTAATCCTGCACAGAGTGTTCGCTGAGGTTCTACCACCCTTACAGCCCTACCATCGTTCCAAGCAGCGACGATCCAAACGACTGCGAATTTCTTACTCTGGGCCCTTATTTGCTTCAATGACCGATCAGCGGGACTGTTCGAACATGAAGATCTTTACAGAAGGTAGCATTGGAGAAGAGCATAGTTTCTGGCCAGTTACTTTTGGAAAAGATAGCTCAACGAACTCATTCAAACTCTGCAAGAAGGTTGCTAATGGATACGCCAGAAGGGCGAACTAGGGATTTAAAATTTAATCCCGGTCGTGGAAAAGAATTCCCTTCGTGTACGATGGCTCCTTGGTCGCGTTGTCAAGGTCTCTCCTGGACAGGATCGCTGGGTCCACGTAGGGGAAATAGAACCATTATACTACATTCATCTGGAGAAAGCTCTGAAATATGTTGAACTATTGTCGAGCTCGTGGACGCTTATTCAAGTTACTGCAAAATAGTCTAACTCGATGTTTTACTGAATAAATTAGGCCATCCTGTATATTCCATGTTTCACGCTCTTATAGAAGTGTGTACCGGTTTTAATATTTGGTCCTGTTTAAACCCGTTCTGTGCTCGTGTATCGTGTTTTCTATTTTCTCTCAGTATTTGGGAAGTGTTTTTTTTTGTCTTTGTTTGTATTTATTCAGTCCCGTCCTATTTGTTAGCATATTTTGTAAATGTTGCTTCTCTGATTTTTTCGGAATTTAGTTCTTCTTTACCAACAGATTATAAACTCTTCTTGTCTTCACACATTAAAAAGGGTAGTAAACCATCCGCTGAGCTATAGTTTTTTCTTTTATTTTAGAGTTTATTGAAGCGAGCTTCTGCTTCTTCAGAAGTATTACATTATTTCGTTTCACAGTAATGATGCCGCAATCACGAAGAAATGTGCATTTCAGAGAAATGACGGGCTCTCCCACGCTCATGATAAGAAGAAAATCATCTTTCTCTAGTTACCGTGCTCAATTAGAAAGATGATGCCATCTTTCCAATTTCTAGTTCAGTTTAATTTTCATAGGTTTTTTATAGTATTTCTTATTTTTGATTCTCCGTCTGATTCATGTTTAAGAATTATTCATAGATTACGTGGAGGTGAATAGTGATGGTCTTTTTTTTCAACTGCGCAAAGTAGAGTACAAATAACACGCGAATAGAGTACAAATATCTTGCGATATTTTACAGTTATTTGTACAGTTGGTTTTTCTGCATTGTAAAAAAGCGTATTTAACCAGTCGGCTGTGCGCTACGCTTTCTATCCGCTTTCCTTTTCCCGCCTTATGAGAAATGAGGAGAAAGACCTAACAGAAAAAGGAGCAGTTGGATGATAAATAACTTCTTTGACATTTTGGTGTGTAGTATGACGAGTTGTGCCGTATTTTGAACGAAATCGTAGTCGATATTTGAATGTCTAACAATGAAACGGCGAAAAGAATGTAAGCATTAGGCGTAAAATTGACAAATTTAAACCAATAGTTGCAGACCCGTTGTGGGAAAAATTAACCGCAAAAAAACTAAAATCTCTTGTGACAAAAATGGCAAGATGTTAACTGTTAACCGTAAATTAACCAAAAAATTTTTACCGTCAGCACAAAAAGCCGTCAATTCATCCTCATTTATGTGCTCCGATTATTTCTGTCGTATAGAAACAAAGCAAGTGGACGAAAGCCAGCTGTGAAAGTGATATCTTTTCATCTTCTATCGATAGAGGAACAAACTCGTTTCGTAGAGTCTTGTGATACTGATGTTATAAAGCTTGTCGCCATCAGATCAACACGGGCTTTTTTGCGAGTGAATGCGGGATATGACATTTAAAGGAGAGTTATAATAGGAATAAACGCCTTTCTGGCTCGCTGCAAATTTCCCTTTTGTCCTCAAAGCTACGCTTCTCGGCCAAATATATTTTTCCCACAATTTTCAGCCGTGGAAATATCCGCCTGAAGGGGTACCAGTTATTATCCAGTTTAAACAATGGTATATTGAGACGCGTGACGCATTTGAACCAGTCATTAGCGAGCGAAAATATTTAATGAATAACAAACATATATAACCTTACCAACTTAGAATGTTTTCCAAGAAGTCCACTTAAAGACTAGTTCATCAGATGCTGACAACGTGGTGTGACAATTGTAACACTGAAGGAAAAATCTTAGAAAGAGAAGGGAAATAGCCACTTTTAAGGCAAGAACCGGTGGTGAAGTTGAAAACAAAACGCAGTAGACAGATTCCCACCAAAATATTAACTATTATTCCTGATAATGTTTTTCCTCTTTTCCACGATACGTCCTGTAAAGTTTCCGGCCACTGAAATACTGGCTTTGTGTGGAAGTAGCCCTGTGTTTTTTCATTGTGTTCTTTATACCCAGAGTCTGAAGTTTTCCCACCAAAAATTAGTCGCAGAACCAGCCATGAGTCAAACCGTCCAGATAGTTTACATGCGTACCACATTTATTCGATCAAACGCCGCCCCCGCCCCCCCCCCCCCCCCCGAATTTATTCGATCAAACGCCGCCCTCGAATAATTACCGCATCATGATGCGATCAATGCTTTGATCACGGTTGGAACCTCTGAGTGAACCAAACAGAAATCCTTTCGAATGAAACAGTTCTGATGTCGAGAAAGCATATTCCACATTGAAGAAATGTAAAATGGTTTCCGTGTTTACATAGCCTGATGTAAACACGCGGGAGGTTGGGGGAACACGAGATAAGCGCAGCTTATCGAGTGTTCTCCCAACCTCCCACGTGTTTACATCAAGCTATGTAAACACGGAAACCATTTTACATTTCTTTTATAAAATAACTAATGAAAGAGGAACGAAAACCGTGTTTACATACGCTCATGTAAAATGGTTTTATGGCCAATCAGAGCGCGCGTACCATTTGAATTATTTTATAATAGATCTTTATCTATTCTATTCACTCTATGTATTGAAGTGGTATTAAGGACGAGTCTCTGTAAGAATCAAACATCTTGGGAAATGAAAATTTTCACCCCCTTCAAATTTTTGCATGCAGCTAGGCACTCAGGGGATGCACAAAAATGCCCTTTTAAAGGTCGCAGCACTCTTGTTGCCATGTTAACAACGACTGCTTATTTGAGGCCTGGGGCCTCATTTTCATACAAAAACGTCTCAAAAAGAGTGAAATGTTTATTTCTCTGTCCCAAGCTAAATACAACATTACAAATTGTCACTTCAACCATATATAGTGACATCATTCGTCTTCACTTTGATTTATTCAATTTTCCCTGGGAGTGAATGTGAATACGGCAATAGATTATTCATCTCGGTACAGTTTCAGTCATTTTTGTTGTCGGGTAAAACAGGGAAAATTTTTATCTGAATTTCTCCAAAAGTGCACCGATTCTGGAACTGAAACTACCCACCTAGCTGCTTATAATATTCTAGTTTTTAAATATGTAAAAATCTCTGCGGGCCTGCCCCCACTTTTTATAGGGGCAATTCGCAAAAAAAAAAACTCAAAGTGAGATATTGCATAATTTGGCGATGTTTACATCCAATGTTCTCAACAAATGTTTCAGACAAATGAAACGTGCGAGGCTTTGAAAGAATGTTATCTTATGAGCAATATCCCAGAGAGAAATCTCGCCTTTGGTTGTCATCTTTTAGAAAAATTGATCAACCTTCATGGAGGACTACTCGACGTACAAACATATACCTCAAATCGTGTGCATATCATCCAGATTCTGAGTGCTGCACCTTCTTTCATGGGAATTTGAGCGACCCGAAGTCCTCTGAAGATACACTGTTACTGTACTTGTATGTCATTTAAAACATGTTGAAGTCGGCTGATCTACACGAAAGTATCCTCACACTGGTCATTTGTCACAAACATGTACGTTATCACAATGGAGTGACGCTGTATTTCTCCATGAGGTTTCCATCTGTCGCTCCAAAGAAGACAGGAAATGGAAAATTTTCATATATGTCAGCAGATTTCTGCTTTCTGGAAAACCTTGATTCAACGCCCGTAAACACTGAGAATCTAAGAGTATAAATCGTAACTTCTCAGCGGCAGTACCATATGTAAAACCCAGTTGCAACAATAGCAATTTGAACGACATAGGAATCTCCTTACAAAGAGCAGATTCGGGCAGTCATCATTTCCTTGTGACAGGAACTAAGATATTTCAAATCATCTGAAAACTGTCAGAAAACTGTTAGAAAATTTGCATAAGATATGACCAGGAGAGACTTAATCACCGCCGCAGTGCTATCGAGTCAATCAATCAATGTTTCCTTCCATGTCTTGATAAAGAAAAAATCATAACAAAGTTCGAAATAAAAGATTTAATGAAATCATAATGTCATAATTCCACCTTTCAAACAACTTATCATCCACACGCAAATCGTAACTTGTCACTTGAACGAAACTCCCCTTGGTTATAATATGTAATCTGGATTGTTTCATGTCCTTAAGGAAAAAAAGAACAGCGATTTCATCACCATTATTTTCCATACTTTTCTCACGGATATCTTTTACAAGCTGAAAGGAAGATGAATATAACGCAATCTCCTAGTGATTTACACGAGAGGAAGTCAAAGGTCTCTTTAATTTTCTCCTGAGGTGGCCGGCTGTGTAGATTATCAAGCTAATAATTTGAGAAGATTGCGCCCTTTGGTTCATCAGTGACAGCATTAATTATTTCAAATCTGTATTTCTCGGTCCAAGCAACACCAAAAATAGTTCCTTTGTAATTTTGTAAGCACTTTCTATAGCATTTTATTGTCAAGGGAAATGAATCTCAAGGCTCAAAGCCAATATAACGTTCGAACTCGTGAAAGACTCCCTGAAAAAAGCTAAATTTTAGAAAATGATTGTGACGAAATCCCTGTTCCGTTTTCTGCGCTGCAGGGATACTGAGTAGATCAAAATGTCCACTTTGTGATGATTTTCGCGCGAGTGGTACAAATTGCTATTGTAGCGACTGGGTTTCACATGTAGTACTGCCGCTGACAAGCTGCGATTTCTGCTCTTAGATTCTAGGTGTTTAAGAGCGTTCAATTCAGGTTTTCTTCTCTTTTTTTGTTGTTTTTACTTAGAATGCGCGGAAATCTGCTGATATATCCAAAAATGTTCATTTCTCGTCTTCTTTGGGGCGATCGATGGAAACTTCGTGGAGAAATACAGCGTCACGCCATCGTGACAACGTACATGCTTATGTTTTTCAAATAACCGGTGTGAGGATAGTTTCGTGTAGATCAGCCGACTTCAACATGTTCCAAATGACATACAAGTATAACAGTATATCTTCAGAGGACTTCGGATCGCTCAAATTCCCATGAAAGAAGGTGCAGCACTCGGAATCTGGATGATATGCATACGATTTGGAGAAATTCGGATAAACGTTTTCCCTGTTTTACTCGATAACAAAAATGACTGAAACTGTACCGAGATGAGTAATCTATTGGTGTGTTCACATTCACTCCCGGGGAAAATTGAATGAATCAAAGTGAAGACGAATGATGTCACTATATATGGTAGAAGTGCCAATCTTTAATATATATTGCAAAATCTTTGCTTTCCGTGAATCAAGTACACATTTAAACGATAAAATTCTCATTAAAATGTAAAATTCTTCAGTACATTTTAATAACTTTCGATTCGAATTTGTTACACTAACTAATTTTGGTTTCAATTTGTAGAACCCGCGAAACAGGCCATATGGCAAGGGGAAAAATTTGCACAATCACGTCACGCAATATATCAAGCTGGGTTTGTCCAGTTGATTTTGATGGTCGCAGGGAAATGTCGAGTTTGTCGCTCAAAACCGTTGTGGTCCATAAGAGCGTAACATCATTAGTGATGGAAACAAATCTGCAGAAAGGAGGGTTAGTTCATCGGGTTCCGTATACTAAATCTCGGGAGAAACTGCAAGAATTATTTCAGAGTGTATGCGTGTTGTTTTGTAAATATAAACACTGCAACCTATTTTAACTTGTTTTTGTGTCCTTTCAAGCAACGCGATATGTCTGTTATGACCAGAGTGCCAAATTTTATTCTTTAATTTTGATTTTCTCCACACTGTGCATAATTCATGACCTGATATTTCAACGTAAATTATCGCGAAGGCGCCTTCCGATCACCTTTGTCTACTTTGTAAGTCACGCAGGCGCGCAAGCGTTACTACCGATCACGTTTACGCAACGTTTTAGGACAACTCGGCATCTAATCTCCATTCACTTGCTGTGAAAACCTAAAATCCTTAACGTAGAAGATAAACGAACGAAGTTTGAACTGTCAAAAGGAGATCTTGGTCAATTCCAAGAATCATGCGAATGATCTTTGACACGAGCGCAATTGAGCAAACACATGGATTTGCGTTGTTTTTAAGAAGTTGGTGGATGGAAGTTAGAGATATACCCACGGGTTTAAGGCAATCCGTGACCTCATTGGTGTATAAACTATGCACTGATATGCTTTTTCGGCCCGATTAACGCCTGCATTTTGAGAATTCTTTCGTACAAAGTAGTGAATTTTTGATATGCAAATTAAGGTCGAAGAGCAGGGTCTCCTCTGATCACGCTGGTATGAAAAATTTTTTCAGCTGAAGTTTCCATATTTTGTCTGTGAACTAACTGTATACACCTTGTAACTTGTAGCAAGATAGAATCACGTGAGCTATATTATTGCAGTCGCTGCGCGCTGGACAATATCTGTGAAATTTACATTTTTGGTCGCTGTCCACACGGTCGGTCTAGCCAAAAATGATTTTTGGCTTGTGGCGACGCAGAAAAAGAGAATTGGAGAACAACTAAACTATTTTTTTGAAACATGTGCCCTAAACCCTTTTCATGGGCAAAAAAAAAAAAAACTTTTTTTCCGACGGGGAAGTCGAGAGGACCGCTCTTAGCGGGAGCGGCACTTAAGAGGCTGAATAACAACAAAACTGTTTCCTGATTTGTCGCTGATTCTTTAAAGGTCTTAGAAATAAAGGGCTGGATTTTTGATACTGGAGAGGTATTTTCTTGTTTTGCTCGGTGAATGATTTCAAGAAGAACCTTTCTTGGATTTTGATTACGCCAAAAGTAAATTACGGGGTTAGAAAGCGAATTTAAGACCGCAGCACAAACAGTCAAACTTATCAACACCATTTTCATACCCGACTCGAAAAAAATTTGTGAAAGCCTGAATTGAGGCAATGGTTATCGCAGGCAAGTAGGTCAGCACTAAAGTTCCTAGAAGTAACTCCTTAGGAGCAGTGGCCATTTTAGAATGAAGGTTTGGTTGCTTCTATCCACATAGAGCTTAAAAGTAAATTTCATTCAGAGACGGCAATGGGTTTGTTTACGCCAAAAATCCTTCAAACCCTTTGTGCACGCGTAAATATTATCTAGCTTAAGCTATGGTATATTGAGACGCGCAACACATTTAAAACAGTCACCAGCGAGCGAAAATATTTGATGAATAACAAACATATATAATCCTATGTTTTCCAAGAAGTCCACTTTAAGGCTAGTTCATCAGATGCTGACTGCGTGGAGTTAACGTTGTAACACTGAAGGAAACATCTGATAGAAAGAGAAGGAAGATGGTTGCTTTTAAGACAAGAACTGGTTGTGATGTTTAAAACAAAACGGAATGGATAAATTCCAACCAAAAAATGAACTCGTATTATCGAAAAGCTTTTTACATTGTTTTAAGATACGCCCTGTAAAGTTTCCGGCCACTGAAATACTGGCTTTGTGTAGAAGTAGCCCTGTGTTTTTTCATTGTGCTCTTTATACCCAGAGTTAGAAGTTTTCCCACCAAAAATTAGTCGCAGAATCAATCATGAGTCAAACCGTCCAGAAAGTTTACATGCGTACCAGATTTATTCGATCAAACGCCGCCCTCAAATAAACACCGGATCGTGATTCGACAAGCACTAAAACATGTTTCTGCTTTTGAAAATTAAAATAATCAGTTACCATAGTATTGTTTGCAAGAAATAAATTAGATTTTAAATGAGCGCCGCCTTCGAATAAACGCTGCCCTCGAACAAACGCCGCACTCGAATCACGAAAAATTCAATAAATACGGTATGTGAATAGCGCCTTTTCATCAGGTTTCCCTGAAAATTTTCTGGTACCCCATTTATTATACCCCAGGATTGAGAGAGGAACTGTAAAAGAAAAGCTTATTGCCCAAGAACATAACGTAAGTACCTGGCCAGGTTTTAAAACCAGATCTCCCGATCCGGAGTCCAGCCCACTAACCATTAATGAGATCCAAGTAAATATGTCCTCTTAAAAATTTTGAAATTCTGTTCTAGCCGCCACGAGAAAGCTAGCAAGAAAACTTATTGTCCCATGCTCTGCCACATCAGTTTGTTTTGCTTGTGTCTAGATTAATCCTATCACTGGAAATGGTATAGACAAAACTGTCTATGGCCTGGACCGACAGTTATTGATATCACGTTATTTACAAGACATGATCATCTGTTTCCCCTATGCGAACGATTTCTTCAGCTTTAAAATGGCTGCATGACAACAAAACTGCTTCCTGCTTTGGCGCTGATTCTTTAAAGGTCTTAGAAATAGAGGGCTGAATTTTTGATACTGAAGGGGTATTTTCTCGTTTTTCTCGGTGAATGACTTCAAGTAGAGCCTTTCTTAGATTTTGATTACGCCAACAGTAAATTATGGGGTTAAAAAGTGAGTTGAAGACCGCAGCACAATCAGTCCAGCTTATCAACGCCATTTTCGTACCCGACTCAAAAAAATTTGTGAAAGCCTGAATTGAGGCGACAGTTATCAAAGGCAAGTTGGTCAGTACTAAAGTTCCTAGAATTAAGGATAGTGTAACGGTTGCCTTGTTATTTACATCTTTCTTCAACTCTTTAGCTTCTTGAGGTGACAGCTGTCCTGCCTGTAGGCGTTTTTTCTGTCGCTGTGTTTCAAGGAAGATGGACAGATACATGAACGTTATGCCAATGATACAAAGTAACACGAATAAAGCAGTCACAACGATATTCACCGTCCAATATAACGCATATATGTTCGTTGTACTTTCTCTGGTGGCAATCACAATTTCCTGAATCGTTCCAAAACTGTGATGACCCACGCAACAACCACAGCCTTTTTGATCCTCTGTCCTGTGACAATCTCTCGGTACCTTAAGGAGAACTTTACAGCAATATATCGGTCCCCGCTTATCAAAAATAGAAAAGTCAGCGTGGCAATGCTTTGTACCCAGAAAACTACAACGTGAGCCTTTTCTAACTCACAAAATGGACCGATCTCAAAGGCTCGCTTCACGTTGACCGCTATGGCAATGGGTATAACAACCAATCCGGCCAGCAAATCTGTCCCCGCCAAACAAGCTAAGAGTTTGTTTGAGTTGGTTCGCAGTTGTCTCTTTGTGGCCACCGCCAAGATGACTAACCCGTTTAAAGAGACGGTTGGGATAAGCAGTATTGATAGAATACATATTAAAGCTATCAAACTTCTGTAAATGTCACCTGTGAGATACGTCTCGCGCCAAACCATTCCTCCCAAGTAGGTACACTCTTCTCTATCTCGGTCAGTTGAGTTCGCCAGGAAAGGTAACTCCTTAGGAGCAGTGGCCATTCTAGAATGAAGGTTTGGTTGCTTCTATCCACATAGAGCTTCAAAAGGTTAATTTAAGACCGAGACGGCAATGGGTTTGTTTATGCCAAAAATCCCTCAAGCCTTTTCCCACGATTGGTTTATTAGAAGTGCACGGATAAACCAACGTTTAAACACCACCTTACTGACGTCCTCTTTTCCTGTATTTGTTTTGCTCTTTATTTGCGTGGCTCAATGACTCATTTTGTGTAAAACTAAGCATCTGTTTCTCATTGTGTTGATTCCATCCAATATTTGGACTTTTCCAACAAGGAATTAGTTGAAAACTCGCTCAACAGAAAAGGGACGTTTCCAATTTAATAAAATAGACGTTGTTGAGGCGAATTTTATTTTTTTCTTCTTTTTTTTATATTTCTCATGCTTCTCGTACCAGTTATTAAATTACGGGTGTTCTTTTAGCTTTTCACTTCATTTTTTTTTACCGTTTTTTTCGCACTTTATGTGCCGTCCACATGGCATGGAGGTTGTAATTTAGCAATTTGAAATCTGACCCTTTTTTAATTGAATGCCGTGCGCCGGTTTCAGATTTCAAAGCGTGGCTGTCCAAAGGAAATACGGAGCGACAACTCGCCCACTTTTACCGAGACAGAAAAGGAAATTAGACCAGTCTCTTTTAGAATGGGATCATGACGAGTTAACATAATTTGGGAGATGCTTATTCGAAATGTAAGCAAAACGATGAAGGCGATTCTTCGAGTCCCAAATGCGCTAACTAGTTTAAAAATCCTGCGCAGAGTGTTCGCTGAGGTTCTGACCACCGTTGCAGCCCTACCATCACTCCAAGCAGCGACGATCCAAATGACTGCGAATTTCTTACTCTGAACCCTTACTTGCTTCAACTACCGATCATCAGGACTGTTCGAACACGAAGGTCTTTACAGAAGGTAGCATTGGAGAAGAGCATAGTTTCTGGCCAATTGCTTTTGGAAAAGATAGCTCAACGAACTCATTTAAACTCTGAAAGAAGATTGCTAATGTATACGCCAGAAGGGCGAACTAAGGATTTAAATTTGGTCCCGGTCGTGGACAAGAATTCCCTTCGTGGAGGATGGCTCAGTCGCATTGTTAAGGTCTCTCCTGGACAGGATCGCTGGGTCCACATTTATCTGGAGAAAGCTAAGAACTAACTATGTTGAACTGTTGTCGAGCTCTTGGACGCTTATTCAAGTTACTACAAAATAGTCTAACTCGATGTTTTACTGAATAAATTAGGCCATCCTGTATATTCCATGTTTCACGCTCTTATAGAAGTGTGTACCAGTTTTAATATTTGCTCCTGTTTAAACCCGTTCTGTGCGAGTGTATCGTGTTTGCTATTTTCTCTCAGTGTTTGGGAAGTGTCGTTTTTCTGTCTTTGTCTGTATTTATTCAGTCCTGTCCTATTTTTTTAGTATATTTTGTAAATGTTGCTTCTCTGATTTTTTTAAATTTAGTTCTTCTTCACCAACAGATAAGAAACTCTTCTTGTCTTCACACATTGAAAAGGATAGTAAATCATCCACTGAGCTACAGTTTTTTCATTTTATTTTAGAGTTTTTATTAAAGCGGGCTTTTGCCTCTTTAGAAGTATTACATTATTTCGTCTAACAGTAATGATGCCGCCATCACCAAAAAATGTGCATTTCAGAGAAATGACGGGATCTCCCACGCCCATGATAAGAAGAAAATCATCTTTCTCCAGTTACCGTGCTCAATTAGAAAGATGTTGCCATTTTCCAATTTCTAGTTCAGTTTAATTTTCATAGCTTTTTTTTATAGTAATTCTTACTTTTGATTCTCCGTCTGATTCATGTTTAAGAATTATTCATAGATTACGTGGAGGTGAATAGTGGTCATTTTTTTCAACTGCGCAAAGTAGAGTACAAATAACACGCGAATAGAGTACAAATATCTTGCGATATTTTACAGTTATTTGTACAGTTGGTTTTTCTGCATTGTAAAAAAGCGTATTTAACCAGTCGGCTGTGCGCTACGCTTTCTATCCGCTTTCCTTTTCCCGCCTTATGAGAAATGAGGAGAAAGATCTAACAGAAAAAGGAGTAGTTGGATGATAAATAACTTTTTTGACATTTTGATGTGTAGTATGACGAGTTGTGCCGTATTTTGAACGAAATCGTAGTCGATATTTGAATGTCTAACAATGAAACGGCGAAAAGAATCTAAGCATTAGGCGTAAAATTGACAAATTTAAACCAATAGTTGCAGACCCGTTGTGGGAAAAATTAACCGCAAAAAAACTAAAATCTCTTGTGACAACAATGGCAAGATGTTAACTGTTAACCGTAAATTGACCAAAAAATTTTAACCGTCAGCACAAAAAGCCGTCAATTCATCCTCATCTATGTGCTCCGATTATTTCTGTCGTATAGAAACAAAGCAAGTGGACGAAAGCCAGCTGTGAAAGTGATATCTTTTCATCTCTATATACACTTTTATCAATAGAGGAACAAACTCGTTTCGTAGAGTCTTGTGATACTGATGTTATAAAGCTTGTTGCCATCAGATCAACACGGGCTTTTTTGCGAGTGCATGAATGCGGGATATGACATTTAAAGGAGAGTTATAATATGAATAAACGCCTTTCTGGCTCGCTGCAAATTTCCCTTTTGTTCTCGAAGCTACGCTTCTCGGCCAAATATATTTTTCCCACAATTTTCAGCCGTGGAAATATCCGCCTGAAGGGGTTTATCTACCAGGTATTATCCAGTTTAAACAATGGTATATTGAGACGCGTGACGCATTTGAACCAGTCATTAGCGAGCGAAAATATTTAATGAATAACAAACATATATAACCTTCCCAACTTAGAATGTTTTCCAAGAAGTCCACTCAAAGACTAGTTCATCAGATGCAGACAACGTGGTGTGACAGTTGTAACACTGAAGGAAAAATCTTAGAAAGAGAAGGGAAATAGCCACTTTTAAGGCAAGAACCGGTGGTGAAGTTGAAAACAAAACGGAATAGACAGATTCACACCAAAATATTAACTATTATTCCTGATAATGTTTTTCCTCTTTTCCTCGATACGTCCTGTAAAGTTTCCGGCCACTGAAATACTGGCTTTGTGTGGAAGTAGCCCTGTGTTTTTTCATTATGTTCTTTATACCCAGAGTCTGAAGTTTTCCCACCAAAAATTAGTCGCAGAACCAGCCATGAGTCAAACCGTCCAGATAGTTTACATGCGTACCACATTTATTCGATCAAACGCCGCCCCCGCCCCCGAATTTATTCGATCAAACGCCGCCCTCGAATAATTACCGCATCATGATGCGATCAATGCTTTGATCACGGTTGGAACCTCTGAGTGAACCAAACAGAAATCCTTTCGAATGAAACAGTTCTGATATCGAGAAGGCATATTCCACATTGAAGAAATATAAAATGGTTTCTGTGTTTACTTAGCCTGATGTAAACACACGGGAGGTTGGGAGAACACGAGATAAGCGCAGCTTATCGACTGTTCTCCCAACCTCCCAAGTGTTTACATCAGGCTATGTAAACACGGAAACCACTTTACATTTCTTTTATAAAATAACTAATGAAAGAGGAACGAAAACCGTGTTTACATACGCTCATGTAAAATGGGTTTATGGCTAATCAGAGCGCGCGTACCATTTGAATTATTTTATAATAGATCTTTATCCATTCTATTGACTCTATGTATTGAAGTGGTATTAAGAACGAGTCTCTGTAAGAATCAAACATCTTGGGAAATGAAAGTTTTCAACCCCCCTTCAAATTTTGCATGCAGCTAGGCACTCAGGGGGGATGCAAAAAAATGCCCTTTTAAAGGTCGCAGCACTCTTGTTGCCATGGTAACAACGACTGCTTGTTCGAGGCCTGGGGCCTCATTTTCATACAAAAACGTTGCAAAAAAAGAATGAAATGTTTATTTCTCTGTCTCAAGCTTAATACAACATTACAAATTGTCACTTCTACAATATATAGTGACATCATTCGTCTTCACTTTGATTTATTCAATTTTCCCTGGGAGTGAATGTGAACACACCAATAGATTATTCATCTCGGTACAGTTTCAGTCATTTTTGTTGTCGGGTAAAACAGGGAAAATGTCTATCCAAATTTCTCCAAAAGTGCGCCGATTCTGGAACTGAAACTACCCACCTAGCTGCTTATAATATTCTAGTTTTTAAATATGTAAAAATCTCTGCGGGCCTGCCCCTACTTTTTATAGGGGCAATTCGCAAAAAAAGCTCAAAATGAGATATTGCATAATTTGGCGATGTTTACATCCAATGTTCTCAACAACAAATGTTTCAGACAAATGAAGCGCGCGAGGCTTTGAAAGAATGTTATCTTATGAGCAATATCCCAGAGAGAAATCTCGCCTCTGGTTGTCATCTTTTAAAAAAATTGGTCAACCTTCATGGAGGACTACTCGACGTACAAACATATACCTCAAATCGTGTACATATCATCCAGATTCTGAGTGCTGCACCTTCTTTCATGGGAATTTGAGCGACCCGAAGTCCTCTGAAGATACACCGTTATACTTGAATGTCATTTAAAACATGCTGAAGTCGGCTGATCTACTCGAAAGTATCCTGTGTACTTTTGGAGAAATTCGGATAGACGTTTTCCCTGCTACCCGACAACAAAAATGACTGAAACTGTGCCGAGATGAATAATCTATTGGTGTGTTCACATTCACTCCCAGGGAAAATTGAATAAATCAAAGTGAAGACGAATGATGTCACTATATATGGTAGAAGTGCCAATTTATAATGTTGTATTCAGCTTGAGATCTCTCTCTTGAAAAATATTTCAGCTGAAGTTTCCATATTTTGTCTGTGAACTAACTGAATACATCTTGTAACTTGTAGCAAGATAGAATTCCGTGAGCTACATTGTTGCAGTCGCTGCACGCTGGACAAAATCTTTGAAATTGACACTTTCGATCGCTGTTCACATGGGTGGTCTGGCCAAAAATGATTTTTGGCTTGTGGCGACGCAAAAAAAGAGAATTGGAGAACAACTAAACTATTTTTGAAACATGTGCCCTAAACCCTTCTAATGGGCAAAAAATAAAAGAAAACTTTTTTCCGACGGGAAGTCGAGAGGACCGCTCTTCGCGGGAGCGGCACTTAAGAGGCTGAATAACAACAAAACTGTTTCCTGATTTGTCGCTGATTCTTTAAAGGTCTTAGAAATAAAGGGCTGGATTTTTGATACTGGAGAGGTATTTTCTTGTTTTGCTGGGTGAATGATTTCAAGAAGAACCTTTCTTGGATTTTGATTACGCCAAAAGTAAATTACGGGGTTAGAAAGCGAATTTAAGACCGCAGCACAAACAGTCAAACTTATCAACATCATTTTCATACCCGACTCGAAAAAATTTGTGAAAGCCTGAATTGAGGCAATGGTTATCGCAGGCAAGTAGGTCAGCACTAAAGTTCCTAGAAGTAACTCCTTAGGAGCAGTGGCCATTTTAGAATGAAGGTTTGGTTGCTTCTATCCACATAGAGCTTAAAAAGTAAATTTCATACAGAGACGGCAATGGGTTTGTTTACGCCAAAAATCCTTCCAACCTTTTGTGCACGCGTAAATATTATCTAGCTTAAGCTATGGTATATTGAGACGCGCAACACATTTAAAACAGTCACCAGCGAGCGAAAATATTTGATGAATAACAAACAAATATAATCCTATGTTTTCCAAGAAGTCCGCTTTAAGGCTAGTTCATCAGATGCTGACTGCGTGGAGTTAACGTTGTAACACTGAAGGAAACATCTGATAGAAAGAGAAGGAAGATGGTTGCTTTTAAGACAAGAACTGGTTGTGATGTTTAAAACAAAACGGAATGGATAAATTCCAACCAAAAAATGAACTCCTATTATCGAAAAGCTTTTTACATTGTTTTAAGATACGCCCTGTAAAGTTTCCGGCCACAGAAATACTGGTTTTGTGTAGAAGTAGCCCTGTGTTTTTTCATTGTGCTCTTTATACCCAGAGTTAGAAGTTTTCCCACCAAAAATTAGTCGCAGAATCAGTCATGAGTCAAACCGTCCAGAAAGTTTACATTTATTCGATCAAACGCCGCCCTCGAATAAACACCGCATCGTGATTCGACAAGCACTAAAACATGTTTCTGCTTTTGAAAATTAAAATGATCAGTTACCATAGTATAGTTTGCAAGAAATAAATTAGATTTTAAATGAGCGCCGCCTTCGTATAAACGCTGCCCTCGAACAAACGCCGACTCGAATCACGAAAAATTCAATAAATACGGTATGTAAATAGCGCCTTTTCATCAGGTTTCCCTGAAAATTTTCTGGTACCCCATTTATTATACCCCAGGATTGAGAGAGGAATTGTAAAAGAAAAGCGTATTGCCCAAGAACATAACGTGAGTACCAGGCCAGGTTTTAAAACCAGATCTCCCAATCCGGAGTCCAGCCCACTAACCATTAATGAGATCCAAGTAAATATGTCCTCTTAAAAATTTGGAATTCTGTTCTAGCCGCCACGAGAAAGCTAGCAAGAAAACTTATTGTCCCATCCTCTGCCACATCAGTTTGTTTTGAAATGGTATAGACAAAACTGTCTATGGCCTGGACCGACAGTTATTGATATCACGTTATTTACAAGACATGATCATCTGTTTCCCCTATGCGAACGATTTCTTCAGCTTTAAAATGGCTGCATGACAACAAAACTGCTTCCTGGTTTGGTGCTGATTCTTTAGCGGTCTTAGAAATAGAGGGCTGAATTTTTGATACTGAAGGGGTATTTTCTCGTTTTTCTCGGTGAATGACTTCAAGAAGAGCCTTTCTTAGATTTTGATTACGCCAGCAGTAAATTATGGGGTTAAAAAGTGAGTTGAAGACCGCAGCACAATCAGTCCAGCTTATCAACGCCATTTTCGTACCCGACTCAAAAAAATTTGTGAAAGCCTGAATTGAGGCGACAGTTATCAAAGGCAAGTAGGTCAGTACTAAAGTTCCTAGAATTAAGGATAGTGTAACGGTTGCCTTGTTATTTACATCTTTCTTCAACTCTTTAGCTTCTTGAGGTGACAGCTGTCCTGCCTGTAGGCGTTTTTTCCGTCGCTGTGATTCAAGGAAGATGGACAGATACATGAACGTTATGCCAATGATACAAAGTAACACGAATAAAGCAGTCACAACGATATTCACCGTCCAATATAACGCATATATGTTCGTTGTACTTTCTCTGGTGGCAATCACAATTTCCTGAATCGTTCCAAAAACTGTGATGACCCACGCAACAACCACAGCCTTTTTGATCCTCTGTCCTGTGACAATCTCTCGGTACCTTAAGGAGAACTTTACAGCAATATATCGGTCCCCGCTTATCAAAAATAGAAAAGTCAGCGTGGCAATGCTTTGTACCCAGAAAACTACAACGTGAGCCTTTTCTAACTCACAAAATGGACCGATCTCAAAGGCTCGCTTCACGTTGACCGCTATGGCAATGGGTATAACAACCAATCCGGCCAGCAAATCTGTCCCCGCCAAACAAGCTAAGAGTTTGTTTGAGTTGGTTCGCAGTTGTCTCTTTGTGGCCACCGCCAAGATGACTAACCCGTTTAAAGAGACGGTTGGGATAAGCAGTATTGATAGAATACATATTAAAGCTATCAAACTTCTGTAAATGTCACCTGTGAGATACGTCTCGCGCCAAACCATTCCTCCCAAGTAGGTACACTCTTCTCTATCTCGGTCAGTTGAGTTCGCCAGGAAAGGTAACTCCTTAGGAGCAGTGGCCATTCTAGAATGAAGGTTTGGTTGCTTCTATCCACATAGAGCTTCAAAAGGTTAATTTAAGACCGAGACGGCAATGGGTTTGTTTATGCCAAAAATCCCTCAAGCCTTTTCCCACGATTGGTTTATTAGAAGTGCACGGATAAACCAACGTTTAAACACCACCTTACTGGCGTCCTCTTTTCCTGTATTTGTTTTGCTCTTTATTTGCGTGGCTCAATGACTCATTTTGTGTAAACTAAGCATCTGTTTCTCATTGTGTAGATTCCATGCAATATTATGGACTTTTCCAATAAGGAATTAGTTGAAAACTCGCTCAACGGAAAAGGGACGTTTCCAATTTAATAAAATAGACGTTGTTGAGGGGAATTTTATGTTTTTTCTTCTTTTTCTTTTTATTTCTCATGCTTCTCGTAACAGTTATTAAATTACGGGTGTTCTTTTAGCTTTTCACTTCATTTTTTACCGTTTTTTTCGCACTTTATGCGCCGTCCACATGGCATGGAGGTTGTAATTTAGCAATTTGAAATCTGACCCTTTTTTAATTGAATGCCGTGCGCCGGTTTCAGATTTCAAACCGTGGCTGTCCAAAGGAAATACGGAGCGACAACTCGCCCACTTTTACCGAGACAGAAAAGGAAATTAGACCAGTCTCTTTTAGAATGGGATCAAGAAGAGATAACATAACTTGGGAAATGCTTATTCGAAATGTTAGCAAGACGATGATGGCGATTCTTCGAGTCCCAAATGCGCTAACTAGTTTAGTAATCCTGCACAGAGTGTTCGCTGAGGTTCTACCACCCTTACAGCCCTACCATCGTTCCAAGCAGCGACGATCCAAATGACTGCGAATTTCTTACTCTGGGCCCTTATTTGCTTCAATGACCGATCATCGGGACTGTTCGAACATGAAGATCTTTACAGAAGGTAATATTAGAGAAGAGCATAGTTTCTGGCCAGTTGCTTTGGGAAAAGATAGCTCAACGAACTCATTCAAACTCTGCAAGAAGGTTGCTAATGGATACGCCAGAAGGGCGAACTAGGGATTTAAAATTTAATCCCGGTCATGGACAAGAATTCCCTTCGTGTACGATGGCTCCTTGGTTGCGTTGTCAAGGTCTCTCCTGGACAGGATCGCTGGGTCCACGTAGCGGAAATAGAACCATTATACTACATTCGTCTGGAGAAAGCTCTGAAATATGTTGAACTATTGTCGAGCTCGTGGACGCTTATTCAAGTTACTGCAAAATAGTCTAACTCGATGTTTTACTGAATAAATTAGGCCATCCTGTATATTCCACGTTTCACGCTCTTATAGAAGTGTGTACCGGTTTTAATATTTGGTCCTGTTTAAACCCGTTCTGTGCGAGTGTATCGTGTTTTCTTTTTTCTCTCAGTATTTGGAAAGTGTTTTTTTTGTCTTTGTTTGTATTTATTCAGTCCCGTCCTATTTGTTAGCATATTTTGTAAATGTTGCTTCTCTGATTTTTTCGGAATTTAGTTCTTCTTTACCAACAGATTATAAACTCTTCTTGTCTTCACACATTAAAAAGGGTAGTAAACCATCCGCTGAGCTACACTTTTTTCTTTTATTTTAGAGTTTATTGAAGCGAGCTTCTGCCTCTTCAGAAGTATTACATTATTTCGTTTCACAGTAATGATGCCGCAATCACCAAAAAATGTGCATTTCAGAGAAATGACGGGCTCTCCCACGCTCATGATAAGAAGAAAATCATCTTTCTCTAGTTACCGTGCTCAATTAGAAAGATGTTGCCATCTTTCCAATTTCTAGTTCAGTTTAATTTTCATAGCTTTTTTTATAGTATTTCTTATTTTTGATTCTCCGTCTGAGAGTCATATTTTAGAATTATTCATAGATTACGTGGAGGTGAATAGTGATGGTTATTTATCAACTGCACAAAGTAGAGTACAAATAACACGCGAATAGAGTACAAATATTATTATTGGGAGTGGTCAGCGGCGAAATGGCGGTCAGTCGTAATTTTCTCGGCTCCGCCATAGTCACTTATCTATATCTGTTCTGTTGTTTAAGTCGCTCTTTAATTTATCTAAATACGCTCATTTTCTGTCCATCTTATGCCCTTGATGATTCTGGAGTTACAAAGACCACTAATGAAGTGGATTTATACCGTGCAAGTTGCTCGTCGTCGATGCGTTTGTTCCGCCATCTTGGATTTTCATCTTCAACAAGATCGCATCGCTACTTCACTGCTCGGATATCTCATACTCCGAACTCCGTTTCCTCCTTTAACCTAACGCGTCTTCGCTTAACAACGAGTGGCGACATCAGCCCGAACCCTGGTCCACTAATTACGTCTTTTACAACAAATCGTCGAGCAGTTAAACATCGAAGCCATCATCATAGCCACCGCTCCAACGTTGTGCAGGTAAACCGCGTATCTGATCTCCATTTGAGTACATCGAACACTCAGCTGACCATGTGCACGTTAAATGCTCGCTCTATTTCAAACAAATCTGCACTGTTTGTTGATTATGTCAGCGAATGCAAAGCCGACCTAGTTGCAATAACTGAAACTTGGTTATCAGACAACGACTCCGCTGTGTGCTACGAGATAACTCCTGCTGGCTATAAACTGTTACACTGCCCTAGGGGTGATCGTAGAGGTGGAGGTACGGCCCTCTTGTTCAGAGATAACATCAATGTTTCCAAGCTCGAAACTGTTTCAAGGATTTCCTTTGAATCTTCTGAATACCTTGTCTGCACTGGCTCCCTACGCTTTCGATTGGCAATCATCTATCGACCGCCGTACTCTGTTAATCATCCTGTGACTGTGAACAGTTTTATTGACGAATTTTCTGAGTACCTTGAATCTGTTATCCTATCTAACGATGTCCTGTGTTTAACTGGCGATTTTAACATCCATGTTGATGATCACAATGATTCAGCTGCTTGTCGCTTTTTGGATTTATTGGAGTCAATGTCTTTAACTCAACATGTGACAGAACCAACGCATGAACTTGGTCATACACTAGATCTGGTAATTACTCGAAAGTCAGACAACCTTATTAGCGGTCGACCAGCGCCTGACATTCTATTTTCGGATCATCTAGCGTTACTTTTCAAATTGAAAACACCTCGACCACCTCTCAAAGTTGGGCGTGTCTCATTTAGGAAGTTGCGATCAATTGATAAGTCTGCTTTTGCGGATGAAATCTGTAACAGCGAGCTTCTTCAAACGGATACTGAAGATCCTGACGAGCTGGCCGCCTTACTCAACAACACATTGCGTTCCCTGCTGGATCGGCACGCTCCTGTTAAGCAAAAGAATGTTACTATTAGATCTCGTGTTCCATGGATGAATGATGAAATTATATTGGCTAAACGTCAACGGAGGAAAGCTGAAAGGAAATGGAGGGCTTCTAAAGCACACATCGATTTACTATCCTATCGCGCAATGAGAAATCGAGTGACGTTTTTGAGTAACGAGGCTCGTTGTGCATACTATACAAACTTCATAACTGAGAACAGCACGGACCAGAGAAGGTTATTTAGAGCAAGTAAGTCCCTGCTGAATTTATCAAATGGTCCTGGCCTCCCACTGTCGACTAATGATTATCAGTTGGCTAATGATTTTGGAAAATTCTTTGCTCAAAAAATTGCTGATATCAAGTCTGTTATTGCAAACCAGAGCCGCCTTCCTGTCACCATCGACGCTGCCAGTACTGTGACTGCTTCCTGTTTTTCAGAATTTACTCTCCTGTCCGAATCAGAGGTTTTTGATTTAATCAAAGCTTCATCAAAGAAATCTTGTCTTCTTGATCCTATTCCAACCAAACTTCTTACGGACTTCGCCGATGTGCTACTACCTCCGATCACGAAAATAATAAATCTTTCGCTTGATTCTGGTTATTTTCCACGCACCTGGAAAAGTGCTCTAGTAAGGCCGCTGTTGAAGAAGGATGGATTACCTCTTGTTTTTAAGAACTACAGACCCGTGAGTAATTTGGCATTTATCTCAAAGCTGGTTGAGACTGTTGTTGCCAAGCAGCTACAGCATTATCTGAATGGCAACAATCTGTTCCCAGTGTTTCAATCCGCCTATCGACAGAACCACAGCACAGAAACTGCACTCCTTAAGGTTATGAATGATATTCTCCTTAACATGAACAGTCAACGTGTTACTCTGCTTATTCTGCTCGATTTAAGTGCTGCCTTTGACACAGTTGATCACGACACCATGCTACGTCGACTTGAGTCATCATTTGGTATACATGGGAAAGCCCTCTCCTGGTTTACGTCCTATTTGTCTGGTAGAACTCAACGGATAATGATTAACGATTCGCTGTCGGAACCTTTTAAATTAGAATGCGGTGTGCCTCAAGGTTCCTGTCTGGGTCCGTTATTGTTTTCGTTGTATACGAGCAAGCTTTTTGAGATCATTGAATATCATTTGCCCACGATTCATTGTTACGCTGACGACTCTCAAGTTTACATCTCATTCAGTCCCAACGACAGAGCTGAGCAACTTGCTGTAGTGAGGAGTATGGAGGACTGCATCAGAGACATTCGTCTTTGGATGTTGAATAATGATCTTAAATTAAATGACGACAAGACTGAATTCCTTATCATTGGCACATCACAACAGCTGGGAAAGCTCGACAATATCAGTATACGTGTGGGCGACTCAGACATACATCCCGTGCCAATTGCGAGAAATCTTGGTTCCTGGTTTGATTCAAGGCTCTCCATGGCAACACACATCACGAAAATTTGTGCCTCTTCATTTTACTACATTTATAATATTCGTCGGATCAGAAAGTACCTTTCACAGCAGTCAACGGAAACTCTTGTCCATGCATTTATAACGAGCCGCCTGGACTATTGCAATGGCCTATTATATGGACTACCGGACTGCTTGTTGAATAAGCTGCAACGAGTACAGAATGCTTGTGCCAGATTGATTCTTAAAGAACAGAGATTTTGTCATATTACGCCCTTAATTTTTAAGTTACACTGGTTACCAATTAGATATAGAATTGAGTTTAAAATATTGATAATTACTTTTAAGATTCTTAATTTTTAGCCCCTTCTTATCTATCCTCTCTTATTTCCCTTAGACCCCCCAAATATAATTTAAGAAATTCCAGTGATAAGCTTTTACTTAGCCATCCATCATTTAAATCGAAAGCTACACTGGGGACCGTTCTTTTACCTGTGCTGCTCCGAAACTATGGAACGAACTACCGCTGGATATTAGGAGCGCAAGAACAGTAAATATTTTTAAAGCTAAACTGAAGACTCACCTTTTTCGTAGTGCATTTCTATTTTTTTTTTTTTTTTTTTTTTTTTTTTTTTTATCTCGTTTCTTAAAATTATTGTAAGTCTATTTTAATGATAATTTTTAATCTTGTAATGCGCATTTGAACATTTTATGGAATTTGCGCACTATAAATTTTTAATATTATTATTATTATTAATATTATTAAATATCTTGCGATATTTTACGGTTATTTGTACAGTTGGTTTTTTTGCATTGTAAAAAAGCGTACTTAACCAGTCGGCTATGCGCTACGCTTCTCTATCCGCTTTGCTTTTCCCGCCTTATGAGAAATGAGCAGAAAGACTTAGCAGAAAAATAAGCAGTTGGATGATAAATAATTTATTTGACATTTTGGTGCTTAGTATGACGAGTTGTGCCGTATTTTAACGAAATCGTAGTCGATATTTGAATGTCTAACAGTAAAACGGCAAAAAGAATCTAAGCATTAGGCGTAAAATTGACAAATTTTAATCAATAGTTGCAGACCGTTAAAGAAAAAAATAAACCGCAAAAAAACTAGCATCTCTTGTGACAACAATGACAAAATGTTAACTGTTAACCGTAAATTGACCAAAAATTTTTAACCGTCAGCACAAAAAGCCGTCAATTCATTCATTGACAGCCTCATTTATGTGCTCCGATTATTTCTGTCGAAAAGAAACAAAGCAAGCAGACGAAAGGCAGCTGTGAAAGTGATATCTTTTCATCTCTACATACACTTTTATCGATAGAAGAACAAACTCGTTTGTCGCCATCAGATTAACACGGGCTTTTTTGCGAGCGAAAGAGCGGTTTTTGCGGGATATGAGATTTAAAAGGACTTATAATATGAATAAACGCCTTTCTGGCTCGCTGCAAATTTCCCTTTGGTCCTCAAAGCTACGCTTCTCGGCCAGATATATTTTTCCCACAAGTTGCAGCCGTGGAAATATCCGCCTGAAGGGGTTTATCTACTAAATATTATCCAGTTTAAGCAATGGTATATCGAGACGCGTGACGCATTTGAACCAGTCATTAGCGAGCGAAAATATTTAATGAATAACAAACATTTATAACCTTCCCAACTTAGAATGTTTTCCAAGAAGTCCACTTAAAGACTAGTTCATCAGATGCAGACAACGTGGTGTGACAGTTGTAACACTGAAGGGAAAAGTTTAGAAAGAGAAGGGAAAAAGCCACTTTTAAGGCAAGAACCGGTGGTGAAGTTGAAAACAAAACGGAATAGACAGATTCCCACCAAAATATTAACTATTATTCCTGATAACGTTTTTCCTCTTTTCTAAGATACGTCCTGTAAAGTTTCCGGCCACTGAAATACTGGCTTTGTGTAGAAGTAGCCCCGTGTTTTTTCATTGTGTTCATGGTAGAAGTGCCAATCTTTAATGTTGTATTCAGCTTGAGATAGGGAAATAAACATTTCATTCTTTTTTTGCGAGCCAAAATATTTTAATGAATAACAAACATTTATAATCTCCCCAACTTAGAATGTTTACCAAGAAGTCCACTAAAAGGCTAGTTCATCACATGCTGCATGACAACGTGGATAATAATTTTTACACTTTTCTAAGATACGTCCTGTAAATTTTCCGGCCACTGAAATGCATGGCTTTGTGTGAAAGTAGCCCTGTGTTTTTTCATTGTGTTCTTTATACCCAGAATCAGAACTTTTCCCACCAAAAATTAATCGCAGAATCAGCCATGAGTCAAACCGTCGAGATAGTTTACACGCATACCGTACTAATTCGATCAAACGCCGCATCATGATGCGATGAATACTTTCGATCTTTCTTCATTCTATTCTCTCTATGTATTACAGTAGTATTAAATTTCAAGTTGTGAAATTTAGAACGATATATAAAAATAACTTTTTAGACAAGCGCTAAAACATGCTTCTGTTTTTCAAAATTAAAATGGTCAGTTACCATACTATTATTTACAAGAAATAAATTGGGTTTTAAATAAGCACTGCCCCCGAATAAATGCCGGACTCGAATCACGAGAAATTTTATAAACACCACGGCGTATAATCAAGTAAATACGGTATGTAAATAGCATTGTTTAGAAAAAGTAAACTCTATACTCGAGTCAAGTGGGCCACCCAATCCTCTGTCGGCCACACCAGTTTGTATTGGTTTTGTCTAGACCAATTATATCACAGGAAATGGTATAGAAAAAACTGTCTATGGCCAGGACTGACAGTCACTGATGTCACGTTATTTACAAGACATGATCATCTGTTTTACGCATGTGAAGGATTTCTTCAGCTTTAAAATGGCTGAATGACAACAAAACTGCTTCTTTGTTTGGTGCTGATTCTTTAAAGGTCTTAGACATAGAAGGCTGAATTTTTAATCCTGCGCTGTAAAACGAAGAGTTGATTTGGCCCAAAAAATGAGGCCAAAACGAGTGAGTCCAGTTTGGTACTGGCTTGGGGTCAATTCGGCCCCACTGAAATGGGGCTGTTTTTGACACCAATTTTTGGGGCTAAATCGAACCAATTGTAACGGCCAATTTGGAAAATACTGGAGCTACATTGGAATTTAAAGGGGCAAAAACAGCCTCCCAAATTTCAGCCCAAAATAGCCAATTCAGCTCCAATGAGGTGCCACTTCAGAAGAAGAGGGCTCTTTCATCTCCTTGCCAATTTCCCCCCTTACAGACAAATAATGAAAATACACCACATACTTTATCTTTCAAACACTCATTTATTGGGGTCTAGATATTGTTTATGTAAAAACCTTTTACAGTGTATGATTTTACAATTAAGAATCTTAATTGTGGTAAAAAACAGACAAACTTTGAAACATCATGTGAAAGAATATAATATACACACATATTTAACATTAATTCAACCATTTTCTAAAATAGATCTCTTCTCTAAATCAGTATACTTCTAAACAGTGCAAACATTGCTAGACATAACACCCAAGAGACACTTGTGAGTAAAGCTTCCCTTTTCAATGACTTAGCAAATGTGATAATGTAAGGCAGCTTATAATCAAAAGTGATTTAAAGTACAGAAATTATCAAAATAAGACAAAGGCAACAAATGGTTTAGTTCCTGCACAAGAATATAGATCTTGTTTGATTTGTGCATCTGAGAAACAAAGAGTCTTACAGCAGCATTGAGTATTCTTCCAGTGGATTTGAGAATACATGCACTCATAATGCTACTTTAGATATTATCAAAATATAAACTTTCAGCAACTACTACCTAAGGCATTTGCCAAGTCATTGAAAACGGAGGAAACAGTGGCAAGAGTCTGCCTGTGCCCAATTTCCAATAATGCTTGCTCTAAAACAGTCAACATTGCCTTTTACTGATTATAAGAAACATTGAAAATATAAATGAGCCAAATAACCCAATGAGAACATCAAGAATATTTTCTTGTGGGAAGTGACAAATTACGCTTCCCTCTGTTACTATACACAGGAGATTGATGTATTGAAGATCTCCAACAATTAAAATTTGTGCTGGACATAATCTCTGATTGCTGAATCAACATCAGCTACTCTATGCAATAAAAACAAATTTTACGTAATGTTTAAAAAACGAGCAGGAGTGTTTTATCGGGTTTAAAACCACGAGGCGTAGCCGAGTGGTTTTTGACCCGATAAAACACGTGCTGCGAGTTTTTTGAACGGCTTCAAAAACATTCTTGGAAAAGCGTGTGTCAAGAGAGTTCATAACAATTATGCTTTTGTGAACGTTAGAAATTAGCATACGAGAAAAACATTAATAGTCACGTGCAGTGTCTTTATATCTGATAAAACACCGCATACTACTAAGGATGAGGTTTATCGATATAAAGTTACTGAACGTGATGTATTATCTAACATTTGATAGGTTAATGGGCTTATGAATTATTAATGAGTTTTTGAAAACCATATTAAAATCAAGCCAAAGTGCAAAACGTGCCTGTAGCCAGTCAAAAAAAGAATATTATATAATGTTTTTCTAAAACTATGAGCTAAAACACTAGAAATGGAAGTGGAAGTCTCGCTCAATGTGTGTAATTTGTCTCCCCTTCAAGGCTTGAAAACATAATGTGTGACTCCCAAAATATCTGAAAAGAATCAGCTATTCCATGTGCAATATTTATCTAATGGTTTGATGACAGGAAGTTTCTAAAAAAATCGCAAAATCAAAAAAACTAAACTAAAAGAAGGAAAAAAGTAAAAACACAATAATGGTGATCATCAATGATGTATTTTCACCAAACTGTATATGTACTTATTAAGAAAAGAAATCATACCTCTGTGCACTTTAGTTTTAGTTTAGTATTCGTGAATTAATAAGGATTGCTAGTAGACTTAAAAAACAAAACAAAGAAAAGTTTCTTACCCTCGATGGTAGTTGGAATTTTGAAAGCCATCCAGGAGGAACCCTATAGGTAAATGTTTGTTTTCAAAAAAAATAAACTGTCTGAAAACATCCTATCAATTCACTAATATTATAATTTACCATAGTTAAACATTGGGTTTACTTTGTTTTGTGCATGGTGCAAGTAAATACATATCTAAAACATCTCAATAAAAATAAAGCAAATCTCATCATTTTTGTAGGTGCTTTCCCCGAGATTTCTCATCTTTAACTGACCAACTGGCACCTTGTGTGTTTTCCTTTGGGATAAAATCGAAAGAAAGTAATCGATAATGTACTCTTCACCATCCTGCTAAGTTTAATCTATAAGAACTTACTTAGACAATGCTCAGCTCTATCGCCTCGTCCGTAAAACAGAAATCCTTGGGCGATTTACCCTTTTCTTTCGGTGCCGATGTCACTTCTAAATTTTCATAATCGCTGATGTTTTCTGAATCATCAATCGACGTTTGAAACGTCTTACTCGAAGGACTTGATTCTGTTCGCTGAAAGAGAGAGAGCCAAAAAATCAGCTTAAGTGGATGCAAACAAAGACATAGACTAAAAAATATCAGTTCATCTTTTCAAGAAAAAGATTAAGAATTCAGAGTGAGAGATCCTAAAATCAGAGAATCTTGAAATAATTTAAATCCATCATGTGCAAACGCAATATTCAAACTGTAATCTCTCGGCGCCAAAATTTGATGACGTGACCTTAGTTGTGAAACCACTGAGACTCAACAAGACTCATGAGAAAAGGCGAACCATGCATGCTTCAAATTCTCCAGTAAGAAAATTAATTGCGATCAATTTCTTGAACTTTAGACGCTCTTTTCTAATAGGGATGTAGTGCATCTTGGGATATGGCAAGGAGATCTTGGCCATCGCAACCGTCCTTTTCTGCAAGATAGGATACGAACAAAGATGAAAGGAGCGGTCAAGTTTGTGTATGTAAAGTTGCAATAAAATGTGTTGTTAAGAAAATTACTTTTGCTTACGTATACCTTTCCTTTCTTAAGTCTCATTCCATGCGACTGTAGCCAAGAAACAGCCTCTTCAGTTATGAATTCGCTGCTATAATTCATTATTGTGTCCGACGCACGCGGTCTAGGTTCGACTAATGCGATACGCAGAAGGAGCTGCTAAGATGCACTAGCATAAGAAGGAAGAATTTTGGAGAGAAATATCTTTTATGACAAAATTTTACTCATTAAAAAATTCACAGTATAAAGTTGAGTAAGTCAATCGATAGTTTATTGTGCCGGTTTCGACCGAGTGAAAAATTTACTTTTACCGGTTTATTACCCTTATAACATTCCCAAACCCTTATATCCTTGTGTCGTTCAAGTCTTGATGGGACGTCCATCTACCCAAAATTGTTAGGAATTTTGGGATAATTATCAGTCATTTCAAAAAATGCACCTCGTTGGGGCCAAATTGGTAAATCCTACTTGGCTCTTGGAAGGGCCAAATTGAAAAAAAGTTCCAAAGTAGAATTCATTTGGGTCAATTCAGATTTTGGAGGGGTCGAAATGGTACCCGTCCAACCTGTTTTAGCTTAAATAGTCCAAAACGAACCTCGAGAGGCCAAATTGGCCCTCAAGACATTGGGGTCAATTTGGCTCTCTTCATTTTACAGTCTGGAGGGTTATTTCCTTGTTTTGCTCAGTGAATGATTTCAAGAAGAGCCTTTCTTGAATTTTGATGACGCCAACAATAAATTACAGGGTTAGAAAGTGAAGTAAAGACCGCAGCACAATCAGTCCAGCTTATCAACGCCATTTTCGTACCCGAATCGAAAAAATTTGCGAAAGCCTGAATTGAGGCAATAGTTATCGCAGGCAAGTAGGTCAGCACTAAAGTTCCTAGAGTTAAGGATAGTGTAACGGTTGCCTTGTTATTTACGTCTTTCTTCAACTTTCTAACTTCTTGAGCTGACAGCTGTCCTGCCTGTAGGCGTTTTTTCTGACGTTGTGTTTCGAGGAAGATGGACAGGTGCAAGAACGTTATGCCAGTGATACAAAGTAACACGAGTAAAGCAGTCACAACAATATCCACCTTCCAATATAACGCATATAGTTTTGTTGTACTTTCTTTAGTGGCAATCACATTTTCCTGAATAGTTCCAAAAACTGTGGTGACCCATGCAACGGCTACAGCCTTTTTGATCCTCTGTCCTGTGACGATCTCCCTATACCTCAAGGGAAACTTTACAGCAACATATCGGTCCCCACTTATCAAAACGAGAAAAGCTAGCATAGCTATGCCTTGCATACAGTGTGAGCCATTTCTAACTCAAAAATGGACCGATCTCAAAAGCACGATTTACGGTGACTGCTATGGTAGTGGGTATAACAACCACATTCATGATTATACCACATTCATCTGGAGAAGCTAGGAACTAACTATGTTGGATAGTTGTCGAGCCCGTGGACGCTAATTCAAGGTACTGCAAAATAGTCTGACTCGATGTTTTACGGAATAAATTAGACTATCCCGTATATTCCACGTTCCACGCCCTTAAAGAAGTGTGTGCCGGTTTTGATACTTGGTCTTGTTTTAACCCGTTTCGTGCTGGTGCATCGTGTTTCCAGTATTTCTCTCAGTATTTGAAAAGTTTTTTTTTATTGTCAAATTTTTATATTTATTCGGTCCCGTCTTACTTTTGAGTATATTTTGTAAAGGTTGCTTCCCTGATTTTGCGGAATTTACATCTTCTTCACCAAGAGATTATGACCTCTTCTTGTCTTTACACTTGATTAAAAAGGGTAATAAACCATCTGCTGAGCAACACTTTTTTATTTTATTTTAGAGTTTTTATTGAAGTGGGCCTTTGCATGTCTCTCCAGAAGTATTCCATTATTTCGTTTCACAGTAATGCCTTAATCACCAAAAAATGTGCATTTCAGAGATATGACGGGCTCTGCCATGCTCATGATAAGACGAAAATCATCTTTGTCTAGTTACCGTGCTCAATTAAAAAGATGTTGCCATATTTCCAATATCTAGCTCAGTTTAATTTTTATACCTTTTTATAGCATTTCTTATTTTTGATTCTCCGTCTGAGATTCATATTTTAGAATTATTCATCGAATAATGACTGTAAATATATGAAAATCGTATATGTGCACTGCGGTTAAAGAAACAAAGATAGAAGTGATCCTCGCAGTTATGAACGCTACTGAACTAGTCGCTGAAATAAGGCCAGTTAAGTAAAGGTGAACAGTGATGGATAATTACCAATCCGCGAAACGGCGAGGTTAATATTGCATTCGAAAAATGCATTTAAAAAGATAGGTCACCGTGCTTTTTTAAGAGATATAATGAGCCAAACTTACCCCAATCAATCCATCGCTCTGATGAAGGGCTAACGCTCGAAACGTCAGCTTTTTTACTCTTTACGGTTGCCAATTTACGTTTTCAATTAAGTTGTTAACACTAAATTACCTGCTATACTCTCCCACCGACGTAGCACCACAGTTTCTTTAAAACTTACCCCTTTACCCCATTTATGCCTAAACTGGCATCAATTACGCGCATCACTTTATCGGTTCATGATTCACTTTGACGTGGCTGGAAAAAAGGGTTTTTAAAGTAACATTTGAAAAAAACTCGTTAGGTAGAAAGTCTCAAGCAATTGAAACAATTTGATATATTATTTGTGGAAAAATTACGTAATTTTAAACAACATTGAATCAAATGGTTCTTCAAGTCGTTGCTTTCAAGGTCAAAATTTGCATCATCGAGTAACGGGCTTTGAGCGATTTTTAGCTTTATCCTTTTTTCCCTTCAATGAATATTTTCTTAATTTCTGTAATTTAAAGGGGATAATTTATACACAAAAACTATGCAATAAAAAATATCGGTCACCGTGCTCGTTCAAGAGCTAAAGACCATCGTGCCTCTTTACCCGATCCATTTATTAAAAAACAATACCGCGTTCTCGAAATGTGCACGCTTATTCGCCTGATTACGTGTTTTCATGCGCAGTAGAGGATGTGCAGTCTAACGCTGAGGAAGCACCTTCAACGCAAGAAAGTTAGTGATGAAGTTAGTGGTAATGATGCATTTATTGCGCATTCTCTATATAATCATGTTCAAATATGCTTCATAACACTTTGCCGGAGGTTTTGGTCAGATTTTATGGAGCAGTTAACAACTTTTGAAAGGAAACTTGTCAGGTTCCGCCAGTTTAGCAAGTATTAGATTAGAGTAGTTTAGCAAGAGGACGGGAACGTCATTTCAGAACGGCGCGCGCAGCAAAAATGTCGATAAGAAACTGGGTCGAGAACGCCGTCGCGTTGTGTTGAAAAGTGATTTGGCAGTCGTTGCAACGAGAATCATCACCTCGGCTTTTTAAAGATCACCATCACCTTTGAATTTTCGGTTTTATAGACCACTCTAAGGACAACGAAACCATCCTCTTTGAGAGTTATGTAACAAGCGCAAACAGAGGATAGTTATAAAACGACAAATAAGTTGTTAATATGAATCCACATGGGCGATTAAACTTTGAAATTATTCCAGTTAAGTCTCGAGTCTGCTGATTCATCCATCAGATTTTGAATCCTACTTAATAATTTTTTTCTATGATTTGTGTTGCTGTCATTTCGTTTCGTGCTACTAGATTTCAGCACAACTCGTTTTTCTTCATAATTTCGTAAAGTATAATTTGGAAATAGTCGTCGTTTTTCCCCTTGTTTACTGAATATTCTTCTCAATTATGACAGTACATCTCTTTTGAGCACCACCTTCTTAGAGTTGAAATGCATTTTGAACGGAATTATCAAGAGTTATGGTGAAGCCATGTAGAAATCAAGCGACCCAACGGTGGAGTTGTTTACAATGAGTCCCTATTTATCCGTGAAAGAATGAAACTAACTCAAACTAGTCATCAACGAAACGGTTACACTTAGGATAAGACTTCGTTTCTGTTTTATTTTTTTTTCGTTTTTGTCTAATTTAATTTTTCTTAAACGAATGAAGTCGTTCAAGACTGCATCAAATTATTAGATTTAGAAAGCCGTGCCGAAATTAAGTTGATTGTCATTTTATTTCGAAGCGAGAGCATGACTTTCTTGTCTTAGTTTTCACCAGCGCCAATCAAACATTTCAAACATTAAAAAAAGTACATACCTGAGCTATTCTCAATTTTTTTTCATCTCTGACTTCAATTTGCAGAAAAGTTTTCAATCACGGTAAAAACGACAATATCAACAACTAACACTGAATAATACAGTGGGTAGGCGTCGTGATATTTCATTTTGATAAACTTCAACATGAAGCAAGTTTAATTTATTGATGAATTGATTCATGATAAAATTAACAGCAGCACATTCTTAGAGTTTTCATACAGGATTAAAGAAATATATCAAAGAACAGCCCTTTCGCTGTTTTAAGCCTTGCTCAATTACAAGTGTACTGAGTCCTAAAATCTTGGATCCAGCGCTTGCCAACGGTTGTGTTTCCTCTAATTTCGGAATTTCAGCATAAATGAAGCTGTAAATTTCCCCAAAATACCGTATTTACCCGTGTATAATGCGCACTTTTTTCCCATAAAAACAAGCATCAAAATCGCGGTGCGTATTATACACGGATTCTATTGCTTGTCAAGCACGTCCTAATTTGCATACGTTAAAAACGCAACAAAGAAAGTAAAAGTGCACGGATCGGTGGCCTGGGGAGGAGAAAGAGCTTGCTTGTTTACGACTCATTTGAAGCTCACATGACAGATACTGTGAACACTTCCTTCAAACGCGAACTTCCCTTCTCCAGTCGCTCGATGTATCTTTGAACAAACCATTTAGAGATGGAGTCCGAAAGGAGTGGATGGCTGATGGAATTCACGAACTTACTGGACGACAAAAAAAGGCTTCGGAGGAACTGATCTGTTCGTATATTTCACAAGCGTAGGAAGGCATTCCATCAGAAATGATCGCTGCCTCTCTCTGAAGTGTGGGATCACAAACAATTCGAATGGATCACAAGATGAATTGGTTTACAATTCAACTGAGATCACTGATGAACTTGAGGATTCAGTCATCGAAAACCTATTCGAATCGGACTGTGAGTCGGTTTAAAGACACTGAACATTTTACTTAAATCACGCAATTGCAATGCAGTAATTATATTCAAGCTACCAGCCGTACTGTGAGTAGAAATAATGTTTATGAACGGCTGTTATGATAATAATTCAAGTTGTGTATTTAGGTATATTAGTAAGGACTTCAAGTTACAACATTTATAAAACGTTTGACTGTTACTGAATAGAAAAGCTTGTAAATAGGTGCTCGGTGCGTTCGATATTTGTAGTAGCAACTAGTTAGAAATTGTTGTAAACATATTATTGATGAATTCCCAGCTCTTGTTAATTAAGTGAAAAAATGAAAGTTTTAATTCTTGGTATTTGTCATGAAATCTTTTTTTTCGGAAAAAAAGGTCAAAAATTAGGGTGCGTATTATACACAGGCGCGCATTATACACGGGTAAATACGGTACACCGGATAAACCAAAGGAAGGGACTCGGTTAAGAAATGAGTTCTGAAATTATTCCAAACAGCATTACCTCGTTTATAAGCGCAAAATTTACGCAAATCCCAGGCGTTTTGATCGCGACGGGAAAACCAGCGTAATAACGTTCTGAACTTGTTGGGGAGAACGGCAACGCTAACACCGAAAGTAGAAGCAGAGTCGTGTCCAGACTATCCGCGCGCTTTCCCGTTCTGAAATCACCACTTCGGAACGGGAAAAGCTCGGGTTTGCCTAAAAATATTTGATAAAATAGCTCGGGTTTGCACTTTTTTATGAAGGTGGTGCTTAAAAAGATGTATTGTCATGATTGAGAAGAATATTGGTAAACAAGGGGAAAAACGACGACGATTTCCAAATTACACTTTACAAAATTATGAAGAAAAACGAGTTGTGCTGAAATCTAGTAGCACGAAACGAAATGACATCGACACAAATCATAGAAAAAAATTATTAAGTAGGATTCAAAATCTGATGGATGAATCAGCAGACTCGAGACTTAACTGGAATAATTTCAAAGTTTAATCGCCCATGTGGATTCATATTAACAACTTGTCGTATCTACAACTATCCTCTGTTTACGCTTGTTGCGTAACTCTCAAAGAAGATAATTTCGTTACCCTTAGGGTGGTCTATGAAACCGAAAATTCAAAGGTGATGGTGATCTTTAAAGAGCCGAGGTTAGGATATTGAACAACAAGTATAAAGTTGACGGCTTGTTGAAACGACTGCTAAGTCACTCACTT